ATTCTAGTGGATTCAAATAGATAGCTCGTGTGCATTTCATTGGGTTTATCAATTGGATGGCTCATTCCCAAGCAAAAGATAAGCCAATACCAATCAATTGCTCAATCTATGGGTAGCAGCCACAGAGCAGGAAAAGAACCCTATCCCTCTCTGAAACTTCTTGAAACCGACGCACTCCAAGCTGAGTGATGATTCGAGGATTAAAGAGCATGAATACATTGCACTGCATTTCAGAGCATATTTCTCTACCATACATAATGATCGAGTCTCCTGCCACCGTTGTCTCCTGCATCAATACCTGCAATATTTCAAAAACCTCAAGGCAGGGACTCGCAATCAAAATCGGCTGCGTGAGCAGTTAGAGCTCTCTGGTCAATGATCATTCGTATGATGGGCTCTAGCTGTTGGTGAACGGAGCATGACATATGAAGTGGACATAGTTCCTCGCATGCTTCCTGGGCTCTGTCCACGCGCGTAGTCAGCTGGCATGTCTTTTCTTGTAGCCGGAAGATTTTCGTATAGATGGGAGTCATGGACTCCTGTGTCTGCGACTCGAAAAGCTCGTCAAGTACCATGATCATGTCTGCCGTGCTCTCTTGCAGTATTTTGAGTGCTTTGTAACATTCGCGGAGGTAGCGATTCTCGATTTGCTGCTGACCAATTTCTTGCGATAACTCAATGAGCTGTTGCATATTGCAGGGCTTATTATATGCAAAAAGCAAGATGATGCGGAGAATGAAATTAGTCACTGGACAGTTGGGGTTGACTCTATTACTGAGTTCAAGTTTCTATGCGCCTGAGATATAGTCAGTCAATACAAATATCCAAAGCCTCCCGTCAAGTTGAGTGGTTCATCCACCAACTCTAGCACACATGCTCACTCAACGGAGCGTTTTCTGCGTTTAGTTGGTGGGTCACCGTTCCGCGGAGATCAACGCTTGAGATGAGCACCGAATGCAGTGAGAAAGATTTCGAGCCTATATATTGAGACCCAGTCCGCCGTCTTCCTTCTCAAAGCAAGTCTCCTCCTCACTCCCCAATGAATACCAATCGCCTTCCCAGCTGCCTTTGCGGCGCCATCATCGCCAGTGTTGGCTTCCTCTATTTCTTGGTCTACGCAGTTCAGTTCCTTCTCTTCCATCTGCCGACCTCCCTGGATCTGGTACCCACAGCTGTGCTTGTCCTTCTCTTCGCTGTCAGCATTGCATCCTGCTATCTGTATGCAGCTCTGAGCTATGTGATTGAGATCATCACAGACGAGCCACTGGCAAGTGAGAGTGGTCTTATCAAGCTCGCGGGGACTATCTCAATATGGGCTACTGCCCTGCCTGCAGCGGGTTTCCTCCTACCAATTTGGTCTTGGACACAGCTCGGCTATCTTGTTGGCTTGACAGCAGTTGCACTAGGTCATCTTCAAGTGAGAAATAGACAGTCGACGCCGCGTTCCGGTACTTCTCTTGATATCCTGTCCATCATCATGCTAGCGCTGATGCCAACAATGCATGCTCTTGCAGGGCCAGCGTCGTTCCCGACCCCCCTCGCTACTGCATTTGTGAAGTTGTTGGCAAGCAACATACTCGGGCTAGTCATCTACATGTTGCAGCCATTGGAGGCTTTAGGAGTTCCACATCATTGGGGGCCTAGCTTTCATGCGATGTGCTTGATGACCACCTTGGCGCTCATTGTTTATTCGCACGAGGTGATGCAAGTGCTGATTGCACGAATGGCTTAATTGGGAGCTATCGTAGCCTCTTGCATCTAGCCATTCAGCCTACATCTGCGCGAAAAGGAACCGTCTTTCATCAATTGTGACTGAGGGGCCGCTGCCACTGTGAGTTGCGGGTTGGCTTTGGAGTATGCTGCTGGACGGAAAGCTAGGAAGTGTATGAAGAGAAAAATTGCAAGGATGTGTATAAGATATGTTTCCTCGTTATTGAATTTGTTTAGATTTCTCATTTTCGTTGTGGGTCAAAAATCTTTAGTTAAATGGAAGAAGGGACTGTTTACGTATTTCAACGTGAATATCATGGGTCGCTACAGCCAGGCACACGTCTATATTATTCATTCTCAATTGCAAGACCTCAAGACAGTCGCACTTCCATTCAAAGCAGGCTTGTGTAAGATACATAAATCAATGTAGACAGGCACGAAGGAGTTCATACCGAGACAGCGGCTTCTTTTGTATATCGCAGGCCTGGGAAAAAAGTCACCAAGAGTCTGAGTCTGGCAGCTGAAGCCAGACAAATTGAGTTGCATCGAGCGACCGTACGGGTAAAATCTCCAGATGCACTGCGAGAGACCTAGCACACTCGGTGTGGCATCGGGCGAAGTCGGAGCATCCAATCGACTCGAGTCGCCTCGCAGTCAGCGGCATTACGGCTGAGCAAATGCCGACGGCGGCGATGTGTCTCTGTCTTTTGAGGGCAGGGAATGCTTTGCTTTGCTACTCGGCGTCCAATTCTTTCGCTGAAACGCAACTTTATCTTAATGCGAGAGTGGTCGGAAGGCTTCTTCCCAGGCGGAACTGGCTGGAGGGGCCGTGCGGTATGACGGGAACTGTAGGAGATTCTGGCGACCATGTTGAATTGTTTTGGCTGGTTGAGACGGTGGGTGGTGCTTCTCTGGAGAGTTACCCGTCGAAAGAGTGTAGAGTCCACTTGATGGACAAAATTTCAGAATGAGCAGCGGAACTGCAGTTAATATATATCCATAAAGAATCAGCCATACTCCTCATCCAACCTGGCGAGGTCACTTTTGTTACTGCCATCAAATATTGGTGAGAGACTTTATTGCAGATTTAGGCACATTGTATTGAAGGAATCTACTCTTAAGCAATATGAACACCTCATGAAAGGCCAGCTAACGAGCATCAACTTCTTTAGCAGTCTAAAACCGGCGGCCGCCAAAGTCACACCCGTACGCGCTGGATATTCCTCGTCAACGACATCGCGCTGCACGTATGCTAACTGCCAGTTGCTTTTCGATATATTGAGAGCCCTGTCTACTTATTTCAGTGGAATTCATCTTATTGATGATTTTTAAACTTCAGGCATCTCTGCAGATTACCATTACAAGAACAGAATATTTGAGCGAAAGAAAGGACGATTATGAATTTTATTTCTTGGCCTTGGAGTGATACCCAGTTGAAAGAGTACTCAGAATCTGCTGCTTCAACGAAGGCTATGCGCATAAACAAAACTTTGCTCATTCTCCCACAATATCATTGCAGCCAAGGCCCTTTCAGGCAGTATTTATCCGCAGTATCAGCAGACCTATCGGCAAGACTACCAGTCTCCAAGGGCCAATTGCCATCAAAATATTTGACATGGCATGTGAGCCGATATTTCGAATCAATCAGACGACTGTCTTTTGGGCTTTTGGATGCGCTTTAGCTGAAACCTGAGTGAAGTTACAGAAAATCGTATTTGATTGATGTCTAGTCACGCCATTAAATCACTGAATTTATTTAAGTTGTTCATTTCCATTATATTAGGCTTGCGAGAAGGTGTGGACTTAAGAGTTCATCAAATACTCAACTAGTCCTTCTCGTACTCTTTCATTGTAGTAGACCTTATTTAGCATTGTCAAGAACATCTCTAAGTTTCGATAATGATGATGAGTCTTATATCAAAACTCAATTCTTGATATTTCCTGTATCTCGGGTAGACACAATTAACCACAACCAGTGGCTCGGCCAACCTATTGAAAGATCTGCCATAAGGACTCGGCGGTGCGGCCAGCAAAATTCTTCGTGGGCTGATTTTTAGACTTCCCTGGCTAGAATGGCTCTTTCCAAATTGAAAGGCGCCCCGCAAGCCCGCATCTCGTGCAAGCTGCCATATCAGGCAGCAACTCCGGTGTGGATCCACGGGTGGCCCCGTCTTCCGTGGGGGCGTGAATCAAACAACCGTGGAGCAAATCGAATCCAAGATTCAGATGTTGGTTCGATGATCATCGGCCCATTAGGCTATTTCGAATTTATCCAAACGGGGACACCAAGGTCCGCTTGGTCGGGCCTCGGCTAAATGACTTAAGTGGAGTTATCGAGATGCCATTCCAAATAAAAAGCGATTCAGGTGAAGAGAAGAGGGGAACCTTGCTTGGGGGCCGTTTCGTGACAGATCAATTCAATTCAGTATGCGCCGCAGTCAACGCTGAAAAGGCCGATGCGGAGGTTAGGCCAAGCTCGCGCTAGTTCCACCCCAATTGCCTGCGTGGTGATTCTTCACTTGAAAACAGCCCGCACGATACGCTCCACTGTTATGCACGTCAGCACCGGAGATAAACCAACCATCAAGACATTTGACTTGATCAAACATGGCAAATGGCCGATCCTGCAGACAAACACAGTGTTTCCGCCCCCTCCTTGTGATAAAAAAAGCTACTGTGGTTGTTCACCATTGATGCTAGCCTCCGATCAATATCTTTTCAAGCGGAATGACATGACCATCTGCCTGCCGCTAGCGGGCTGTCTGTCTCGCATCCCATTCTATCTAAGTGAGGCCAAATCTCACATCAACCCATCACTTGAAGATTGAAGGTGACAAACATCCCAAATTTGACTCACTTTTCAGCGAATATTGTCGTACCTCGTTACGATTTCTTCCCGCTCTGTCTTACACCATGTCTTCATCCGCTTCCTTACCGCATTCCGCGGTGCACGATGACATTTCCGGAGGCATCAGGGCTTTCTTCATTGTTGTCACTATCGTTACAGCCCTTGCTATCTCGCTTCGTTTCTAGTCGCGATTCACCCGCAACAATGCGGCACGCGGCGCGGGCAGACATACTCAGCGTCTGTGGTGGGATGATTGGGCTGCTTTAGCAGCAGTGGTAAGTGATTTTGTAATTGATCTTTTTCTCTCCCCAAGAAAAAAAATGAAAGAGACGAGAAGAGAAGAGAATGAAGAGGAAGAAACGCATACTACGAGCTATGCAAAGTGCTAACTTCATTTTAATGGTAGCCCTCGATCCTCGCTCTATGTGGACTGGCATTTGCCATGGGCCATTATGGCCTCGGTCGCCACGCCCAGTTTGTCGAGGCAAAGGATCTGCTCATCTTCCTCAGATTGTTATATGCAGTATACTACGTCTACGATATCGGCCTCTTTTTCACCAAGGTCTCGGCCTTGCTCCTCCTCTCGCGCATCTTTCCGTGGCACGCAAACGCCAAATGGTTCAACTACACACTTATCGCTACCCACTGCCTCAACTGCGCATGGTTGGCCGGCATCATCTTTGGCACCATATTCATGTGCACTCCCGTCCAGAAGGGCTGGGGGCACCATATTCATGTGCACTCCCGTCCAGAAGGGCTGGGATTCTTTGTTACCTGGACACTGCGGCACGGCCCAGCACCTTTGGCTTGGAAGCGCAATTCCCAGTGTCATCATTGACTTAATTATATTGGTGTTGCCCCTACCAAAGATCTGGAGCTTGGAAATGGCTGCGAGACGCAGAATGACTATCATCGGCGTCTTTGTACTTGGCTACAGGTAAAGCGTTGAATAGCGCCAATGATTATCGCGACATGCGGCTAACAAAGAACAAACAGTGTCATCGTCGTTTCCATCGGTCGACTCATTACAGTTTTGCTAACTGGTAATAGCTTGAACTCCGATATTACCTGTATGTCAAAAGTCTCCGATATATGATACTCTGGTCTGCGTCTAATATTTCCTTGATAGGGACCGTCGTCCATCTGGCCTACTGGGTTGGTGCCGAGGCGCCCGTCACCATGCTGTGTATTTGTCTACCGCCCATGGCTGTGCTGGGCCGCCACCTGGCCAACAACTACTTTTTCAAACTCCCTAGCAAAGTTCAATCTCTGTTCAGCTCCAACAAGAGCAACGGCACATCGGCATCACAAAGCTACTCTGCACCAGACTCGCAAATTCAAAACATTGCGATGCCATCAGTCTCATTAAATAAGACCGCTGATAATGATGGCCACAGCCTGGAGTCACAAGAGAGCTCTACTCGTTTATTTCCCCGTGAAGACGAAAATTACTACGCTGGCGCTAGAGCAGATGTATCTTACCGTCGCTCGGATCTGCACGGTACAACCCCGCCTCCCAATTCTGGCGATGCTACCATTCGTGTAGATAGTGTTGTGACTGTCACGGACCGTTTGAGAAAATAGTTTGAGTTTGAAGACCGCAGTCACTATCAATTCCGAAATTTATTACATTTGAATGTTCAAATGTTCTTGTTTCTTGATTCATTTCTTTGTTTTGACAGTAATCGCACATTAACATATGGTGCTTCGATGGCTTCAGGGATAGCTATGTTCAAATGTTATTGTCAAAACCTTGCAACCTTACTACCTAGGTACATTGCCTGCGCTCACTGAGACCATTGGCTCGGTTTTTGATCGAGTCAAGTCTGCGAACAGAGTGGTCCGTCTCTACGCCGAAGTGGCTTTGCATCTTGTCGACTTCGTCAGGGGCATTGCAACGCCCCTAGAGCTTCTCATGCAGACTGGCCTTCTGAGAGAATACTACGACGAGTTGATGACCTACAGATGCATGAAGCAAACGACAAGCTTTGTCGATCTGCTCGCCCACCAAAATGGTGGCATGAAAATCTTAGAAGTCGGTGGAGGCACTGCAGCTGCAACTCGCCATCTGGTCAAAGCACTGTCTATGATTGGCCCTCATGGCGTGATAGAATTATCCAACGCTTCCGGAACCCTTCGATGCGACCAGTACTGCTTTACAGACGTGTCGTCTACATTTTTGGAAAAGGCACGGGAAGAGTTCCCTGATCATCAGTCTCAAATGGTGTTTCAAACCCTTGACATCGAGAAGGACTTTTCTGATCAGGGAATTTCCGACAGGACGTATGATCTTGTCGTGGCAGATGCCGTGCTTCACATCACCGCCGATCTGGAAAATACGTTCCGCAATGTCAGAAAGTCAATGAAAACCGGTGGCAAGTTGATACTGACAGAGTTCCTCCAGCCTGATGGGTGGGCTCTGGGCTTTATTTTTGGACTTTTCCCTGGATGGTGGGTTGGACCTGAAGCTGATCGCCCGCTATCACTGTTGAGTGCGGAAGGGTGGGGTCAGGTTCTGCAACACTGTGGTTTTTCAGGTGTCGATATGGTATTCAAGGATTTCGATGGCTCCGCTCCTCAGCTTGGCTGTGTTATTTCTACCGCTGTGGACGTGCCGTCGTCCATCCCTCGAACTCTTGCGTCGCCAACGTACTATAGTGGTATCATTGTCAACCTGAACGCTTTCCCCCAACAACAGTCTCTCGCCGCATCTCTTGTTACATCATTGCAAGACATGTTTACCGAGCCTCTTGAAATCGTGGATGCAAACATCCTTACAGCATCGACGAGTCGCACCACCAGCTCAAACGGTCTTTGCATTGCTTTGGTTGGCTATGGTGCATCATTCCTCGCCTCAATGTCAGAGCAGGATTGGACGGTTCTGAAATTACTTTCTCAGACGTGGTCTGGAGTTTTGTGGGTCTTGGTAGGTGGTGGAGACTCAGCTGCACCAGAATATGGGCTGATGGATGGTCTCTTGAGAACATTGCGAGCGGAGAACTATAGTCTACATCTCGTCTCTATCGCCCTCGACATCAATCTCGACGGCAGCGCTGGCCATATACGTCATCTCAAGCAGATTACACGAGAGATGCTGTTCCGAAAGCCGTCTCAAAAATACGAACAAGAGTACATCGAGATTGATGGTTGCCTGCATACTCGCCGTCTTGTTGAGGCGAAATACCTGGAATGCGATATGGAATCCAAAATCTTGCCCTGGCAAATGACTTCTACGAATGTCACTGATGCCACTTTCAAGCTATCAGCGGCTTGCCCTGAAGATAAAAATGGCATTCCATACCTCGTCAAGATATCCGCTCCCGTTGTTGACAATGCGTTGTCAATCACCGTCAGAGCTATCTCACTGCAATATCAAGACCAGTTGGCCGCCCGGGGCTTGGCTCCAAAAGGCACTCAGCTTAGTAGCTTCTGCAGCGGAATCGTAACAGGCACACCATCTGGGTCCAGTTTTGCGCAAGGAGATATGGTCTTTGCGGTTCACAAGAACTGTTTCCGCTCCGCTGCTGCCGTTCAGCCATCATCTGCTGTTAAGCTACCATATGGATTATCCACTGAAGATGCGTGCTGGGCTATTCCCCCTCTCCTGACAGCTAATCATGGTTTGTTGGATATTGGTCGAATCCGAAACCGCGATTCTGTTTTGGTTATGGATGGTTGCAGCATTCTGGGACAAGCTGCAGTAGGCTTGCTTCTGAACGAGGGTGTTTCGGAAATATGGTTGACAGCAAACAGCAATGAAGATTGCCAGTGGGCTTCTGAGAGATTCAATATCCCAGAACAACGCATCATACCGACGTCTGCTGTGGGAAGCACCTTTTCATCCATACAGTCAGAGCCTCAGTCCAGGTTTGATATTGTGTTCGCCACAACCTCGGTCGCCAATGAACTGGGAGAACAGACTTTCAGGAGCATGATGCGGGAGAATGGGCGAGTGGTGCTCGTTTCCAACGATGACTCCCATTCCGCATTCCAGTTTGGCTCTTCTTCTCTCAACGTTTGTTTCCTTGCTAGTGATAACACTCAGGTGTTGCAGGAGTCTCTGGAATATGCGGTTTCCACGCCCATTTTGGAGTCACTTCTGAATGCACGAGAGCGGGTCTCCATGTTTCGAATTTCGCAGCTGGACGAAGTCATGGCGTTTTTAAAGCAGTCAGGAAGTTCCGATGCCGCTGTAGTACGCCTGTTTGAGTCGGACGCGATCAACGTGAGTGTACCCCAATTTGAAGCAAAGCATATCTTGCTCGTTGGGACATACGACATGTATTAACATATCTTTCAGGTTCGCGTCACGCAGGACTATCGACTACATTGACTGAAATGCTACATACGTCATCTCAGGGGGCCTTGGAGGCGTTGGCCGATCGATAGCAAGATGGCTCGTTGATAATGGCGCTAGATATCTTATTCTTTTGTCAAGATCCGGCCCCAAGACAAACGAGGCACAGTCTTTGGCATTACAATTCCAAGGTCACGGTGTTCAATGCGAAATGCCCGCCTGTGATGTCACGAATCCCAGTGCATTGCGAGCGCTACTCAACAAGTATGCAGACACCATGCCACCAATCAAGGGATGTATCCAAGCCGCCATGGTCATGCAGGGAAGATTAAGTCAATGGAAGACTCTACGCTTTATGGAATCCATGCTAACAAGTTGATTAGGAGGGAATATTTTCCGAACTATTACTCTCTAGTTGGCAAAGTACATTACAGCCAAAGCTACAAGGATCATGGAACCTCCATGCCATGCTTCCATCAGATATGGACTTCTTCATCATGCTGTCATCCGTCATGGGCATTTTGGGAACCGGCTCCCTAGCACCATACAATGCCGGAAACACTTATCAAGATTCTCTGGCGCGCTATCGAGTCTCTCAGGGCCAGCGAGCCATCTCTTTCAATCTTGGCGCTATACCCGACGCAGGCTATCTCGTTGCCAATGCCGAGTACGCAAGCGGACGACGACAAATTCACGAAACAGCCAAATATACTCCGACTTGCATCCGCGATATTGTTGCATTGCTCGAAATATTCTGCGATCCATCCAGTAAATTGGCCACGCACCCAACCACCTGCCATCCCATTGTCGGCCTTCGTCCACCATCCCACTGGGGGCATCTTGAAGAAATATCTTTTGTGTTGAGTCAGCCATTCTGGCAGCACATGCATCACATTCCACTGCCAGCTGGTGAGGCTGAGGGTGTGGACAATGCACACGGTTTAAAGCCGGGCAAACAAGCGAAGGATGTCGTTGCCAAATTTGTGGCCGCCACATCAGTCAATGAGAGCACGGAGATCGTCAGTGAAGCACCCGTTGCCCGTATCACAGGGCTATTGGGCGTGGCAGAAGGTCAACTTGATTTGCACCGGCCCATGCATTCTTATGGACTTGACTCGCTATGCGCGATTGAGGTTCGTAACTGGATTGGCAAGACATTTGGTGTTGATGTGCCTGTCTTCATGATTTTGGGAGGGATCACTTTTGAAGGCGCTGCTAATGCTATTGTTCATCAGTTTCAATCGCAAAAGTAGCACACGGGATCCAGAAAAGCGGTGACATCTGGACTTTTTAGCGCGTTGTAATGCGACTGGGTCTATACCATGCACCCGACCGGAACGCAATCCGCAAAGGACAATGTAACACAAGTCAACCTAACATTCGTTGGCATCAACAAAAATGAGGCATATGAAGCAGAGTCAGTGATTGGCTTCGTTTCTAAGACCTGGTTATGGTTATGGGTATTTTAAAGGTGATGTGTACACCAAGGCTGTTGTGCCACGAACCTTCTGGTAGTATATCTGTGGACAACGCGAGCCCCTTGTTCCTTGTAATCCAGGAAAAGCAAGGGTCGATTGGTAAGACTGTCTATTTAAATGAATCATTATTCAACTCGATGATCGCTGAGCGATACGGCATTGCTATTACTACGCTATCCGTACATGTAGACGCAGTGTGTACCACTTCCCGAAAACGAACTTCTAGCCCCGGCAAAGGAATTCTCGAAGCTCAGCTGCTGCCTGCTTCACGTACACCAACCTTCCTGGCCGTCATACTTCTACTCAGTCCCCTGAGCTCTCCTTGTCGATTCTGTGTCATCTTCTCCAGTTTCAACACCATCCCGACCGCCTTGTGATCTTCCGTGAGCTTAGGGTGTCGCCTTGCGAAATACCGGGCATATTTGAATAGCGACCAGTAGCAGCTGGTGACGTTCGTAAGGACAACGAACACTTTGTAGGGTATCTAGCTCACGCTGTCATCAGCGGGACCCTAGAGATCCCTGCAAAGGGAAAGCCTGAACCTACATGGTACCACAGGACTTCCCATCTGACGCGCTCATTTTTCAATCGCAGATGGACTTCGTTAAATATGATGGTATTGAGCATATATAGCCCTAATGTTGCCGCTAGCATTATGATGCAGAACCCTGGTCGAACAAGAAGTGAAACAGGTAGTATGAAAGGAAAGAGCAAGTATAAGACGGTCTCATACACCTATTAATTCCGAGAAATGAGTAATCAGCAAGCCCTGAAAATAGCTGGCTACGTACCTCCTGAAAAACGAAGAGCTTCGTTCCGGCCTCCCATTTACCCAACTTCCAGGACCCTAGAAGATATGACAAATTGTGCCACATTCCGTTGGTGGTAAAGAAGCCCCAGCGCAGGAATCGCTGTTTGAATACGGTCATCTCACCGAAGCCGCCCCTGCCGTGGCTGCGTTTGGCAAACAAAAGAGCAGATGGTGTGGTTGTCTCCACAAAGACAGCAGTGCACATCTGAATCCTGCCACCTAAGCGTCGGCAGCTATTGCCCAAGAACCAATCTTCACTGATATTAAATCCGGGATGGTGCTGAAAAACCTCTTTCAAAAAAGATCTCTCCCAAAGAGATACAGCCCCATGGGGAAAGGTGGCACTACCGATGTGTCCTGCAAAACTGCGCTGTAAACCAGCTAGCTTGTACTCGAGATCCTGAGCCTGTTGGCAATATGAACTCTTTGATGGATCGGTATTGACAGATTTGATTGGGTATCCAATACAGCGGACTGAATCGGTTAACCGAGACACGACAACTGGGAAATTGGCGGGTAGGATGCAGTCATCATCAATGAGGAGCGTGTAACGGAAGTTCTTGGCAGCATAGCAGCCGATGAATAAAGCGACAATCTTGGATCCGACAGGGCACCAGATATGATTGACCCCATTGGCTCGACATATTTCCTCGGTGTTGTCGAGAGGAGTTGAGGAGTTGCCGTTGGCGATCACATAGACATGCGAGGCGGGGAAGACTTTTAAAGCAGCTTTGAGAGTCTGACCAATAATAGGTCCAGACCTGTAGCACGGGATTAGGAGAGCAGTATCTGTGGCTTCCGGGATAATACGGCGCTGCTGGTAATAGTCCGGACCGAGGGCATCATTTTCGAAAGTCCTGAGGAGTGGCGTAAAGGAATAGCTGTGAAGACAAGAATGTAAGTATTCTAGCCAGGCTTTTGGCCTTGTGTATAATTAAAAAAGCTCACAGGTATCAACCTAAAGGTCAACTCACAAAACAAGCAAAGCGATCGCGATTGCCCAGCCACCTGAGAAGACAAACCTGCGTTGCATCAACCAATACAGCCAGCATACGGCCCCTTTCCACAAGGGAGTCCCTATAAGAACAAGATAAGCAAAAGCCGCAAGCGCTGTGTAAGCTCCGTACTCAATAAGTAGCCGGAGCCAATACTTGCGTTGGTGCTTGATATTGACTAAGCTGGTCCGGTCATACAGGCTCATCAGGCTGCTCTTCCGCGGCTTCGTAGCTGTACTGCTGGGCTGGTGGACAGGCAGGTGGGACAAGTGAGTACCGTTGTTAGGTAAGGTTCGCGAGTTGCTATCTTCAAAGTCTCTGTGTACTTCTCCAGGCTGTTCATGCTGGATTGACTTTCTCCAGTGGGGGCGGAGAGAGGTATTCCTGTCTCCAAGTGACTCGATACCACTTTGTCCTTCACCATCCAGGATAATTGGAATCCTTTCATCTGGTTCACCTTTTGCTGCTGGGGTTGATGTTGGTCGATGCCGCCCAGTGCCCACTTTGTAGAACCCATCGGGCGCCTTGCGTGTTGTAGGCTGCCTTTTTTTAGGAACGTGAATTTCTTCGACTTGGTTGTTGTGTTGATGGTAACGAGATGATCTCCTTGAAGCCTCTTGGCCCCAGCCGTCTTTAAGCGGGACTGAGGTCAGAAGAGATTCAGGAACGAATATCTCTTCGGCAATCAGCCCATCATTAATGAAACGCATGCTGTAGGAGATATCTGCGATCTGAGTTTCCCATGAGCATTGTCGTAGGTCCACGGCCTCAGAGATAAATGTCGGTGGTGTTAATCAAGCGGCTTGCGCTTGTTGTGATTTCCGAGGGTTTAACCCCTATTAGGTCGAAAAATGTAGGAGGATAAGGCCTCGTGAATATCACCGTCACCCTGCGTGTAAACAGCTTTCGAACATCTTTTGGGAAATCAAATGTACCAATCCAAAGGTACGAAGTAGTATTAAAACAATGCTACCTTGCGTTCACTGACTGACTACCTTCGTCATTGGATGGGAGCCGATACCGAGCAATGCTCGCTCATTCTTCATGCGCCATTGATACTCATTATACCGCACCCTTACTGATTGCGAGAATATTTGTTTACTCCATTCTCAAAGTACCGCGCTACCTCAGGGGACTTGTTCGCTAACAATTTACGCAAAAAGAAGGAGGAGGTTGGTGGGGGGGGGGGGGGGGGGGGGCAAAACCTGTCCTAACTTATTTCCCGGTCTTCCCGCCCACCCATTTTTATTTTTATTTTTATATTCATGAAGCATTTAAATATTCAACTTAAACCCTATCTGAACATCTATCAGCCTTATGACCAGGCGTTCCGCATAACTGCATTTATATTGCCGTCTGTTGGTGCCATTACCGGTCACCGAAGCCGTCTGTGTGGGTGCTGCGAAGGACACACCACCACCTTCTAAACCACCTAGTAGACCAATCAATGCCTTGCTCATGGGCTTCATAAACAAACATACCTCCAGTCTTCACTATCTCCTTCCTAGATAGCCTCTTTTTTCGTAGTTGTTTCTTATTGGTGGCCCGTAAATCCTTAATTTCTTTCTCTATTAAGATCATGCTTTGCATCACTTGCTCGCAGGCTTTGTATGCCTGGTTAATGACCTCTTTAGTAGGCGTTGGTGGGCATTTCGACCGGTATTTTAGTAGCTTTTTAGCTGATTTCGCATGCTTAGAAAGCTGGAGAATTGTTGTAGGTGTTTCAGGGCAATAAATGCTTGATTTGCTTGTAGGTCGTTCAGTGATAGGTGTCGGTGACCGAAGCTGAATGTTCAGCTTTAATAGCACTGGTCCTGCATCTAATGGGGCTAAACCAGTCGTTTTAAATGCATTCTGAATAGTCTTCGCCTGATATGCGTCTGCGCGGGCTTGTGGATATGCTTCGAGGAAATCAAACTTATCGATATGGTTGATTCCTATACGTGTCTGTTGGTCCACTAAGCGACCATATGATCGCTTTAGAACTGCAAAGCAGCCCACATCTAATGGCTATAATAGATGCGAATTATGCGGCAGCATACATATCGGTACAATATCATTTGCGGCGCATAAATGAACGAATTCAGGCGTAAGGTGGCTATTATGAGCATTAAAGATCAATAGCCTATACCGACCACGCGTATAGCTTGCGGTCACCGGAATAAAGAGTGATTGAAGCCATCGAAGGCTAATCTTATCAGATGTCCATCCAGTTGGGCTAACCTCGAAGCGCCAGCCCCTTAGTGTATCGTGAAACCAAGACTCAATATAGCGCTTACCTTTGAATATAACAAGCGGTAAAACCTAGCCTAAAGCATTGACTGTTTCCACTGCAGTCACCCATTCACGATTACCTAGTTGTAGAGTAGATCTACGGCCATGATATTTAGCTCTAGTGACCACCTTTGCGGCAGAAACTACGCCTATTGCGAAGTTTGTTTCTTCGAAGCTATAGATATTATCAGGCAGAATACCATAGCGCGATATAGTCTCTTCCACAAGCCGAAACCACCCACGAAGGACCCGTGGGTCTTCTTGCTCAGCCCTTTTATAGTCATATCGACGCGAGAAGCGTGTTTGGATCGCCGGCGTACGATTGATTAGTTTCCAGTCCAGTTCTTGCCGACACGGTCAGTGCCCCGCAATGCAAGCAGTAAATCAGCCATTTCACGCACTATACTAGGCCGAGGGGCTGCACCACGGTCGTCCATAGAGAGAATCCACTTCTTAAGCGTATCCTCTTCAAATTGAGTCAATTCATGACTATTTGCGTGGATATTGGTCTGCGAAACGCGGCCTGTGATGCGGTCGCGTAGTGTTGATCGCGAAATGCTATACGTACGCGCAGCGGCTGAAATAGAAGAGATTGTTTTATTCTGAATAGCCTCAATTGCTAGCTCGATCCTACCCTCTTGGTGAATAGAATCTTGCTTTGTTTTAGACCGAATTGGTGGCATGGTGGGTGATTAAAGTGGTGGGGGACAATTGGAGACGCGGAAGTTGAAAGGGGTGGCGACCCGCTTGTGAAATATGTCGAACTCCGCAGGAGAAGATTACCACCTTTCCTATTACAGATTGATGATTCAGCGCGTGCTTAGATCCGGTCTATTTTACTAGCGTCTATGCGTTTTATTCAACATCACATCATTTTTCATTCCTTAGGCATCAACTGCTGAATCAGCACACCCAACCCCCTTATTTTGCAAATCATCATGTATTTAGAAGAACACATCTCAAGTACTGTTCAATGATCCCATTGGTCTATCTCCGTACTAGTGCGTACAGCTTTCTTCGGAATCGACAGATCCTATATTACTGTTTTTGTATGTAAAGCGCACGTAGGCGTACGTATGGGCTATACAACTAGCCTGCACGAATCAGGCAGGATCGCTCAACTCGATCCAGCACTCAGAAACAAAAAACCCTCTTGCAATGGGATCCATGATTTACCAGTCCATACACGATTCGTTCCGATTCGACAGTTTATCATACTGCAAGACAAATTCTCTTTCCCAGTCAGCTGAGTGACGATAGATAATTCGCCGTATGGCCGCCTCATCATCAGGGAGCATTGCAGAGATGAATATGTAGTTCAATACCAAGAGGAGCTGATGGAAAGTCGGATGTGATTCTTCTAGTGCGAACATGGGACTTACAATTGGACTTTCCAACGGAGATGGCAGCAATGCCTGGTTCCATACATTAAAAACCTCTGATTGGCTCTAAGATCGTGCATGGGGTCGACTCACTGAGAGCTTCATCCTGGAATATGCCATGGTAGCGGGAGGACTTGCAGCAGACAAATGTTCAGGAGAGCGAGAATCAACATCGAAGGCTTGATTTTCATTCAATTCCGTAAGGGGAACCGTCTTTCAAGGACCATGAGCATCAGCCAAGTTCAAGTTGCCGCAGAGTTCGAGCTACTGACCGGTTCGTCTTGATCTGACGATGTCAGCCGAATCGATGGCGCTTGTAAGCTTCGGCAGCTTGTGTTATGAATGCGAGTCTCTTGGGACATTCCTCCAAGAAAGCCCTTGCACGTGCGTGATTCAATACTGCATCGTTGTCTGGCGATACGGCACGGCTCGCAAGATGCGCTCCGGTCCACATTCGCTAGATAGGAACAGAGGTCACCTTTACCACGCCTGATGCAGGCTTGGCATGAAGGAAGCTGACGACTGCATCGAATCTTTGCCGCTCGACACGACTCGCAGGCTCGAGTTGATGTGGGACCGCTCGAGGATGGCGAGCATCTTTGCGGACGCAACTTCGCTGGAAAGGTGGTATACATATGAAGTAGTACTGATGAAATGACTGTGGAAACACTTTGACGTTCAAGATTGTCACTGCTAGCCCTAAGGGAAGAACCGCCACTTTAAATGTTGATGAACGGACGTGCGAATGTCCACGAGCATAGCCTCGATTAGAGCTCACTAGAATACGCCAGCGGTGACGTGCCGCGTCACTCATCCATGCCACAAAGTAGCGTAATTCTAAACATCGAAGCAGTTCGGGGAACGTTGACTTGCTTCCCAGTAGCGACTGAGTTCCCAGAACCCCCTTTGAAGATCTCAGGATCGGCAATGCTAAATCATGACCCGAATTTACTCATTGGGTGATTCTTCCAGGGAGCCAAGGCTTCATTAGTTGAAGCAGATCCAAGTTGACGGCGGTCTTTCACACTTAGCCACCCCCCATCAATGCAGACTCCCTATGCAGTAATCAAATTGTGTGCCCCGAACGGCCAAGGAGATCATCTACCGTCGTAATTTGAAGGCAGAATTATAAAATATTGCTGAGCGAGGAATGCAGGTGGGTTCACTACCAGAATTTGTGAATGTAGCCAGTCCTTTGCCTACGGATCGGTAGCAATAAGCGATTGGGAGTCCATCTATAAAGCCGGGGCAAGAACGTCTCCTCGAACTATATCAGTTCCTATGGCCTGACGATCCTCTTGCAAAACATTCGATGCTGCGCAGATTTTTGTTGGTTTTCTTCGTGTTTGGGGTCGCGGAAGAAATATTCATGAGCGGCCTGGCGAGATTTTGATCAACAGCCGTGCGTAGGCAGAATCACAGCTGGCCCCACAAGCACCAATTCTATGCAAGAGCTCAATGGCGAAGACATGGCCGACCAGGTGTCGTACGAAAATAGAGCCGGGAGCGTTTCTGCGGGTCCGTCGGCTCATCACGAGTTGACTCATCTCACTGATTCTCTTGAAAGCGCCGCCTCGACCTTGATCTCCCACGTACAGCCTGGGATGCAGGGCGTGAAGGTCCGCCGTTTTGAAATCCGCACAGACGTTGACGACATATACAGCCTATTTTGCCTTGCCGAGAATGGCCATCCTACTGACGAGAATGTAGTTCTGCAGTGTCGAGACTGCCAAGTATTGTCGCACATGGGTTGCATGGAGGAGTTGAAGCAATGCAGACCTGAGTTGCACGAGTCATGCTGCGTCTGGTAAGTGCAATGAACGCGTCTATCAAAAGGCTGGTTACTAAAGAGATGCAGCCGAAGTGAAGAGCCTCAAGACGCCCTGTTACGCGGGTGGCCATCGCAGATTCGAATGAGCACTGATGCAGCCAGAAGCTAGGGTGTCACCGCATTGCCCCATGCGATACTCCGTCAGCGGATTCCTCCCCCTCTGTATATAGATCCACCCCGGTGCACATTTTGCAGGCGGGTGCAGTGCAACAAGAGAGACCTCAGGCATTGCCCCGCAGATCTGCTAGACTGCTCGGAGAGGCACGCACACCTGGGACACTCCGCCGATCACCTAGATTTCGAAGGAATCAAATGGGTGGTTTTGAGAGGGAGAATTGATCTTGGAAAAAAGAAGGGGACCGGAAATCGACCAGGGGCTTCGAGTTGAAGCGGAGGGCACAAGACCAAATCTGTTCTATCAGTATCAAGGGCGTCGATCCTTTGTGGCCCTTCGGTCAGTCTCGCATATCTGCTTTCGTCCTAGATGTTTTAAGCTCAGAAAAGGGCGGCTGATTTCTTCAATAATCACTTGTTGTGACATAGCATGCACTGAAAACCGCCTGGCCGCATAAGGACATCTCGCAAGCACGCCAGAGTGGGACTAAATGTCAGGCAATGGGACCATCCGTAGACCCGACTAGAAGAATCGTGCATCACACATAGCAGAATCACCCGCCATGAGTAGGAGAACGACTTCCTTGCCTGGCCTCTACTCCGACCGTGATTCGCTGCAGTGAAGCCATCACCGGGTTCATTTTAGATCAAGGTAGACAAGTAGTATATGATTGATAAGGGCACCCAGCACGGTAAGACCTCCATTTGAGAAGCCTCTAATGTCAAAACCGTGACTTCAAGCTTTGTGGTCGCGTTGAATGCCCGACCTCAGAAAATCCCACGAGAGATTGCGCGGTAGTGTATTGGTATCTGGTAGAGTCCGACCTTTTCGTTCTAGACGAAAAAGCTGAGCGAGTAGGTAAGTTCGAATACCACACCGTTAAAGCCCCATCAGGGCGAGCTGCGCTTGGGAGCTACCCCAATTGAAGTCGGACTAGTTGACCTTTAGCTTCAAGAACGCGGTGAAAGCCCCAAATTTGCTATGCTGCGACAATGTGCCCCCGTCATGTATGGAAGATCTCTCATGAAGTCACGTTTTCGATTGACCTTGCTGCTGATCCCACTGTTGAACATCGCATCCATGTCAAGGCAGCGCTCCCAAGACTGGATACAAGTCTGATTGCACAATTAGCTTGAATTGGGTAAAGACCCAAGTTACCCTCCCTAGAGCCATATTCGGACCATTGGAGCTCCCCGCTGGCCTCCTTTCTATTTGTCTGACACGTTTTCCCGCTCACAAACGTTGAGATTGTCAAGAGCGTGAGCTGGTGTAGACCCAGCGCGAAGAGAATATCGCGACGAGAATATAAAGAAGAATTAGCCGTTGGAAAAGCGCAGATAAGAACGATACATACTTCGTGAAATTCAACGCTCGTGCATCGATGCTCACTTGTGAGATGCACTCATCGCGAAGAAGCCCAGCGGAGACGCGTTTGGGAAATGACGTCACGCGAAGTTAGCTGTGGCAAGTAGTCAGCGGCGCGTCTGACCGTTTAGGAAGAACGACCTAAGTCTGATTCCGTCAATGTAGGCCGTCTTGAAAAATCACAAGGCACGGGAAAGGTTGGAACTGTCTTTATGTTTGAAGTTGCTTCATAAGTCGGCCCACCAGAAAGTCCACGCAGCCACATGGACACGCCGCTGGCGTGAGTTGAGGCAGGTGCCGGAACGGAGCCGCATCATTGGAATTGGCTCCTCAGATCTTCATATGTAGAGTCAAGTTTCAATCAACTTGATCCTCTCGCAGTATGTATTATCGGGTATCACCCCTTCAAACCGACAATCAATCATACCGCAGACGCATCATAAGTGGCCATGCCGACGGCGAGATGGCCACCACAGGCCTATAAGTAGTACTCTTGACTAGCTCTGCCTCTAGATAAATGTGAAGCCGACCTTGGAAAGGCTTAGCTCATCGCGTGCCAAGAGCACGTCTCTTCAGCATCTTCACAGATGCCGACGCGGAAGACGGTGATGTAAAGTGGCCTTGTCCAATGACAATAGAGATCAGCCATCGGAATGCATAATGCGGACCCAACAGTAGGTCTTGTCATAAACTGTTCATTTCGCGTAGGTGTTGACTTGGGTGAGGTGAGACAGGGAGCCACGCTAGCCGTCAACTGTTAACCTCCAGAGCCTGTACTGCAGCCGGCCTCGCGTCTAATGCCTGCTCAAAACCAAGCTTTTGATTAGAGACGACGGCATTACCAATGGAATGAGCAGAGATCAGGTAACAAATCTTTCGATGAACGTGAGAGGTCTGCTAGAACGATAGTCAGCCATACGAATGTAAATGCAGGGGGGCGGACGCGATCCAAAGCCACCTGTTCGGTATGCTCTTTATGCAGTAGATTTTCAGTGCGATTGAGCCCCTGGGTTTCCAGAGCAGGCATTGGAGGGTATGTTGAGATGACACACGCATGGAGTGGGTGTGGGAAGCGCGAGGCAACCAGTCGCACTATTGGCTATATTAGTACCAAAAGAGGAAGAATAAGGATAGGTAGGCATGAGCGGGAGACTCTTTATCAACCCCAAAAGTAGGTGATATATATGAGAACAGACGGCAGTGCAACCCTTGCCACCGAAGAGGTCGTTCAACATGGCTGCATAACTAGACGCAGTCCTCGGAGCTCTGCCATGACCGATAATCCGTAGCTTGAGATATGAAGGTTGGTTCTCGTGACTGCGGGGTCTATGCCCATTGAGTGTACGAAGCTCGCTCTTGTCAGCTGAATGCCCTCCCAATATACATGAAAAATATGGATGGGATAGAACTGACCATGAAACTGCTTCATCGAGGAGCAAGATCGCGAGGTTAGCCGATACGCCGGGTTGGAGTCAATAGGGTTGATGGGGGCTGGCAGTTCCACCATTCAATTACTTGGACCACGACACAATCAGCAAGGGCTGAGCGAAGCCTGATGAATGGCCATTCGTTCTGGGAGAGCCGTATCAGATGGGGTGTGGATGGGCGATCTTGAAACCATCGACATAGCCTTTCAGTGGATCTGGGCTTTCCTTTGGTTTTAGCGTCACGCGCCATGTATTGCGTACACACTGGCTTACTGCCGGTGTATCGAAAGGCTTTATGAGGGGTCAATGATCTGTCATTCGGATTGTTTGAGAAGTGCCATCACTCACCCACGTTCTATACCTTGAAGGTCCGAGCTACCTAAGCGTGGATTAATATAGAGAAAGCAGCGCAAAGAGCGGGTTGGAAAAGACCGACATCCGCCGATTTGAGATACGTACCTGATGGCATCACATCCTTATCGCTGATGTGGTTGACGAGCTGTTCCTTCTTTATAGTGTCTTCTGGTCTTGTAACCAAAGTCGCAAGGATAGAAACGCTTCAATATAAAGTGCGTCTCTTGTATTCGAGGTGGAATCGGCCTTCCCTTGGGTACATGATGGGTGGCCTGTCCGACAACTAGTCCCTTGCTATCGAGTCCAAGATTGAGAGGGTAGGAAGCTCCATGAGCTATCCGGCATCTGGGCTAGCCCATACCAGGACTTGGGGAGGGGGCCGTGAATATATCTGCCATAGAAGGATAGTCAGCTTAATGGATACAGAATCAATCAAAGGTCAGTGAATACGGATCACACTCAGCGTTTGCCGGTATTCATGATGTATCAATCCATTCACCTTTCTGTGAGAGATTCTTATGATACAAGTTCGTTTGATCAGCGATTGACCTCATGAGGTTGTTATTGGGCCTACCATATAAATAGGCTCCACCGTAATCTATCGGGGGTAAGAGCCTGTCATGGTTGTCATAGAATGTGTTCAGATCTGAACTGTACACAGACCGTTTAAGAAGCTCTATTGTGAGACTGTTAGATAGGACATAGTGCATTTTTTAAGGGTCAAATGAATCAACACCTCACCTTGGTACAAACCTTTCGTGCTATGGTGGATGTATTGGATGCCTAGCGGAACCCGAGTGATATACGGTTTTAGTATAAGCTTTTGATAAGGGATGGTGGTACTCACGTATTCAAGCCTTTGTATATCAAGCCTGGAGGAAGAGTATTATCAGTGAGAGATAGGTAGCCTGGAGCTGATGGCTGGGTACACTCACAAGTTATAGACAAAAGAAAAGATCAAAGTCATCTTCGCAAATGATAGGTGTGAGGTGAGATGCAAGAGGAAAGTCAAGCAAGACGGATGGGAGCATATTTATACCCTTCAGGGCGGAGTTCCTCGTCTTTCGCTTGGATCAAGAGTGGCAAATTGTGAGAATCTCTGATTCTTTCTAGGCAAGAGGAAAAACGGCATACCAGCAAGCGGTTTTCTGCGCTCAATCAACATGGCTACTCACCAGTGGTGAGCAAACAGGAGCAGCAAAGACCGAATGACAAATACTTGGCAAGGATTAAGATTCAGGTAGAATGCCAGGAAATGCCACCAAGAAAGTGGAGCAGTGGCTAATTGAGAGACCAGAGTTTATTCACCAGCAGATTCAGTTGAATCAACAGCGATGAGCAAACATGAGGCATCCCAAGAATATGCAGAATGACAAATTGTTGTTCTCGAGATAAAGTACGAGTCCCAGTCACTTGAATTAGGGATGGCCGAATGAGGTCGTAAACTTTATTCACTCGCGAAATCAGTTGACTAAACGGGGATGAGCAAACAGGGGTTCTATCAACAATATATGGAATGACAGATACTTGTTGAAGAGTAAAAGTTGAGGCGAGCACTAGGAAGTCCTCATTTCTATTACTGAATTGACTATCTTACCGTTTCTCTCTTCCCTTGTCAAGCCCACTTAACTGGTGGACGGAGAGAAACCTGTCACCAGGCGAAATAGTTTTGCTAGCTGCATAATCACTTGCACGGCAATGAATCATACGGGCGCATAGTGGGATTTGAGCGCACCACACAAGACACGCCCTGGAGGGAACGATCAGAGTTGCCATTCCTCCTCAAGCATAATGTGAACCGTGGGCAGCCCAAATTGGCAAGACCATAACAATGCACAGTCGTTCAAGTTGAGCCAACACCGGGTACCTTGGATCCACACCGGTGCGGCCCGTGGGTCGAGGTGGGGCCACCATATCCACTCTGGTTCCTCAACATTGAGTGAACGACAGTGAATGATCAGCGAGGAAATCCAGAAGCCCTCAGAGAATGATGGTGACTGAGGGATTGCTCAATTTTGTGCGACCCCCGAAAATTCCCCAAGGCGTCCTTGGAATCGCTTTCCATCACATTTCGGCCGTTCCAGCGAAAAGCACCGCAGGAAGCGGGTGCCCGTGCAGTTTGCATACACTACTCTACGAAAGACACAAAATTGCGTCCCTCCAAAACTTTAGATTGGGAGACAGGTATTCACTAAGTTGGCATGGCATTGGCATGGCATGGGGTTTTCAATAGTAAGGCCATAATCAGAGTATATTGACAATCACCAAGAACTCAGAGCTCTCGGCGGCCTCTCCGCTGCCACTCTTGGTCAGTTAATACCAGCCCTGAGATAGGATATGTGGACACGTAGGACTCTGCACAAGTCCAGTCATGGATTTACGGATGGAATACCCTTGGATAGCAATCATGTAGGCGTTACTTCTCGGAATGTGCAGCAAAGACAAAACCTGTCAAGCCGTGTACCTCAGTACTTCACAATAAGCCGCCAGAACTTGGGCATAGTTAATCGGAGGTGGCATGGAAGCCGCACGCAATTCGACGGGCCTCTTCAAAATAGACCAATGGCCTGACCACATTCCTCCACCATGGCACTTTCGCACGCGCAGCATAATGCTGAGGACCTTCATTCTGACTCACTTCTCTGAGGTCACCGTACCACTACTGTGAACCATGGGTGAGCCAGCTCTTTGCCCTCCGATTGCAACTGCGCCAATTTTGTGATTCGACCAGCACTTTCTGTGAGTCAGGAATACTACACACCCAGATGGAATGAACGGTCCCGGTGCTGTCTGGCGTGACGTGATTGGCGATCCACTATCTGCTTTTTGTAATTGAGTAAGCGGAAATCCCTTTAAAACGATCGGCATTATCGACAAGAATTCTTCGAATGATTGCTAGTGCAGGCACTTTCTTTTCCCACATACTGCTATAACTGACCGCTGGCTACTTCGACTACTCGACTCCTAAGGCGGATGCGTATTATCAAGTGAATCATCCCAGTGAAAGCTTCTCCAGAGCCTTATCCCAAAAATGAAGGGTACTATTACTTGGTCATGTGTCTCCTGTCTGGAAAGTGACTATCAGCGATACAATATCATCATATGTCCATACGACCCATTGTCATTTTTCCTCCCAGCAAAGAGACGAATCAATATCTATACTCTATGCAAGCTTTGTAGAGCTGAAAGTGGATGCTTCTCGGGCGATGATCAACTACGTGTGGTGCTGAAGAAGAGGGATCAGACCTATTTCAAGTGGAATACTTCATGGGCGCGGTCGCAGTGGGATTACTGGCTTTCTTGTGACGAATGCCAATTGTTGAATGAATCAATGAAGGATAACAGAGTCTATATCCATCTTTTCAAAAATGTATCTATCAATTGATTCCAATACATATATGCTTTCTTAGAAAGAGGAAGTTGAAAGATAGTCTGCTTGAATTTAAGTCAAATACCGATCTAAGTTAGATACAATATGATATTTTGGTGTTGCTTTACTATCAAGATGAAACTGTAGTCTGATTACGAGTGCGGATGTCTCTTATTAAGTAGTAATGTGGAATGTTAGGCTTCGTCGTATTCAGACCTTTCGTATCAACAAAAAGGATTAATTTGTTCGCAAGCAAAAGTATACGATGGCATACATGGCGCTCAGAATCGACGAATACAGTAGCTAAATTGCACTTTGATATTGACCAGAATCCATTTAACTTCCTGATCACATCTGACCAAGCCATGCATCGTTGGTCATAGAACTAGTATTCATGAATAATCCTTAATCTAAAATCGCAAAGCAAAATTTCATTCGATACAATACGAAACTAATAGACTCAATACAAAGAAGGTCAAGAACAGAGCAAATGAGAAATCCAAACATAAGACACGGCAAATGGGCTACTCTGTTAGATAGTAACGAAGTTCCAGCTATTGGAGTTCCGAATGTGCATCTCATTTTCAATCCGCGGAACAAAAATAGACGAGCGAGGCCGAGGAAATCTAACAAAAGCTGGTAGCAGAGCTGGTAGCAAAGTCTCCAAGCGCAGGAGAGAGGAAGTCCAGATGTTGTCGCAAAGATTTGAAGTCATTCCAATTACCTGTCAAGATATAGCGAGATGAATTCCCTTGCATAGAGAAGCCTCGCTCAGAGTTGCAATGGCTATCTCGTAGCAGTTGATTCTGACTGCATAACTGATCCGAGTAAATGTGCGCGCTATTCAGCTCGTGGTTTCCGGGGCAAGTTGTATTAACTGATGAGTACGTAATTCTTGAGTCTATAATAATAATAGTAATAATGAGGGAATATTCCAATAGAAACAAGATTTCTCAGAATCGGCTGGGGGTCTGCACGCACTAGCGACAGCGATCATAACTAGACGGGAAAACACTGAAACATGGCCGCAAGACCAACAGGAGCCGTAAGATCATCGCCACCCTTGTTATATTCACAGGGCGTTTAAAAACAACAGTACCATATGGAGATTTACGGCCAGAATACTTTGCTTCCATGTCGCTGAACGCCTCTTTATCCTGCTGTCGATATCCCAATGGAAGGTATGGAGTCTGATTACAACAAACAAACAAACAAACAAACAAACAAACAATTAATTAACGCTTGGCGGCTGAGCCGAAAGGGCAACTATCACTAATCAGCTGTACATGTCCATCTGCATATGCTATGTCTCTTGCAAGCCCATATATGAAACTTTATAAAATATGACAATTCCAAAAAGCAGTGTCGCAGCGAGTTCCTCGTGGTTAGGAAGTGGGTTAGTAGGCTGGCTTGAAGGCGCTTCTCCAAGTGTTCAACATCCTATCTTCGGCAGTTGAAGCGCGTCTACCATCTGTAGCACGAGGTGGTGGGTGAGTAGGGTCGGAAGAAGGGGGTGGGGGCTATGTTGGTCGGTATGTTCAAGTGGCCTCGAGTCGGCCCGTCGCAATGGCGAAACGTATGGAGGCCCGTACTGCCTCTAGGTTTGGCGTCCACTTCTGATCATCAGAAGCCTGTTTTCCGCCCAGGAAGAAGGATATGTTTCCTCGGTTAGTCTGCGTGCATTGTAGCATTTCCGTCCGGTGCGCCGTCCACTTCCGACATCGGAAGAGGAAGTGCTCCACGGTCTCTCTTGCTTGTCCGCAATCGCATTGATCCGTCTCTGCTACATTAATTTGATTGAGATACCCATTGAGTCTAGCCATGCCGGTTCGGAGTTGGGCCAGTACAGTCGCTTCTTTCCACGTTAGGCAATCATACAACTGCCGGGTGTGTTTGCCTGGCAGTGCGGCATCCACTCGTTTTGCGTGTCTTCCTATGTTCTCTGGTAGCTCACTGCTGGGGACTGCTTGGGACCGTGCAATTTTCAATGTTGTCGACTTCATCCTCGGGGCGCGTTCTTGTGGGAGAGAATCTTCTTGTGTCGCAGCTCTGGCCCGTTCTTTAGCCAGACCTAACAGCTTATTGTCTTCGCTAGTAGGGATCCAGTGGGAACTGATCCGATTCCCATTTCTCCGCAACCTTCTCATCAACTTGTACATCTGACAAACCAGCTCCTGGCCAGACTGTCGTCGCGGGTTCCTTAGCGTGAGCGCCGCCGCCTTGTTGCTTGTGAGCAACGTAATTTTGTAGTCTTTGATTTCCGCTACCATTTTCAACACATGTGCCATGGCTGCCAGCTCCGCAGAGAACGGGTTTTGCTCTGCTCTCGTGCCTAATTTGACGGAAACGGCTTGTAGCTTCAATATACGATTTCGAAGAGCCCCTCACCCCCAGAGCAAGTTTTTCTCGCCTCCAGCGATGATCCCCATGGAGGGTAACCTATCTTGGTTCCAATTGATACATACATATTGTACAACCACAGGTTTCATAATTCAACTTTCGCAGTTTATGAAGCAACCACTATATATGACCTTGACAAACCGAGTGAGCGCGATATGTTTCCACATACGGCGCAATTAATTGCCGCTAGGACGTCAAAACATTAGATATAAGTCACAACGAACTCAGGTACTTCATATTCAGGCAAAACCTAATGAGAACTTGAAGAAAAACTTGACATAACATTCAAACGGCATGGTCCCGTAAGACCTGGCTGGATAGGATCTTGTTTGGGTACCCACAGACGCGAGATGACTAATACTGGCCGATTTCTCACAAGTGGATAACGGCACTTCTCATCATGCGCAACGCGCGCTTGGGGCAAATCAATATGAAAATATAAATAATCCATTAGTGTGTCTGCAATCGCTGGGCAGAATCTCAACACTTGTGAGACTCGGTTGACTATACCACTTGACGACGGGCAGTAGTGAGAGTTTGGTCGGAGCGTGTTGAAAGAGCGTGTTGCAATGCAGCACGTAAAGTCAGTTGCGATCTGCGTTATTTCAGATAAGGATTCCAGTTGTACTGCCTCTGGGTTATGTACTGTAAAAGACTTACTTGCACCTGCTGGGGTCGCAGGTTCAGAATGGCCTGCGAGCTGCAGGAAAATCCCAAGTTTAATGCAGTACCGTACTCCAACCATATCGAATTGAAGAAGAGTTTCAGCAAAACACATTTGACATGCCTGAAATTTTTTCACTTGGATACAATCTGCTCAGAAACGGTTGGGTATAAATCAACGTTCTAGGTAGCATGAGTACGTTGCAGTGCTGGGTCATAGGCCGGAACGGATTGAAAAACGTGGTGTTTTGTGTATACTATGTTGTGTATGGTTCTTCAAATTGTATTTAAGTCTTTCTATAGTGGGGACCACATAAGAAAAGTCTACCCGTTTTCCTGCTCAAATGAGCAATTTCTAAAATAACAGAATGCGATTACAACCGCGGTTTGGGCTTTAAATGTATGTTTTGAAAAATTGCATGAAATTATGGAACACGAGACAAGAGACTGGTGGCTAGCAATACAAGATACTCGGCTCAGGGCTCGATCGGCGTTTGTGGGTGTCGGCCGCAACGAACGGGACAAGGCACTCTGGACGAAAAATTGATCGCGTAACTCGAGCCAGGACCTCGATGTGAATAATCCGAAACTTTCAAACTCTCGGACAAGGCGCAGTGAGGCAAAATTGGAGACGATGAGATGGGAGTAAGAGAAGAAAGGCAGCGGGGTCTCCGATGCCCCATTCTAGCTATTTGCTTAGGATACCTATTCGATAGATCCGGTCCGCGCCAGCTTCATTGCATCCCTTGCGTTCCTTTCATACCAGCCCAATCTCTATATCTTGAGTCAAAACTTTTATTTCGGCCTTTGGTCACCTACTCTCTGCGCCAATATTGTATATTTGAGTCGAATATTATGATTCCACACTTTGAAGCTACCCGTGCCATGCTCTCAGGCGAACTAGCTCCCCTTTGGAGCATGATACAATAATGAAATTGTTCTTGGCTTATTTAGTGCACAATGAACAGCCAATCAGGCTCAGGCGAGGATCCACTCGAAGCTGTAAGCCCCTGTTTGTTATTGTCCCTTCCAAAAGGAAAGTTCATGTTCGTATGCTTTCTCAACAGTCCCCTGTTCATTGGACATGGGAATCAATCGAAAGGCTAAGCCGCATTTGGGCTTTATTCTGTACTTGGCACTCCAACTCCCATCGCTTTCAATGGCAGATATAGTTACCTGCTATACGCCCAATGGAACTAGCTTTGATGCTGAAAACGCAAAGATATGCAATAGTCTGGATGGTACCGTCAGCATGTGCTGCGCTCAGTCTGATGAATGTCTCAACAATGGCCTTTGCAAAATCAAAGGGGATGAGTCTTCGGGTACCATCGACACTTACTGGCGTGATATGTGTTCTTTATCATCCTGGCCGGATATTGGCTGTTTGAAAGTCTGTGAGGTTCGTGAATACCAATAACCCCTTTGTTACTTTGACAATCCCTTTTTTCCAGATGGTAATTTGGACAGCAGTCCCATGGATAACAAAATGTCTAGGGAGGCACCGACTTACAAACGGGAAATTCACAAATGACGCCCTGCGATGGCACGGATTATTCTGAGACTTGGTGTTGCGGTGACACGCACGACTGTTGTGAGATGGGGGATGAGGTATTTGTGCCTCTTGACATCTACGCAACTTCCGCCTCGACGACGACAACCCTTTTTCCACTCACGCCAACCAAAATTATGACCAAACCAACTCCAAAGATTAGCTCAACGATGACCTTGAGTGCACTTGACCACCCATCGTCTGAATCCGACTCATCACGAAATCTTTCCATCGACGAGAAAGTTGGTGTCGGTGTCGGGGTGTCCATCGGAGTTATTGCGATAGCCGGGGCCACGACATTTTTCATTCGTCGACCAAGTGGTAAACGGGCAGCTTCAGTAGACGCGCCTATGGAAAACCCCCAAATTCCGCCGAAGATACAAGAGAGCAATACCACTGCGATTTATGAGAAGCCTGCTGGAGATCATGATACGAGACACGAGTCATTTCCAGGGTTAGCTCAATAAATGACGGCATGCAGCATGGCTGGAAAAATCTAGAGGGTTTCGAAGCTATTCCGAGACAAAGATGTGGTCACCGATCGTACCTCAAATTATGCAAGGTATCATGGGACAGCCGTGGTGCCGCATGTCTGAGTTAATTTTACACTTCCAGAGGGAGCGGTCTCTTGCACGAAGTCAGGAAATCCAATAATGTGAACGGCACCTGTGAATTATGAAGTCTGGTGGCTTTTGAATTGCTTTTTGGCTTAGCACTATAATGATTGGAGTACCTAGTTAGGGCGTGGTAGTTTATTGCATGTATACTTGACTAAGTGATGCTGGATATGTAACAACGCCAGGGCTGTTTGTAAGGTTCGCTAAAAGTCCTCCGCAGGATGCAGAGCAGACTTTACGGTAAAAGTATACTCCACCGTAGATTTGTGACCAACGCAACGTCCAGTTCTCTTCAGAAAAGCCGAGAGCTAAGTCGGCATCTTGATCTAACGGTCTAAAAAGTGGCCATGGATGAGCGCGTTGCCGATCCGCCGGGAGCATCTTAGCTTGGACGTGCGCGCCCGTCGAGTCTCTACCCGTGACACTCGCAACACACGACCACGATATCGTACAACAACGTTGTTGACACGTACATACTACAAATTCCCAGAGCCTCAGAATGACTCACCTCTGTCGCCTCGCTGCCCAGTTCGCTCCAATCGTCCAAGCAACGTGCTACTCCTTGTTGCTAGCGAACTCTGACCCTCGCAAACGCCACAAACGAAGAGCCATCGCCATCTACAGAACCCTTGATTTCAGGACCATGCTGGGGTCGTTCGAGCCAGCAAGATCCTAGCGGCTCCAGTAAATTGAGAAAAAAGATTCAATATGTGAGGCGCATGGTGGGTATCCCCATTTTGTGTCGGTCACATCTGTAGGGTAAGATATACGTCAACCTAGTCTTCCTTTATCCGCATCGTTTATGAAAACTCAGTACGGGCTCTTCTTGCCTACATTGTCTCGATTCAAATAGCCGACATCAGATATAGTACGGTTACTTTGTGTGCCTTCAAATCTCACTTTAGGGCAGCTGTGGCAGCCTCTGTGCATCCATCGTCATTTAATGAACGCAGGGCCAAGAAAGATAGTTCTTAAGACAAAGGAGACGTCCCCTGGATACCATTCTTTTTTGGAGTCTAGATATAGGCCAACTGTCTTGTCAGTGAGTTTATGAGGACTCGGCAACGCCCATCTTTTGGAAACTTTACAACATTGGCGAGACCTGAAGCTCCCGGTCGAGGGTATCTCACTCTCGCTTTAGTATATCCACTAGTCGACCGATTTCAAGTCGTAGGTAGATAATCTCGCAGTATGCAGTCTCAATTTCCATCCCTGAGATCGGGCTATTGTCAAACTCTATTTCTTACATCGAACATTGACTCTACAGAGCGTTTAGTAAACGCTACCTCTCCGTTTGCTCAACAGTTTAAGTGATTTTCAACAGCTCAAATTCTGCCCACCAGTTTTTGTTTTCTTTTCTTTCCTTGCCAAGACGCTGCAAGAGCCCAACCATGGATCTTTTCGAACCTTGTCAGCGGTGAAAGATTACGCTCAGCACCCTAGCCATTTGAAACGATATGTGACAGACCTTCTTTTCACTGAAAACTTCATAAACATGTAACTCCTCCTGCACAGGATCCTCAGCCAGAATAATTCACAGTTGAACTGCATCTTACTGCCACATTTTCCTGAGGTCTGCTGCTCAGTTGAGCAATGGCTCCCCATAGTACGGTTGGTTGGTCAACCTGGGAGGAGGAAAACCTGTTACCCTGGTTGGAATCAAACCGAGACTTGACCTGGAACGCTCTGTCTCACGCCTACTGGCAGCAATATCAAATAAGAAGAAGCGCCGAGTCTCTGAGAGGGAAAAGGTACCACATCCTTCGGAAACGCCGCGATGCTGGTCATACACCGATCAAAAATAAACGGCAACCTACAACGTGTGAACATCGCAAACTCCTTGTGAAAGGGAGAAAAAGAAATCCGCTCAAGCGCCAAATCAGACGATGGCTCCGAAATGTTTCCACAGGACAATCAGACCGCAGTGATTCTACAGGAACCAAGAGATCATCGACCGGTAAGACATCACCTAATGTTTCTACTACATACCAAGCTGATCAATTGGTAGGTCTCGAGGTAGTGCCGTCAGGTTCTGCCCAGCTTGATTATGCGAGAAACTTGTCGTGGATCTGGGACTATGCTCATCGACTCGGTGCAGCAGGGAAATTGGCTCTTTGAGATGCTTTTAGCAAATGAAAGAATACATTTGGAGAGATAGTGTTGAATGAAGCAAGAGGTTCCACAAGATAGGTTTTCTTTTCCAGAAACATTAGAGGCTCTCCCACCTAACCCCCGAGAGACTCACAAGCTCCACGTTGAATCGACTAATTTGACTTCTTTACTTCAGAAAATAAGTGTACCCGGAATAGAAGCCCTCTTCCCAATTCTGCTCCCTTGAGTGTCCTCATCGGTTGGATGTACATATATGAAGATTTGAATTGATAGTCTTCAAAAGCCCAAAGTGTTGATGATATAACCGCTATATACAAGATAAATCTCATTGGAAACAATTACAGCCCCCTCATTGAAAGCCGGCAGGTCGTCGAGTTGAGGTCACACAGCCAGACGAGATGGCGTGAACCTGGACCTGGAGCCTCGACTTGAGACGTGATGGCCTCTGCAGCTTGAGCGTAATTTTGGCTGCAACAAGCCAAGATTCTCCTCTCATCTGCTCGCGAAAGGAGAGGGGATACTTTTCCAATAGAAAAGAGGAGCCGTGGGCTTCTGGAGCCAAGTGAACAGGGCTGATGGATGCAAGTAGCCAGAAGTACCCACAGGAATACTTAAAACAGTCCTCGCTAGTGCCCCATGAAGTAATGAGTGTGTTGAACAGAGCGCCAAAATCCGTCCCCGGAAGTCCGATATAATGATATTCTTCTGAGCCACTGACATTTAGTTGGAGACCTTCAATGATCAGCTCCCCCTCATCCAAAGGTGGGTCGAGTACCACGGAATCTGACATCCAGAATTCGGTTGACCAAGAAATGGGTGGAAGCAGAGGCTGAGGGAGAATCGGGTCTTTGAAACGGACGAGGAGCTTGCTCAGGCTTTTGCCTGATTCTCTCTTAGTGCGGCCCTGTAGAATGATTCTAGCACCAGATCCTTTCTCGTCTTGAGAAACGCCGATCGCACATTCAGACCAGTCAAGATTTCTAAGATGTGCAGGCTCGTGAACAATCACGCCCAGTGGTCCAACAGAGACGAAGATGTTATCCGTGTCAGGAACATTCCATGCTTGGCCGTGCGGGAGCAGCGACGAGTTGAGCAGCATGTTCATTCGCGCACCGCAGAGTTTCCGTTGGTCCCATTTCCACACTAGTTCCTGCGTTTTCCAATATACGAATGGCGAGGTGCTGATGGTTGCGGTAGGGGCGTTACCTTCGGCTCGAATGAAGCGACCACTGATTCTCTTGGCAAGTCCATCAGTGATCGAGGTGAAGGATTCCGAGCCTTTCTTCCTAGAGGCGGGGGGAGGAAAGCTCTCTCGACTGGGAGACATGAAGGGTGTCATGGAGTGGCAAGGGAGGGGCAGGGTGGGGTTGATAAAGATGATCCTCGAAGATTCTGAGAGTCGCCATCCGGCCGGCTTTAAGCTGCGCCGGTCAAATTCCAACAGTCTAAATGTGTGTTTGAATACACCAAGAGCTCGTCATTTTTTGCTCTGTCGCCAAAAGACCCAACCGTGGCGTGTAGGCGTTGCGGTAAACCTTTTTCTCGGTGAGTGATCGGTCCTGGTGAGCAAACATGAGTGATTGTTCTAATAAGCCTGAATTATTACCTGCCTCATATCATTTACTCTACCTTGACTGGGAATGCTCCAACCAAGACTTCGAATTCAGCGCGAATTACATATGTGAGACAATCATCGGTACATTTAATTCGTGTTTCCGGGGCTAGCTTAGGGCTATGGCTCGAAGCATCAGTCATCAGAATATCAATCCGAGACAAGGCTACCACAGCAATAGTCTAAAACCGGGAAGCAGATTCACTGCAGAATCATCCGAGCCTTTCTTCCCCAGTGAACTTTGCAAACAATTACGCGTTGAAAGTCTATGGCAGATCATCCGCTAATTTTTTGAGACCTTTGGAGATCTCGACAGCGGGCGGGAAGAGATCGCTCTCTGACGCGGACGCTTTCATGCTTCTCAGTCTGAATGCTATTACTGAAATATTGAGCTGATTCCCGGGGCATCTCATTCTAATTTACTGTCTCTTGAATACGCAAGGACCATGCGAGTATGAGTCGCGTCTATTCTCGCTGCACAAGGATAAATGAATCAATTCTCGACTAGAGTCCTAAAGTACATGTGTTGGCATCTTCTTAGTCCATCAACTATCAGTCTAGCAGAAGCCCTCGCCAGTGTTCAAATTCGTCCATGTACTTTTCAGCTTAATCTCAACGCACCAATATTCCTAGTACATCAAGAATGCCCTTTAGCGAGATTCAGAATGTCTCGAAAGAGAAGATAGAGCATTGCGGACATAGTGCATTGGCACAGCGCCGGTTTTTGGTCTCCACTATCAGTATGTCCCCGCGCAATACGGCTTTGCGGTCTCCAAAGCAGTTGGACTCGTAATGCACGTAAGCGGAGGCTCGTTGGCGCGCTTGTAAATGATTCCGCCATTCTCGAATACCGGCTGGAAAGAGAGATTTCGGTAAAGCTTCAGTTGCATCTCGTCAAGACGAAGGGTTGGGTCGTCTGGGCTCGTGAAAATCCAACAAGCGTTACCAACAAAGTCAACACCTCGACGGGGTTTCCATTCTGGTCTAGGCTGCCAGTTGGGGAAGAAAATCTTCTTGTCAAGGGACGACTGCGGTGTGCACAATGGTACATGGTTCAGTTTGAACTGTTTGGTGCGGCGCCGTTCCCGAACTCTTGTGAACGCGTTCATAACTCTACCCATGGTAGCTGCCGGGCTATTGGAAAGCTGGAAAAGAGGTAGTCTCCAAATCGTGATTGCTTTGGATGACGGGACTTTGTAATTCGATGAAAGTGTCGGGGACTGCATGCAGTAGCTAGCCTTATAAATAGGGGAGGATAGATTGAGGATACGACTTACCAGAGACGGTTCTTCGTCAATCAAATTCTTGCGTCCGTAGGATACAGGTTTCAGCAATCATTGTATACCAACATCATAGATAAGTGAGGAGGGACATTCCCCATAGCATGAAAATAGGAGCAGCTTTCAAATCCTGCGGGCCATTGTTTGTTCTCCTCCGTCATTTCCTGTGGTCCATACGCCAGCACTATCCCTGGCCTTTCAAAGTACGGAGGGAATCTTTCAGTCAGTCACAACTAGCATTTCTAAATTCCTTGTCTCGCTGAACATTCACAGTCGTTCACTCAACGTCGAGACGCCAAAGCAAATGTGGTGGCCCCACCTCGACGCACGAGCTGCACGGGTGTGGATCCAAGGTATTCGGTGTTGGCTCAACTTGAACGACCATGTATTGTTGATAATCTCACCACTTTGGGCTGCTTGAGGATACGAACTCTGATTGAAAAGGGAGACAGAGGAGTGGCACAGAGTAATGGTCGTTTTAGCCCTGCCTCTAAGGCCTGTGTTTCTTCATTCACCCAAGATGCACTGCAGTATATCAGATAGTGGAGCGAGCAGAATTATTTCAACCTTTACGATACTCCCTGTTTAATTGAGAGATGAGAAATATAAAAGTGAGCCGTAAATTCCCAATTTAGCCAGCGAATAAAGTTTGCGTTCTCAGTGGGCCATCTTTTTACTTTCCTAGATGGTATCGACGGGCTCCGTAGTCTACCTCAACTTTCACTCAATGGCAACTATTGGTCATGCCGCCTATCTTTGCGACTCCTGTTTGCCCAACCCTGGCGAGCGAACTGGCTCAGCTACTTAACAAATATGCTTTCGGTCTCTTCACGTATGTGGCCTAGAAAGGAAACCGATTGATCTCGCGAAATTTTTATCAATGGAGGTGATCATTTCAAGAAGTACATCTAGGCTGGTCGAGCCGTGTGTGATGAAACATCTATTTGAAGATGTAAGCACAGCCCACCTTTTCTGATCTTGGTTGTTCTCCGCGTCGGTTGCCCACACGGGATCAGCCATTGAAAATAGCGGCTTGTATCTAGTGTGGGAAATACCGAGCTTGGGATAGAATTCTGTGCTTCACTGAGCCGTCTTTCATCTCAGGGAGAGTTTCGGTACGGGTAGTTGTTACAGTTCAGAGGAAAGTTGATTATTGTTCTTATTGTTCAGAGGGAAATATGTGGCTATATATACAGCGAGAAGAACAAGTTGATTGGAAACCAACTTGTTTCTTCGTATAGACACTTCGGGATTAATTCCGACGTTGCGACTTGATTCCTGATCTGCACCAGCCTCATATCACAACACTGACGACCAGCCTCGACGGTGGCAGTTGGCGGGTCAGGCTTTGTTGATATAAGAAGGCGGTAGCAATCACTTCCGGATGGCGGGCTGACCAATCATGGTGGCTTTTGGGGGTTCAACTTGGCAACTTCAGTTGAACCCCCTGTCGGGTTTTCCAAATCCTGACCTGGAAATATATCATTCTCCTTCTTGTATGTCTCCTTCTTGTATGTGGTCTGTTTACATCGAAATTCTAATTAGAAAGTACGAATATTCATTCTCGTTCAACTCATTTGCCTAATAAACACAGTTCTGCCCTGTTTATTGGGTTGTAAAATTCCTCAACATTAAGCCATACGAGATATATATCTCAGACTTCACGCAATCATAGTGATATAACACATCACGATTTCTAGCAAATGACAACTTTGCCATATATTGACGATCGCAATAGGACTCAGAAAGCGGAGGATGGAGACGCACCCCTAATGTTTCTGAATGACAAATTAACTCATACCTCTGAACTACAACAGCCCTGATTGCTTCTTCAAGTACACCCATTAAGGCGAACTGTTGTGATATAAGATTGGTGCAGATCAGGAACGACGCCGGATCATCGGAATTAATTACCGAGATATCTATACGAGGCATCAAGTTGATTTTTTTTGTATATATATAGCCTTATGTATTCCCCCTGAAATAACAACTATAATCAATATTCCTTCCGAAACACAACACGAACATCCACCTCTGGTGGAGCCCCGCCTCAACGGGGCGGTGAGGCAGCGTGCCATTGAAGCGTGCCCCGAAGTGGAAGTCCAGGCATTCGAGCGCCACGTTGAATGGTCGCGCTGCGAAGCTGAGGCATACCACACCATTTTCCGGTCTGTCTCCCCACATTAGCATTCATGTCATCGGACTTGGGACATCTCGCAACCTCTGGGATAAACTCGAAGAAAGGTACCGGCGAATGGAACTCGCCACATTTTGCGAGCTGTTCGCGCAGCTTCGTGAAACCACTGGCGAGCTGCGGCAGTGCCCGCGAATTTGTCGATCGGGTACGGTTGCTCGTATACATTAGTAAGATACTAATCTTTCTCTTCACCTGTGCCACGGTGAAAATGAGAAAACCGCCAGTGAAAACCAATCCCATTGCTCAATCATAGGAAGTAAGTTATATTCATTTTCTTGCCACTTTGAGTCGAGCGACGAATCTCTCGTTTTCATATTTATCAAGGTATCTTTGCCGGCCCAAGTATCCCGCATAAATTTAGGCTAGCAAGGATTCGTACACATGTAACATCGCCACATTGTTGGTCCGAATTCTGCTTTTTCTATGTAATATCTTGCGTAGGTGGAAATTCCCAACTCTTTAGTGGATGAGTCCTAAAAATCACACTAGACTTATGGATACCCTAACACTTGTAAGGACCCGGATATACTTTCCCCCTGATAAATTCTTCAAAGCTACAAAAAGTTACAAAGAAAAGATTTTTGTTATTGTAGCCTAGGTTCCTCAAATTAAATACCATGGAATGCCCAAGGGCTCGACCTCAATGCGAATAAAAAAACGACCCCAAAACCGGCGCGGAGAACATTCCAAAAAGAAATCCAGATATTGCACTACATCTTCCTTCCACCAAGAACAAAATGTATCCTCAAAAATATCAAATTTTGCCGTACATGGCCGCTGTTCCCAGCCCGAATGAGGTTAGTTTAACTCATGGATTACACGTCCATGTCCCTCAGGCTTAATATCCAGCGACCCAAGCTCGTGCGGCGCAGGCTGCCCAATTTCGTGAATAGCATTTTGTTCGGACGACATTTCGGAGGCTTGCCAGGCTGAGCCATTCTTGTAAGGCGCATCATGTAGCGCAGACTGCGATTGCGAAGGAGCATACGTGGGTGGAGGTAATGTCTGCTCCTCGTCGGCGACAGGCTGCTTCCTGCGGGTGCAGCAAATAACAACCTGCTTCCTGAATATAAAAAGCAGCACTATTATCACTGCTGCAAAGGACACAACTACTACTCCGGATATTGCGCCGCCAGATAGGTGGTATGTTTTGTCATCCGACGAATCCGATCTAAGTCGTATGATACGATTGATTTCTGCTACCCCTGGCAAGAAAATAATGTTCAGCGTCTATCAGAAAGTGTCTGAGGGTATTGAGTCTTTGCGAAGGGGTTTGCTCTATTCAAGAGTTACTCACTGTGCGAGTGTGTTGAATTGTTTGTAGTCATCATAATAAATCCGTACAATAGGAATAAATTGCTTCAAGATACATTGCTGGAACGTCAAGGATCAAGATATCCTCAGTAGGTAGAATGCTTGCTCATGAAACAGAAGGGGGGGGGTGGAAGATAAAAACGTTGTCACAGAAGACTTCATGGTTGTTTGGAATAGAAAACATTAGATTCGGGATCGGCATTGGCTGCCAAGAGGATTTCGGATCGGCGATACTACTGGGTGGAGTCGGTCTAAGCTTCTTGGTTGCGCAAAGGAGGGGCCTTCGGGACGGAGATGATGTTACAGCTTGAGGGTGAAGAAATCCTGGGACGCCTAAGCTCTGCATAAAAAAGGAGACCGAGGATCATAAAGTATGCCAATGACCGAAAGGAGAGGGTTGGTCGGTCGGAGAGGCACTGCACAGCCTTGTCGTAAAGCCGATCAATGGAATGGAGTTCAGGCGTCTCGACTGGGGCCATTACTGGTACCAATGAAATTTTCAAATGATCGTATCAATGAATCCATCACCAAGTATGGCTGGCCCGCCTTTCTCCATCTGCTTGCACACCCCGACTCTGTCGCCTCTGAAGAAGGCTCTGTAACACACACGTTGTCCAAGGAGACCCTTTCTGATCCATTATTGAATAATTCCAGTGGAGCCCGCCGAGACTATCTTCAAAAATGTCCTCCAGCTCGGGGACGATGTTCTTGTGAAGCAAGCGATTAAATCTTGTTCACAGTGCTGCGGGAACTTCCATTCTGCCGTTATTGATCAGAGCAAATGAAACACGTGGTTTGAGGTGGGTCTTGAATAGTGACATGGCGCATGCATCGGATCCTCCTCCACCAATTCTGTGGGTGTCACTTTATGACTTCTTACTTCGTGTGGTGGGAAAACTGCCGTTGGGTGCGTGCGCAGGTAATTGGACGCCTTAAGCCCCTTCCTATGTACGACGGGCTATCTCTGGGTGCAGTTATTTTTAGTTCTGCCCCTATGTAATCGAGATGCGCCCATTTGAACCTATAAATACATTACTAAGGACAAAAATAAGTTCCAAATTTAAGTATACGACTTGATTTACAAATAAGAATCCCTTTGGTATCGCATTGAAATGGTCAAAGTCGCAGTTGCGGGTGGTTCCAGCAGTAAGCTCTATAAAAAACCCTAATCATAATTCCACAACATCACTAAATATTCATAGCCGTTGCACGTGAGGTTATAGACGCTCTTGTCTCTCATAAACATGATGTGCTAGTCTTATCCTGAAGTGAACGGGTACGAGTTTCCGCTCCAGCGGTGAGACGTTTTAATTAACCCATTGATACAGGGTGCCGTTCCTGAAGGCGTAGACTGGGCACGGGTGGACTATCAAGACTCGAAACAACTGGGAAGAGTTCTTGATGGAATCCATACCGTGTTATCATTTATTGTTATAACGGATAAACCATCGAGGGAGATACAAAAAAACCTCATTGATGCTGCCGTTGGAGCTGGCGTCAAACGATTTGCACCTAGCGATTACTGTTCGAGCTTTGTACTCCGTCAAATATTGACTGTTTTCAGATCTGATTTAATGCCCTGGTATTCATTCAAAGAAGAGATCCGGCGATACCTCGAAGAGCCGAATAGGGAGCAAACAGTAAGCTCCACACCAAAACAATGAAATGCTCACAAAAATAAAGTGAAGGAGCACTGGGGCTGCGGGGGGACAAGAAAGAACATGGGTAGTAACTGATTCATATTAAATAGGTTCTCGAGTACACGATGTTTCAGCCAGGATTATTCATGAACTACCTTACATACCCTTACAAGTCTGCAGCTCATCTTCTTCAGACTGAATTACCATTCGATTTTAATAGCCATCGAGCGATTGTACCACAAAACTATGAGAACATATATTTGACGCTTACAAAAGTGCAAGATCTTGGGCAGGTTGTTGCTAAGGCCATTGTCTTTGAAGGAAAATGGCCTGTCGTTGGAGGCGTCAAAGGGAGTGATGTATCCCTAAAGGAACTCATTGCCCTTGGCGAATCAGCCCACGGTATGACTATATCCATCTTCCGCACAAAGCTGTATGTTAATTCAAATGCTGATATGGTATAGATACCCTTGGAGACCTCCGCCCTGGTGGTGAGCCTTTCCATATCCAAGTAGTGAAAAAGAGGATTTGGAGAGTAGGGAATGGCCAGCGTTTTGGATACCGCAATTCAGCCATCCTTCGATACCTCCTGAATATGCGGGCGATTGGCTTTCAAAGGCCTTGTTTTCAGATATGTTGCTAGGAATCTCTGCTGGGTGCTTCAAGGTCTCTGACGAATGGAACCGACTACTACCTGACTGTAAGCTTACTTCGGCTGAGGAATTTTTGATGGTGGCTTGGGCTGGTAAACCTTAGAAACGGTAATTGAATTCCATAGTTTATGTGATAGACGCAGCCGGTGAAATACTATCATCATTAACAATTTTATTCGACCAGGAAAGTTGCATTAAGCGTCAGAGACTGACGAGGTATACACGATAAGTGGGGGATGTGGACCCACATAGCTTTATCTCAGATGGGTTCCCCTGAACGCAAGGAAGCTATCTTTCTTTTGCTTCCTCGCGTTATGTCTTGTATCTAGAGGCGACTTTGGCTTTCTTAATATCGATTGATCATTTGGAAAACACGCTTCTTATCTACAGATACGTGAGCTCCTCGTATTAAAACATCATCTATGTATGCAGTGGATTAGTTGTGCTTGGCCGAGAAAGTGATGGCTGAAGTACATCCCCCGCAGTTTTCCTCTTGTTATTCTCTTGTCTAGGATAACAATATCTGCTTACGAATAGCGCAATCAGACCAATCGTCTGCTGCCGGTCGCGCCTAACGATGGTTGAAGAGTTCTGTTGTAGTTCGAAGGGAAGATTGATTCTTATTCTTTCAGAGGGAATACCTGAAGCTATATATACAACGAGAAGATCAAGTTGATTGGAAATCAACTTGATGCTACATATAGATATCTTGGGAATTAATTCCGATGGTGCGGATCAGTTCTTGATCTGCACCAGCCTCATATCACAACAAGTTCAAAAAGACAATTGAGGCCTCAGGCAGCAGCCCTCTTCCGCTAGAGTCCACGGCGTCATCTCAGAAGACACGGGGCTCGATACTATCAAGCTATGGCCCTGCGTCATCACGCCATGAGAATAGATCGCCAAAAATGGTGCGATTCGACCCATTTTCAGGAAATGCATATGACAAATCTGGGCAGTCCGGCCTGAATGGGCATGTATAATCCCCAGCTAGTCGGTTCGTCTCCTTGTTTTCCCAGCCCCAACTTCAGTGCCTCTTTCTTCTTGCTAATTCATAACGCAGGCCGAGCAGACAGAAAAGGTATGTTGCATGGCAATCAGGACTGATGTATAGTCCCTGAAAGCTTCTTGGAGACAGAACTGATACATGAGAACAGATCGTTAAGAAGAAAATATAAATTAGGTGAACGGCAAAATATTCCTCGCAAGGGTGTATATTCCCCTACCAATATGAAGGACAAATGTGATCCTGACAATCTGAAAATGGATTACAATGAGCGTCAGGAAGGGACTGGCATAGATTCGATTGCGATATTGATGACTGTGTGATACACGAAACGGATGAATCAGCCGTATTATAAAACCATCAGCTTAACAACAACAAGTCCGCTCTATCGACCTTGATAGAGATGCAGTGCCATAGGCCGCCCCACGTCCAATTGGTGAGCAATGGGTCTCATTGGCTCAACAGGCCAGTGTCTCCACATATGGTCGACCCGCGGGTACCCAAGCAAGATCTTATACAGCCAGATCTTACGGAACCATGCCGCTTGAATGGGAATATAAGGTCTATCTTAAATTTCTAATCGAGGTTTGCCTGGGAATGAAGTATTGTCGTTCATTTTAATTATTATTGACTTGTAATTGCACAGTAAACATGTATCAATTGGAACCAACATAGTTTCCTCCTCCATGCGGATCATCGCTGGAGGAAGGAAAATTTGCTCTGATGGTGAAAGAGCAGAAATGTTCACCAGCATCCCATTTCTTTTGCCTCAACAATCTGTCAATGACGTGCATATCGAGAATTTACATCGAATTATAGTGCACCTTACGGGGTGCCGGTTGTTCCGCAGATAATTACTCTTTACCACCTCTGTGGTTATTGTGAGATCATACAATCATCGGGACGGAAACGTCACATCAGCGGCTGTTGAAGTTTACCAAGTTGACCAAGTACAATCACCACAGTGTGCAAGTGGAGGTAACTGGGCGTCCTGTTATTTAATAGAGCCCCGTCGCCCACCGTCATTGACAATATTTCTCTGCCATGTAAATGCGCACATTTCCATCCTAAAGCATAACAACCATTTCAGTACCACCTTCAAGTGAAATCCTTGTAGTCATCAGTTCGATACCCAGGCTAACCGATTTCAGATGTCAGCAATATGAACGTCTGAAACTGGTTAGCCTGGCTGATCTACACTGTGACACAAAAAAGGCCTCATAGTTATCTCAAGAAGCTAAGCAATTCTAGACGTTAGCAATATGGACGTCTGAAATTGGTTAGCCTGGTGTACTCCCTAGAATAATTTCTAATTTTCCGATGTAGCCCCCCTCTTCGCACGGCTGGGTCGCTTCCTTGTTCCTACCTCTCTTTCACTATAGGTCGAATTGAGGCCAGATTAGGGTGCATGTATTTCATCTTTATTGCAAATCTATTACTCGACCAAATTGAAATATGATTTATAGACAAGGGCGAAAAAGAGCGAGGCGCGGAAAACACGTATAATGGACTACACTCTTGTAATTAATGAAGTTATCTGGCAGTACTTCGATCCTCTCGGTCTACAAGCTATTATCAATATTTAGTTGACTTGATTTTCAAATTCAAACTAAAAGCGTGCGGAGCTGTGCAGACCATAAATTCAGTGAGCTGACGATTTGGTGGTACCTTTTTATGAGAATAGCAAACAGCTGCGCGATCGGAAAGTACAAATTTAAAAAGGTGAGCCGAGAGCGAATTGTAACCTGTTTCGCGATTTTCTGTCCGCCCGGGTGAGAATGGGGTGAGAATGGAGTGAGCGCCCATTCACAATCACCCAGGATTCTCACCCTTTGTTGCGAGTCGCCGCATTGACTCTCTTAGCTGGACTGCGATAAAATAATCGGATTGCAATGATGCAATGAAGTCTCTTGGCATCTTTGTGCGTATAGCGATCTAGGCAGAACGTAAGTATATGTTCCTCAATATCATATCATTTCTGGGCAGCAATATAAGTAGCTAACCTTATTCAATTAATGCTCGTTAAAGTAACCGAAATGTCAATAATTTTCGTTTCCAATTTCGTGGGAACGAATTGGCTTATTTTCGCAATAAGTTCTTCAGTACTGAAATGTTTGTGAATTACGTCATCCATCCCAGCTTGAAGCATCTCTGACTTTTGTGCTGATCTGACATTCGCTGTCACCCTTAAAATCGGAATATGATTGTTGCCTCCTTCCTCAAGGTCTCGGATGTGCTTTGTTGCCGCATTTCCGTCCATCAAAGGCATCTCCTGATCCATGAGAATACAATCAGGTCTGCTGCTTTGGAAGGCATCGAGAGCCTCTAAGCTATTCGTTGCCTCAACTGTTCCAAACCCTAACGATTTCAGTTTCCGTGTGAGCATTTTCCAGTTGATTATTTTGTCCTCAACAACGAGTATGCTTCGAATGAAATTTTGAGCAGCATCATTTCCGGTGATACGACTCGCTGCTTTCCGCGCAATCTCTTTTGTATGAGTTGTTCGTTCATCGGAAGGGCCGCCTCGACTCAATTCTTCAATTTCACTCTCCGGCGGGTCCTTTGGGATTCTGACGTCTGAAGGAAGTTCTTTGGCGCCGGATGAGTCGATGCATACCGCTTGGATATCATGAGATAATCTATCAACATCCGAGATGTCATCCATATCAATCCCATCTCCCCAGTGGCGCATCCTGTTGCGAACCCGGAAGAAAAAGCAAAAAGTGCTTCCCTGGCCTTCTTTGGAACTAACACCAATCTCCCCGCCATGGAGATGGCAAAGCTTTCGGCTGACATTCAGACCTAGACCAGAGCCACCGTATGTTCCTTCCGTCTTCGGAGTAGCTTGCTTGAACCTCTCAAAAAGGCGGATCTGAGCATGGTCATCGATGCCAATTCCAGAATCTCGAACAGCGATCATAATGTAGGCATACTCCCCATCGGCCCATTTTGGTGATGCTGTCTTATCGAGGCTGAGTGTGGCCTCACCGGATCGAAAAAACACAACATTCGGCGGGTAAGATGACGGCCAGTCTTTGGAAGCGCCTATTGACACTCGGCTTATTCGCGTACTTTTGACTGGGCAGTGAAATTAATCGCATTTGCGAGAAGATTAATGAGAACCAGGCCCATCCGATCGAGATCGGCTATCACCCATTCAATTCCGCAGCCCGAATAGGAAAAGTCAGATTGATAAACAAACTGAATATCGTTCCTTTGTAGTTGGGACTGAAAGAGAGAAATCAGGTTCTTAGAGTGTAATTTTGGTTAAACTCTTCGGGGAGAGATTCAGCATCGATGCGTCGATTTTCGAGAATGTAAGGACATCATCAAGAATCTCTCTGGTGGGATATGCATAGGCTGATTGTCTCCGCAGATTCTCGAATACGCGAGACACACACTTTACTAAGCTATCCTTCCCGCGCTACTTCCATTATATCTTCGGTGCAGTGCAATACCGCGGAGAAAGGATTCAGTATCTCGTGACTGATCATATCAATGAAACGTCCTTGGAGTTCTTTGTGTTCTTCTGCATCTTTAACAACCTGGCTTTGAGAGTTCTTGGCTCGTACCTCTGGGTTAATGTCTGCAGCCGTAGCGATGAATCCGCTGTGGCCATCAATGTGAAATTGCAGCCATTTTAACGCAGAGGATGCAAATCCAGCACACACCAAGTCTCTTGGCCCCGGATCCGATATTCAGCTCACAGGGGTGCTTCAGTTTTTACGAATGCATCGAAAGAAGCATTCGCCCGACTGAGGTCGTTTGGATGTACTGACTGCAACCAGCGAGCCTGAAATGGAGCATTTGAGTACAGGACTAGAGTGTGAAAACTTTTGTTTTCGGATACTAACATAAAGTTTTGGTTTAGAAGTGCTAAACCATGTGGAATGACGTCGGCTAATTGTTGTGCAGAGGCAGTCGGGTGGAAATGGAGGCTCATGTCGCACTGTGCATTACAAGTTGTGACCTTCCGTCTATATCGACCATAGACAAGTGAACACGTCCCAGCGCATGGAACTAGCGATTAGTAGAACCGTTGGGTGTATTTCGACCTAGATTTCATTACCGGACTGCTGCAAGGCCTATCATTAAAAAGCTGAGTGAGTTGCCCAAGGCGGTGCGGGCAAAGGCTGAACCGAAGACAACTGCAGACTCACCTCACTGAGGCACAGCTTATATACCACTGAAACCCAATCAGTATCAGCATCGCTGCCGATGACCTCCCCCAATTCCCAAGCTAGTGTAATAAAGAAGCTTAGGTGGCCAATTCGGCATTGGCCTACGCTAGTGATGGCACCTGAAATAAATCATAGTAGTATTCATTCTGTTAAGTGTGACAGCTGCATCTGATACGGGACTCTAGGCTTCCACTTCATTGCTTCACTCCAGTATACCATGATATGCAATATTGTCTTAGGTATTGTGGCATATTCATATAATTTTCTAATAATGAAGGATGGCACAAAGAAGAAAAAGAGGAGTCTACAGGTGTAGAAGATATAGGCAAGATAGCATCCTCAATACAGAAATGCTTTCGTTTAAGGTCTCGAGACGATGGAGAGGGCAACTCTGGGATAGTGCAGGGTTCATCCATAGTATAATACTGGTATACCGGTGTATCCAAAATCCCTCGGGTAGCTTTCATAGATGTCGACGTGGTTTGGATTGGCGGTTCGAATCCTACTAGCTGGCTATTCCAAAGCCCCTCACTGCTGGCATCACTTGGCTGGCAGACAGATTCAAGGTCTTGAGGTACGTTCGCTCTTGATATGGGAAGTCTGGCACTCCCGTCTGTGACTAGTTAGCTCAGAGCCTGTAGACACTTATATGAACCTACCAGTCACTGCATCCAAGAATTTTTCCTCCTCCTCTCTGACCCAGTAAAGTTCATCCAATAGCTGCAATCGCTCATTCGGAGTAATTTGACGTTGAACAAGCCGCCCTGCGTTTTTCAATTTTCGCGCGGTGATTCCATGGCTGATACGTAATTCGCAAAGAATATGGATGAGGAGCGCAATGCGTTCTGTCTGAAATTAGCGCGGTTAACGAGATCGATAAAAATTGACCTACCAGATTTAGGAAGATGGTCAGGTTCCCGATGAGTCACACCAAGTGGCCACCATGGCGGCTTAGTCTCTTCAGGATTGAACTGCTGCGTTTTACCCTCCACGGACTTCCTTCCATTATAGGGATACTGTGTCTGCTTACGTGGCTCGGCAAGCCTTATATAAGTTTTGGCGATCACCCTGCAATTCTCCTGCTGCAAATTTTGAAAGACCTTTTCATAGTATCGACGAAGAAGATCTTTCTGATTGACGGGGAGTTGGGCTGTAATGTGGGATATGGCCGTGCGGGTACCCCAGCCTTGCTCTTTCGCTTGCGCAAGCCTTGGTGTTTGTTGAACACCCCTCTTCTCTGCTGTCCTGGGTACGTTGGGCGCTAGCCATGCTGTGGACGGCACGAGCTGGCTATTGGGCTGTTCTGGAAAGCTGCTTGTCCTTGATTCTGCCACCGCCTTCAGAAACGCCCCGATAACTTGTGGGGATAGGATAAACTGGCCACTATCGAAGATGGAAGCAGATACCTGGTGGCGAAGGTTTCCCCCTTGATCAATATAGATGAGGGCAAAATGCTCCAAAAATTTTGGAGATTCTCGATGTTGACGCGACATGCTATTAATGATATTTCAGCCATAAGCCGCCCTGGAGCGGTGGTGTAGACTGTACCGTATGATGGCAAGATGGATTGATCTCTGGGGGACAGTGTGGATTATAAATATCCTCAATGGCGTGGGGTGCTTTGCAGACAGCCCCTGATTCGGCGATATTGAAAAAGAAGTTCCCTACAACCCATACCTTTGTGATTGATTTTCTCAGGCGCGAGGCCCAAGCGGCCCGACTTATTGAACGGAGCGCATACTCCAGCAGGAATGCGACGCACAATTAGGGGGTTTTCAACATGCTGACCCCAGCTGAGAGCCGCCTCCCCCGAAAATGGCTTAGCCATAGTCCATAGGACCATTGGGATGATTCACTTGTTGACGGATGCGAAACTTAGCCAAGGGCCGTTTGCATGCTAACCGTGAACGTGCCTTAGCTGATGCAAGGGAACGCAGATCATTTTTCTTGCAGAGATCTCCGTTCTCCAAAACAACGAGTATGTTTCCCATGGTTGGGGTCAAAGGAGGGTCGCGTTGCCGAGGTCACGTTGGTCGGTATTGGTAAGATGTTTGTCGAGTTGCGCCAAATATGATTAGGCAAAACTTTTGCGATTTAAACGAAGAACAGTATGAAATACAGATTACATTTACGGGATTCTTGATATTGCCGCGACATCCTGGTAGTTTCCTTTCTACCAGTCTGCTAGAGCGGCGCGGTAACCTCTATCTTGTCACGGCAAGATCCAAGATCAATTGATTGCTGGAAACATGGCTTTAACTTGCATGGCAAAAAGCTTAAGGTTCAGCACTATCACGGTAGATGTACGCTGCTGTCCATAATTTTGTGATCGATCTATTCGCGCTCGAGGGCCGAGCGGCTGGGCAATTGAAAATGGGAAACAGCGACCGCGAGCAGAAGTGCTCCGACGCACAATTGAGACAAATTGACACCAGTCGGAAATTGTCAATTGCAGCCTGCAATTGCTTTTACCATAACCCAAGGAGTACTTTGAGATAATTCGCCTGTTGATGTAAGCTCGACTTGAGTTGAACAAAGCACATTTCATAGTTAGTTACGATGGCTAATAATTACCTAATCCGGGGTGAAGCAAAGGTCCCACCTTATGAAGTAGCCGTGCCTTACCCTACGGTCTGGACACCAAACACGACTAGCCGCATTTGGTGTCCCGCAGCGCAATGTAATTCTCACCGGAATGTAATTTTTCTTTTTACACATCTTTATTACTACAAGGTACCACCTTAAATATGGCCGATTCTATTGAAACTGAGGTATCTTGTGTAAATGAGGCCGTGAAACACGCTCGAAGCCAAAAAAAGCTAAATTTACGTGAGGTCGTGCGGCAATTTGGCGTTAATTATAGATTGTTATGGCGACGTGTTAATTGCAATATGAAGCCTAAAACAGAGGTTAAACCATCGAATTATACCCTAAATGTCTATCAGGAGAAGGCTTTAGGCTATTAGATAAAGACTTTGGATGCTTCTTTTCTTCCTCCGACGCCTGCTATTATAGAGTATTGGGCTAATGCTACACTTATGTGGTCAAAGATACCCGATCGGATGGTCGGAAAAGATTAGGTATATCGCTATATTCGTTGTTTCCTAGACACTAAGATAAAGCTCAGAAGGCAGAAAATTATTGATTCTAAACGTCTAGGAATTATAGATATTGTAGAGCTTTATTATTAGTATGATTTGTTAGCTAAGGCTCTTAAGGGTATAAATCTATACAATATTTATAACTTTGATGAAACTGGCTTTTAAATTGGATAAGGACGGACCTGATATATATTTTCTAGCCAATCTGGTAAAGCTTTAGACCTCCTAGGTATAGAATATAGTAAAAGGGTAACAATCGTAGAATATATTACTACTAATAGTTGGTGAATATAGCCCTTAGTTATCTTCAAAGGATAGTATTATATAAAGTTATGGTATAACTATCCAATACTTAATAAATAGATAACTGTGACTGTAGAAAAAGACTATATTATTAGTAAACTTATTGTATATTGGATGGAAGAATTTGATTATAAAACATATACTTATCTTAAAAATAGAGAGTAGTGTATTCTCTTAGTCGACGGCTGTAGCTTATATCTAATATTTAAATTTCTTAATACTACAACCAAAGCAGGTATTAAGATATTTGGATTTCTGCTGAATCGAATAAATTATCTTTAACCTTTAGATAGTAAGCCTTTCTAAGCTTATAAGGCTTATTTTAAGATATAAAATAATCAATAGGGTGGAGGTCTTCTTACATTAAAATCATCCTTTCTAAATAATCTTTACTAATTCCAAGATAAAGCCCTTATATCCCGAATATATCGAAATACCTTTTTAGAGCAAGGAATTTATCTAGTTGACGCAAAAAAAGTCTATAAGAGCCTCGAAAATGCTTTTTCTTCTATTACAAATATTGAAATTAATCTATCGGGAGAGAAAATACCCTCTCCGGAACTAGATCTTTTGTTGTCAAGTCTTGAAAACATACCTTCAAAAACCTTTAAAGATGTGGAAAAAAGACAAAAACATCTCTCTCCTCTTCTCTGCCGGCCTAATTTAACGCCCAAAGAAAAAAAAACACTCGCACAGGTCTTAGATAAGCAAGAGTTCTATTTTAACATCTTAACCAATACTACGGCTACTATACAGGAAATGGCTACTATCCGAGCCCTACGGGAGAAAAAAACTACTAGACGGTATGTTATAGGCCTTAGTGATGATAGTATTATACGTGTTAAAGATACTAAATATAGTATAGCTGAGCGGAAGGCAAAGGAAGACAAAAAAGATGAGAGACGGGCGGTAAAAGAATTGGAGAAAAAGTACGGTGTTCCTACCACACTACGTATTACAAAGACTTAAAGAGAGGCAGAGGCAGAACCGTTATACAGCAAGTCGGGAGAGGTTATTGGTTTTTATAATAAATTCTAAATTGCTAAAAAAAATTGTATATAAAGGCGAAAAAATTACATTCCGGTGAGAATTACATTGCGCTGCGGGACACCAAATGCGGCTAGTCGTGTTTGGTGTCCAGACCGTAGGGTAAGGCACGGCTACCAATTAATGGACGATAACACGCAGATCACTTTCCTAATATAGATATTTTCTGGTCGAAACAACGAGTCATGAATTTGTCAACTGCACTTTCCGCGGTTCGGGAAGTGTATTGTATCACCGATCTCACGCTAAACCTTATCGGTGGAGTTCTCAGTTCATGTAATGGTGAAAACTTCATTTACATGCAAATTGTGTTGCAAGAACATGAGCGCTAGCGCAATACCCTTTTCATCTTATCGGCAAAGCCCACTAACTTACATACCCATTTTTGAGCATACATTCTTGTATTTCCTATTAGACCAACGGTAACCCTTAAATTCGCGTCTCACATGAGTTCAATGATGATCATGAAATTGCGCACTTTCCCATTCAGTGAAGCGGTGGATGCTTATTTTGTGCAAGATATACACAAAGACCTACCTTGATGCCGCCACCACCTTCATTTTCAGGGGTTTTCAATTCTGGAGCCAGAGTAACGCTTTGATTCGGTAATATGTCGGAGCCGAAGGAGCTTGATTTAACTTTATACTATATACCCCATTTTTGGGTATTTGGAATCATGATTACAGAAATGTCCAGACACGTTGCGACAGTCCTGATTGGAGGACAGACCGAGTCATGTACTCCAGAACTATTGGATCAATATTAGATTTTGAGAATCATGTTCACGGAATGACACGGTACTTACGCCAGACATGATTCGTCTCTTGCCGAGGATACGGTGCCACTTATATAAACGTTGGATAAGCCAGCTTAAAGCAATAATTCCTTCCTGAACTCTATATCTTCACTCTTGATAATTATCATGAATTCCCCGTCAGCCGGACAACAAGATCTGGGGAAAAGTAAGATGGCTATCCATTCACACGAAATATGCCCCGACAAGAGTCCTCGTGAAACACCGCAGCGATTTTCTCCAGTCAATGTAAATTTCTTGTCTTGGAATCCACGGGAGCTGATTATTCGGGCAATAGAAGCAGGGCCAAGTTGACAAGTCGACAGAATATGTCAATGCAGATGTGCATATCTCGTTTAGTAAAATGGCACTAGAAATTCAGACCTCGAGAGAAGAGAGCCTCCAACTCAAGACCCAGGCCGCTCATTTCGTAAGGCATTGCCAGACAATAGAAGCACACTTTACACCTCCCCAGGCAGAGAATGAATGACTGGAAGAAATTGACATGCTGATGGAAAGGCACCTTCGGCAAGAACGAGAGAAAAATGAGTATTTACTTAATCGTTGTGCCGACCAAGAGGGTTTGCTGTCTGGTTTCCACAAAGATTTTCCCGACCTCCAAGCCAATATAACGGACCTTTTGGGGATTTGGTCAGATATCGGATATACAAAAGCGAAAGAATGAAATTTTTTTCTGTCTTCAATATTCTGCAGTTTAGTTCTTCTCCACATATGTTTCTCTTCTGGCCTCTTGTAATTATTTGCGTCGATTTTATCTACTAGTGGGTATATAACACTAGCTCCTATGTCTTTCATGTTACCGCGGAGATATTTGTGCTCGAATTGCTTAAGCGCGTGGTTGAATTTGAAGATATCATATATGTCTTGATGTATCAAGTAATGTTCAACCGAAGTAATATAGGGCTGCGCAAGTAACATGATGTATGATATTCATTCTTTCAATTTCGCGTATTTTTGATTTTTAAGTACTTCTAAGGAACCAGAAAAGTCCTTCAACCCTCGAGAATATGATATTGGGCCTCTATTCTTTCTTGGTACTCAGGAAGCCAAGCTTTTCACGAATTTCCCTCAACTCCTTCAACCGGTGCTCTTCGCCCTCCTGCAATAATCGGAGGTGTTCGGTCTTCAGTTGTTTGAATTCATCCTCTAATTTGTGATGCCAAGGATACAGAACACAAATTTGGAAGCACAAGGCCGAGCTTGCGATCACAAAGTTCGTGAGAGAAAAGCCGCGAGTTATAATCATTGTACTGGCCGACACGAAAGCGGGCGTGGGACGATAAAATATGCTGACTGAAGCCCATTAGCTGACAGAAGCTTTTCTGATTGTTGTGACAAAATACCTGGGGCCTATCTGATGGGACAACGCTGGATTAAGAGGTCTGAATTTCGGATCTATGGATGTTTCCACGGAAATGATGAAGAGGCAAATAGCAAGATCTTAAGTCGATTCTGAGATTTAAAATTTCAGGTCCAGAAATACCCCTGAAATTAGCTATTCACATGGGTCTTATTCCCGGTCGGTATTTTCATATTAAGATAACTGTGCATGCAACGCGACCTCACTGTCCATGAAACTCGCCAATGTACTGTCAATAGACAGTTGGGGGGTATCATTCGCAGTAGACTTATTTGCCAGAAAGCAGACCCAACGGTTGCTGAAACCCCAGGTATCCCTTTCACTCAGTCCTGCAAAGGGCTCTTACGAACTGGTCCGTGCGATACCCTGTCCAAACCCTACCGTTCCGAAATGTGTTCTCGGCCGAAACGGCATTTTCTCGGGTTTCGGAATCAGCTGCGGATGTTCGACTAATAAGTAGTCCCCCGCCATCCATACTCATGTTAATGACGATCTGCGAGAGCCGTTCGGAATGTACACGTCTTCGTTGGAAGGGACCGAGCATAGACTAAGTGGAGTCGTCGAAACCTTTTCTGCTCTTACATCCGATCGGGAAGGGCTCCTAGCTCACTGTCCAGTATTTGAAGTTTTATAGCAGAATCACACTTTGCTGAACGCTTTGCAAAAAGTTTTTACTGGGCATCATGAATGTTTTCCCGTCAAATTTCTGTTGCAAATTGGCAAGATACGTTTCTATCATTTTCGGCACGACATCTCTATTCGAGAGCATATCTTAGCACTGCCGCTTACTCCTTGGGCTCTTCTATCATGAACGAGCTACGACTCAGGAGGGTGACGGTTGAGCCTCTCGGGGCAAACTACCTATCAAGCGTTCATCAGACAACTCAGCAAGTGCTCTGGATTGGATGCTCTGATAGCGATTCTAGGGAATCTAATGCGTTTAATCTTGGCGACGAACCGCTCGTGCTTAGAAATATCGGCAATATGATCATTGATGGCGACCTATCCTCCGAGACTGCGATAAAACATGCCGTCGTTGACCTTCAGGTAGCTATTAGTCACAAAAGATTCACAATTCGTTCGTATTAACGCTGCATAGGTGAGACACATCGTTGTTTGTGGCCATTATGGATGTGGCATTGTGAAAGCAATCTCGAGAGACGGTTTAAAAGGTCCATGGATGTGGTACGTAGGCCATCTCTACCCAAGCTATCCGCAGAGTCGCTAGTTAACCGTCATTATAGCAAGCTTAATTCCCTCTATGCAACGCACGAAGAAGATATCAATCAAACCCCCGTGGTGGAACGCGATCGCGCTTTTGTCGAGTTAAACGTTCTTGATCAACTGCGTTCATTACGCAAATTTACTGAAGTGACCGACGCGATTAAGAAGGGGCACTTGCAAATCCATGGGCTGATATATGATACAAAGGCTGAAAAGCAGCAAGTTTGTCGAAAAAGGCGGGATCTGCCCCCGTCTTCGACAGGACCCATTTCTTGTTATTTTTGAAGATGTGTTCAAGTGACTGTTGGCGAAATCGATTCATATTGAATTTGGAGACCACCCGTTACGTTGGCAAAGTGAGTGAGTGGTTTTCTAGAGGCTGTCAGGAGAGCAGTGAAAATTGAGGGGCCGCGTCTACGTAAGCACGCCGCGTCCCACTTCAACTTCCACCCTTTCCGGCGGAAGAAAATATGGGGAATAGTAGCGGCGTGCTATAATAAAAGTTTCTACCGAGCGGTAGGCACATACATGGGCTTTAGTGGAGATATTTGGCTATTCTGTAATAGTAAAGCGATACTTGGCCCTGTGAAGAAAGATAAGTTGCCGAGGGGCAACGCTTAGGACCACCGCCGGATCGAAAGCCACTGCGGGTACCCAGGCGTAACATGTGAAAATGTAGCAAAGCTCGTGGTAATGTAAAGAACACTAGACTACAGTATTCTCCTGTCGTTGCTGGTACCAAGTGGAGAAATTATCGATGATATTACGCTCGACGTGACGAAACTAAGACCAATGTGCCGCGGTGTGGCATGGAGTAAACGCGAATGCCTTGTTCATAGCCCCGGCTATTGTCGGCACATTCGAACCTGGTGACCATCTATTCGCGAACATTCGCGTCAATTTAGCAGTGGAAGTCTTTTACCATAAATGAGCAGTCATTCAAAAGACATTCAATTCAGACGAGCTGAGCGAGAAAGCTGCATCACCTAGCACGAAATAGAGGATTCAAGACATTTTGATAGTGATTGCTCGCGTTATTAGCTACAAAGTGGTTTTGTAGTCTGCCAGACGGCATAGTCCACGGGGTCGTGATCGGGAAGATCCACCCAAAGCAGCCAAATGATCCCCCGATTTTCCACCACTATGAGTTACGGATATGGTCCGCCACTAGGGATTTTCAGCCATATTCGTCGACAAATCAACGGATAGCATTGAGGGAGAAAGGAGAGAAAGGCTGGTGATCGACAACCAGTGAAATAAACCGAAGTTCGCTCATCTCCCCCTCCATGAATGAACCTTTCACTGGGACGAACTTCGGATTGTCACGCCACCTTCGGTCATTCACGGCCACACCACGCCGTCACTCATCAACACTCATCAACACTCATCACTTTCCACTGACAAGCCGCCTGTATTAGGAATTAGGATCAAATGAAGTGCTAAATGTGTCGATTATAGATCGAAACAATTATGAGAAAGTATATCTGTGTGCCAAAGCGTTCTGACAATCATCTACTGTACCGTCGTAGGGCCTTGGGAATACAACGAAGCAACCCCGCGAACGACGCATAAGGCAAAGCCAAGCTTTTTGAAATGCGAGGCCTGCTAGAAATAACCCAGCAGAAACAGTGATATGTGGCTTCCGGCCTTCGAAAGACATCAAAATCTGTGCCCACGCAGATTCATCCTAGAACCTTGCTGCTGTAAACTAAGTCCACAGATCCTAGGCGGTCCATAGAAGCTTCCAGCATCCTGAACCGTAGCTCGGAGAACGGTAAACGGGATTCCAGGGACGAGGTAGCTCCTGGGAGCAGCATCAATTTTCCCGGACCTAAGCCCTTGGCGACTCAGGGCATACTTTCTACATCTGGTCTACGGCAATGTCTACTTAAAGAGCTTGAGCTCCTCAATCACCCACCCCCCCTCTCTCGACTCATTCTAGCTTTGTTTTGTGTACGAAATATGCTGGACAGGCTGCCAAATGAACTCTTAATTTGGATCTGCCAAAGCCTCGGGAGGAAAGACATCGTTCAGTTGGCCGCGTGCTGCTGGGCAACTGCGCAAACTTGCACCAGATATCTACTTGATTGTCCCAGCACGATGAGATGCCGCCCCTTCATCGAGCCATACAAGCCCGACGACTGGATATTGCAAGGCTATTGCTCACTCGTTATAATGCTAGTCCGGATTCCGAGTACCATGGGATGAGCACACTTCTACTCGCGATTCAGATGAACTACCTACAAGCTGTGGATCTCATTTTGGGGCATGGCCCACAAATCTCTTACATGTGCGATTTTTAAGGCCGAGGGCCATTGTCACTGGCAGTCACAAGGGGGAATGTCGCTATCATTAAAAGCCTATCACAACTGCCACAGATCGATGTCAATGACCGGTGCACTGACGGTGTGTCCGCTCTTATGTACGCGGTGGAATACGCCGAGCACTACACTCTAAGCAAACTTCTTACCGATTGCCGCATAGATGTCAGCATCAAAGATCGCTTTGGGCAAAATGCATTGCATCTTGCAGTTCGAAAGGAAGACCATGTTTCCGTGCAGATATTGGCACGATATCCTCATGTGGATGTCAATTGGTGCGACGCCCATGGAAATACGGCTCTCCTTCTCGCGGTCAAAAGCCTCAAGAGTAAAACATCGAGTCGAGTCGTGGATTCACTGCTTCTAAATTCTAATCTTGATATCAATTGCCGCGATCGAATGGGACGCACCGCGCTGTGGTATGCAGTTGCTAGCCAGCGTGAACAGCTGGTGGAATTGCTGTTGCTTCAAGCCAATATTTGTTTGAACGTTGCCGACAATCAAGGATTTACACCTCTTACGAAAGCAGCGGAGCACCAAAACCCTGCTTTACTACATATTTTACTGAGACACTTCAACATATGTATCAATGCCTCTTTGGAGCTAGTTATCCCACCATTGTGGGCAGCGTGTCGGGCGGGCTCGCTCGCCTCCGTCAAGAGCTTGTTGAGCCAGAGGTCTGTACATATCAATCAGAAAGCCCCTTTTGGAACCTCGCCACTGCATGTGGCTGTCATCAATCAACACTCGGATATCGTGTCTCTTCTACTCTCGCGTGAGCAAATCGCAGTGAATGATGTTGACCCCTCTGGTTTCACTGCACTCATGTTGGCGGCAGCAAACGGGTATATTGCGTGTATTGAATACCTGTTGCGCCATCCAAAAATCGACCTCAATGTCAAAGACATGAATGGATACTCGGCAATTCTTTGGCCCTCAGTGAACGGAAATGTTCGGCTGGTGAATCTAATACGCGGTGCCCTGGCACGACAGACAATGCGGGAGCTTAGATCACCTACAGTTTGGCCACGAGAATGAAAGAAAATGTCGTCTCCAGCAACAGTTCACTAGAATAGGTCTTTGTTGACGACTACTAGTCTTTTCCCTCGCCCAGATCAGGAAGGGAGTTACAATATCGCAATGCATCACCGACATGCCTATATGTGGCTCCAAGTTGATTGGAAGTTAACTTGACCTTCGCGTTGTTGATATAGCTTCACGTATTCCCTCTGAAAAATGGACAATTAATCTTACTTTTGAACCATAACAAAATGTGCTGGAGAATGGCGCTCCGAGCTTAATGGCTGCTAGATTCCAAATAGAGGGGCCTACCGCAATCGACGGCTCTAGCGACGGGTAATATACAAGTCCGGTCGTTTATACCATGACCAGATATTTTTCAGTAAATAGCAATAGTCGCGGGACATGATTCAGGGGGCAATTTGTCGACATGATGCGTGACAACCCGATACATCCCGCCGCATTTCCGTGCCCTTTCAACTGGTGTTACCAAGCCACGCAGAGATCTTGCCAATCATCAGCAATGATCTATTGGGCTTACCATCCAAATTTTCTCCAAAGTTTCAGTCAAAAGTCGTGCTTAGGATCAATTTTCCTGCACATACTCCTCTAATATAGCCACTACAGTGATAAGATTGGAAGAACCGGCCGTGCAATAGGGAGCGGGGGACGTACCAGAGCAACTTTTCCGACTGGATTGACAGCAGAATGGTGGACCAAGCCCATGGTATATTTACAGTCATACAAAGCCTACTCGCATAACCCTGCCTCTGTAAAGGATTATGGGCGGACGGTAGCCTTCAAATACACCCGGGTAAATTGACGCAGTGACAACATCACGCTATATACGAATTGAAAGGCATGAGACACTTAAGGGGTGATTTTCCCTGGGGCCTTCATGCGATGACTCGGGTGTGATATCAGCAGCACAGCCGACTCGCTACAGTACCCGCAATCGGAACAAAAGGGAGGTATATAAGAACTTATTCGTGCAAGTTATCGCCGCACCAATGTCTAGTGACTGTGATCACTAGACACGGTAACTGTGATTTTGCGCATTTTGGGCTTCTTTCGTTTGCCAACGGATGAAAGCTCTGGTTTGATGCGAGTTATGCTTGTCCTTGGGCTGTAGATTGCTCTGTGCATCGTCGTTGGCAATTGCGGTCTGGCCTTTGACAACTGTTCCGCTGCCGTATGACGTATTGACAGTTTGCACTTGGCGAATTGAAAGGACGTACAGGCATCGCCGTGAACCCAAGCTAGGGATAATAATGGCCTGGCTTTTGTGTTGGGCTGATGCAGCTCACGAACTTTGGAGTTCATCATTGGGCGTTGGAAATGGGCTACACTGGCTATGCGCAGTATCCGCGTTGGTAACATAAGATCACATCACTCTGACTGGGAAAACTCTCACCTGGTACAGCCCCCGTTTCTATCCCGAGGAAAAAAAAATCTGAACAGACACTTTACGATCAGTGACGTCAAAAATGTAGTTGTCAGGGGTCTTTCTTCGTACCAGCGACGATGAAGTTATCCGAGAGAATAGCTGTAGTAGAAATTTCCACTCTCGGCTACATTGAGAGAGCATCCTCGCTGCGTATTAAGTTACCTATCAACACCACTGGTCCCCTCAGTCATCTCAACGCTGGTTAAGACCTATGGCCATTCACCATGAATGCTACGTAGATCCTGCCGTTGAATCACCGTTCACACAGTATCACCGCATTGGCTGGTTCTTAGCGTTGGCCACGGTCCGTCACCGCAGACACCTACCGAGAAGTGTCAACGGGATGTTCACCCTCACCGCGTTCGATCACCGTCAACACCTTCATCATCTACACAGAATGATGTTGATCAGTGCCAATGCAGTCACCCCTCCTTGTATCGAAATCCTCATTCAATCCCACCGCGTTGAATCATCAACATCCCGTCAATCAACACAGAACTCCAGTCTATCGAGAAATATATCACCACCATCTTGCATCAACATACCCGTCAAACCCAACGTTGTTGAATCACTAGCAATACCGTGAAGAGCTTGCCAACAACCACCAACGTATCTCGTCTTGGTGATTCACCACATCGATTCACCACTCATGCAACAATCCCACACCTTTGCCGCTACGATAGGCTACCATAGATAACTACATGACATGCGAATATGCTCTCCTAGCTAGAGGGCTTCACATTGATACTGGGAAACAAGAGCCGAATCGAAATTAAATTGCATGAGCTAGCAACAAAACTACTCTCTATTCTCTACAGGATCATGTGCAGGCCTTGGCTTCCCCGTCACCGATAACGAGTATTGATCCCTAGCACCACGGAGAGGTGCCTGCACGGGCTAGAGAGTCGCCCAAATACTGGTGGCCAGCCAGGACTTGCCCAACGGAGCACATACTGATAACGCAGGGCTCATGGCTGCATGGAAGCACGAAATTATACACTGGCCAGGGCTCAAGTCTGCCAGGGAGCGCGAATTTGATAACGCAGGGCTCATCACTGCATGGAAGCGCAAAATTGTACGCTCGCTGGGCTCAAGGCAGCGAGGGGTGAGCTTGTTTACGCAGCACTCCCCTGCGGGGTGACTTGTTCTCTAGAGCGCCCTCCTCCGAGGATCTTTGGTAACGCAGGTCCTAGGCTGCGGAGAACTTGGTAATGCAGCGGTCTCCTGCGGGAATCAATTGTCATCACAGCGTCCCCTTGCGGAGACTCTTGGTGTCGCAGATGTCCCTGCGGATCCTCTTGGTAACGCATTTTTCCTTGCGGAGAACTTATTGACGCAGCGGTCTCCTGCGGGTCTCAATTGTCATCACAGCGTCCCCCTGCGGAGTTCACTTGGTAACGCAGCGCCCCCCTGCGAAGCACTGTTCTTATGTCACTGGGCTTGGATCAGCAACAGCCGTCGTCACGGAAGCCTCAGGCCCGAAGGTCCGAGGCGACACACCGCGGCCGCGATGTGTGAAGAAAGACAAATAGATCGGGGGAGGAGCCTGCTTTTATAGACTTCAGCTACGCTTTCTCGCAGATACCAGCAGTGCAAATCTCTCACCGGGGACGTCGATGCAATGTCTTCACCGGCCTTGACCCATGAGTTGGACGCTGCTGGCGACTGGATCGCCAATCATGTTGCGCCAGACAGCACCACGACCGTTCATTCCACCTGGGTGTGTAGTATTCCTGACTCACAGAAAGTGCGGGTCGAATCAGAAAATTGGCGCAGTTGCAATCGGAGGGCAAAGAGCTGGCTCGCCCATGGTTCACAGTAGTGGTACGGTGACCTCAAAGAAGTGAGTCGGAATGAAAGTCCTCAGCATTATGCTGCGCATGCGAAAGTGCCATGGGGGAGGACTGTGGTCAGGCCATTGGTCTACTTTGAAGAGGCTCGTCGAATTGCGTGCGGCTTCCATGTCACCTCCGCTTGACTATGCCCAAGTCATGGCGGCTTATTGTGAAGTACTGAGGTACACGGCTTGACAGGTTTTGTCTTTGCTGCACATTGAGAGAAGGCATGCCTACATGATTGCTGTTCAAGGGTATTGCTTCATACATCCATTACTGGACTTGTGCAGAGTCCCATGTGTCCACATATTCTACTTAAGGGCTGATATTAGTGACCAAGATTGGCAGCGGAGGCTGCAGAGAGCTCTGCGTTCTTGGTGATTGTCAATATACTCCGATTATGGTATTACTATCAAAAGGCCATGACATATCAACTTAGTGAATAAATGTCTCCAATTCTCAACTTTTGGCGGGATGCACTTTTGTGTCTTTCGTAGAGTAGTGTATGCCCGGCACCCGCTACTTGAGGAGCGGTCCTTTTTGCTGGAACGGCCGAAATGTAATGGAAAGCGATTCCAACGACGCCGTGGAGAGTTTTCAGGCGTCGCACAAAACTGAGCAATTTCTCATTCACCATCATTCTCTAAGGGCTTCTGGCTTTCCTCGCTGATCATTCACTGTCGTTCACTCAACGTTGAGGCAACAGAGTGGATATGGTGGCTCCACCTCGACCCACGGGCCGCACCGGTGTGGATCCAGGGTACCCGGTGTTGGCTCAACTTGAACAGCTTGCATTGTTGTGGTCTTGCCACTTTGGGCTGTCCACGGTTCACATTATGCTTGAGGAGGAATGGTAGCTTTCACTTTCCCTCCAGGGCGTGTATTATGGGGTGTGTTCACACCTCGTCCGTCCATACGAAGGTGGTAGAAGCGGAGCGAGCAAATCCATTTTGTTGTTTGTAGGTATTTGTTTTTCCGCTAGTTAACGGGTGAGAGAGAAGTCAGGAAAGTAGTCAAGTCGGGAATTAAAATGAGGGCCTCATGGTGCTCGCCTCAACTTTCACTTTGCCACAAATGTCTGCCGTACCATATACTGTTGAGAGAATTTTCGTCTGCTCATCCCCGTTTAGTCAACTGTTTTCGCGAGTGTATAAGGTTTACGACCTCATTCGGCCATTCCTAATTCGGGTGACTGGGACTCAAAATCTACTTCAACGGTTCCTCATAATAAGTATTTGTCATTGCGCATATTCTTGGGACACCTCATGTTTGCCCATCGCTGTTGATTCAACTGAATCTGCTGGTGAATGAACTCCGGTTTCTCAGTTCGCCGCAATTTTACTCTGCTGGAGGGGCTCCTCTAGCCTTGTAGTCTAGCTGAACCTTGATTCTTTGCCAACTATTTGTCATTCTACCTATTATTGGTACTCCTGTTTGCTCACTGCTGGTGAATAACCATGTTTTTAGCGCAGAAAACTGCTTGCTGGTATGCCAATTTTCCTCTTGCCCAGAAATAATCAGAAAGTCTCACAATTTGCCACTTTTTATCCAAGCGAAAGACGAAGAACTCCGCCCTGAAGGGTATAAATACGCTCCTGTCCGTCTCGTCTGACTTTCCTCCTATATCTCTCTTCGCACATATTATCTGCAAAGATTGACTTTGATCATTTCCTTTGTCAACTACTTGTAAGTGCACCCAGCTATCAGCTCAAGAGTACCTATCCCTCACCGATAACATATTCCTCCAGGTCTAAAGTACGAAGACTTGAATACATAGGTGAGTACCGCCCTCCCCTGGGTTAAAGCTTATGCTAACACCGTATATCACTCGGGCTCCGCTAGGCCTCCAATACATGCCTTGCAGCAAGAAAAGTTTCTACCAAAGTGAGGTGTTAATTGATTTGACCCATGAGAAAGGCTCTATGTCCAATTTAACGATCTCACAGTAGAGGTTCTCGAGCGGTCTGTGTACAGTCAAATCGGAACACATTCGATGACAACCATGACAGGCTCTCTACCCCTGATACATTACGGTAAAGCCTTTTTATACGGTAGGCCCAATAACAACTCCATGAGGCCACTAGCTGACCAAACGAATTTCTATCTCAGGAATCTGTCCAGAAAAGGTGAATAGATTGATACATCATGAATACTGCCGAACACCCAGTGTGATCCATATCCCCTGCCCTTTGATTGAGATTTTGTACCTAAAGCTGACTTCCTTTCTGTGGCAGACATCTTCACGGCCCCCTCCCTAAGTCCCGGCGTGGGCTATCCCAGATGCCGGTTAGCTCATGGAGCTTTCTATCCTCTCGATCTTGGACTCGATAGCAAGGGACCTGTTGTCGGACAGACCACCCATAATGTACCCAAGGCAAGGCGGACTCCACGTCGAATACAAGAGATGTACTTTATATTGAAGCGTCTCTAGCATTACCCTTTCGTCTCCACGTCGACAGATACCGTAAAGAAGAAGCAGCTCGTCAACTTTATCAGCGATGAGGATGTGCTGCCATCAGGTACGTATCTCACCGCAGCAGATCTTGCTCGTTTCCAGCCGGCTCTTTGCGCTGCTTTCTCTATATTTACCCCCGCTTAGGTAGCTCGGGCCTTCAAGGTATAGAACGTGGGTGAGTGATGGGACTTCTCAAACAATTCGAATGACAGATCATTCATCCGTCATATAGCCTTTCGATACACCGACAATAAGCCAGTATGTACACAATACATGGCGCGCGACGGTAAAACCAAAGGAATGCCCAGAACCGCTGTAAGGCTATGTCGATGGGCTCAAGGTCGCCCGCCCACACGGCTCTCCCAGAACGAATGGCCATTCATCGGGCTTCCCTCAGCCCTTGCTGATTGTGTCGTGGTCCAACTAATTGAATGGTGGAACTGCCTGCACTCATCCACCTTTTGACACCAACACGGCGTGTATCGGTTAACCTCGCGATCTTGCTCCTCGATGAAGCAAACTCAATGCCAGTTCTATCCCATTGGTATTTCGCATGCATATTGGGAGAGCTTTCAGCTGACACAACCGAGCTCCGTACACTCAATGGGCATAGACCCCGCGGTCACGAGAACCAACCTTCATATCTCAAGCCACGGATTATCGACCATTTCAGAGCTCCGAGGACCACGTCTAGTTATTCAGCCATGTTGAACGACTTCTTGGCTGGCAAGGGTTGCACTCACGTCTGTTTTCATATATATCAGCTACTTTCAGCATTGACAAGAGTATTCCCGCCCATGCTGATCTATCCTTATTCCTCCTCTTTTGGTACTAATATAGCCAATAGTGTGACTGGTTACCGATGGTCTTTCGTCACACCCACTCCATGGGTGTATCAGCTCAACATACCCTTCCACACCTGCCCTGGAGACTCAAGGGCTGAATTGTACTACGAGTCTACTATAAGAAACGCCTTACCCACATTACCCAAAAGGTGGCTTTTTATCGCGTTCGCCCCGCCTACATTAAATTCGGGTGGCTAACTATCGTTCCAGCAGACCTCTCACATCGATCGAAAGATGCCGTCGTCTCTCATCAAAGGCTTGGTTTTAAGCGGCATTATACGCGAGGCCTGCTGCAGTCAGGCTCTGGAGGTTAACAGTGGACGGCTAGCGTGGCTCCCTGTCTCACCTCACCCAAGTCAACACCTACGCGAAATGGACAGTTTATGACAAGACCTGCTGTTTGATCCGCATTATACATTCCGATGGTTGATCTCCATTGTGATTGACCAAAGCTACTTTGCATCAGCGTCTTCCGCGTCGGCATCGAAGCAGGCTTGGGTCACTGTTCTTAAATGGTCCAACGCGTCGCCGACTACTTGCCGCAGCTAATTTCGCGTGACGTCATTTCCCAAACACCTCTCCGCTGGGCTTTTCCGCGATGAGTGCATCTCACAAGTGGACGAACATTGAATTTCCGCGAAAATTAGATCGTTCTAGTTTGCGCTTTTTACGACGGCTAACTCCTTTCTGTGGTGTCTTCTCGTTGGGGCTACACCATCTCACGCTCTTGACAATTCAACCGTTTGCAAGCAGGAAACCGTGTCAGACAAATAGAAAGGAGGCCAGCGGGAGCTCCAATAGTCCGAGCAGTGCTCTAGGGAGAGCAACTAGGGTCTTTACCCAGTTCAAGCTAATTATGCAATCAGACTTGCAACCAGTCTTGTGAGCGCTGCGTTGACATGGATGCGATGTTCAACAGTGGGATCAGCAGCAAGGTCAACCAAAAACTTGACTTCATGAGATGTTTTCATACATGACGGGGGCATATTGTCGCAGCATGGCAAATTTTGGGCTTTCGCCGCGTTCTTGAAGCTAAAGGTCAATTAGCTCGATATCAATTGGGGTAGCTCCCAGGCGCAGCTCGCACTGATAGGGCTTTAGCGGTGTGGTATTCGAACTACCGACTCGCTTAGCATTTTCGTCTAGAACGAAAGGGTCGGGCTCTACCAGATACCAATACACTACTGCGGGATATAATTTTTGGCACGAGTGTTGCCAGGTGGGATCTAGCAGGATATTCTGAGGTTGCGTCAATGAATGGTTTTGACCGCGACCTCAAAGCTTGAAGCCATGGATTTGACACTAGAGACTTCTCTAGCGGATGCTGTCTGACCATGCTGGGTGCCTGTATCGGTCAGGTCTTACTTGTTTATTATGCTCCAAAATGACCTCAGTGATGGTTTCACTGCGGCAAATTTCGGTCGAAGAAGAGACCAGACAAGGAACCCCCTCTCCTACTCATGGCGGGTGATTCTACTATGTGTGATGCACGGTTTTCCCATGCGGATCTACAGAGGGTCCTTTTGCCAGATACTCAAAATCCATTGTCGGGTGTTTGCAAGATGTTCGCATGTGACCAGGCGGCTTTCAGTGCATACCATGTCTCAACAAGTGACGATTGGGGAAATTCCCTGCCCTTTCTTACGGTTAAAATGGAACAATTTCCAATCAACTTGGCTCTTCGTATATATACATCGGGATTCACTCCGATGGTGCGGTTCCGTTCCTGTTCTGCACCCACCTGGAATGACAACAGGTTGACCCAGCTTCCACATTCAACTCCCGCCTAGGGCCAGAGAGGGCCGACACCCGTAGGGTGGCCCCGTATACCGAAGGCCCGCCCGAACCAAACGCCACAACCCCCGGAGGGAAAGTTTAGAATGGTTCCCGCGGGCACATTGGGAGCGACCGAAGGGAGCGGACAACTATGGACACGTTCTACCCAGTAGGGCCTGATGTCCCCACGGCTCTTGTCGAATTTCCCGCACAAGAGGATTGGAGGAAGTTGCAAGACGAAGATAGTGGGTTGGTCTTGCCCGTCGCCTATGGGAGGCACCCCCGGCAATTGGAAATTGCCTCGCCGACCCCCATAAAGGGGGTCTCTGGGGGACCCCGCCCCCCGGCTCGAGGGCGCTTGGAAAATGAATCAAATATGGGCATTGAGTACATGCATCATAGTTTTAAGGGTGGGTCTGATCAAACCAATAAACGTATCCCACAAGTTCAATCCGTTGCCATCCCATTTCACTTGGGATGCGGAAGGATCTACCGGACGACTTTACGACAGACTGTTGAACACCACTGGGGACCACCGTTCGAAAAGGCGCGAGTAATAATCCAGATTCACGCTCGAGAAATTTGAAAAGCCACTACGACGTCACTATCAAGAAGCATTTACCAAGAGGCTTACATCTTGTTGCACCAAATATCATTGATCACACAGTATGTACTACAAGGGAGAATTCTTCCATGCTGTTTGATCCGTGAGCGGAAGACGCATGGCAGTCTACCTTGCTTCAATGAGCTGGGCTGACAAGGTCCAGGTAAGGATCAGTATCATTTGTATCTAAAACAGTCAGCAGCTGGACGATTTTCGCGGGAAGACATAATTACCTCCAGCGCAATGTCCCAAGTCTTCCATAGAGTGCCTAGCGCTGCAACTGCCAGTAGGATCGCAAACAAGGCTGACACGCAGAAAGAAATGATTCGAAGGCGAGTCCGGGCTTGAGTTGCCTGCCCAAGAAGCCACAGATACCACATCGTCACCATCAAGTAGTCAACGGCGAGAACGAACAGACACACCGGGTGAGCTGCGTTCGGGTGAAGAGTCCCAACAATGGGGCTTGCGATCTTTGCCAGGCTGGAGACCCCAGCGTATAATGCATATGCTCTAAGTAAGGCGACCGGAGTGAATGGGTTCTCACATTGTTGGAAATGGACCCGGAGAAACTGAAGAGTCAGCTCATTACGCCAGAATGGTAACCTCGAGACATACCATTTGTCCGGTGAGAAAAGCCGATGTCATCCACAACAGTGTGTGACACCAGACTGCATAGATTTCGCCCCAGCGAAGACCGGAAAGTACCACGAAGAAAATACTAGACGCAGCCGATAAAGCAAGGTCGAGGCGGTAGAAATGCCAGGGTTGTTGGAACCGAACTATCAGGAGCAGCCTCATGATACTAGCCAGAGAGAGTGCGGATATCAGGATCGACTGGACATGGTCTTCCGATATCAATTTCAATGCATGGGGGACAAATACGTAGGCTAGGCGAGGCAGTCTGTGTTACTTATGTACATTGCGTATAGCACACATGATCCTGCCTGGGTAGGATGTATATCTACGGTCTCCGAATTAAAGAGAAAAAAAATTTGTGGCGACGAATTTTCGCACCTGGATTTCTGTAACTCAGAACCGGGATCGTCTTCACAGTTCCTGGAGAGGCCATGGCCGTTCCCAGGATCAGTACCAGTGTCTCCAGGAGCGGCACACGGCATCCCAGGGACAAAGGGGCTCCCAGGATTGGCATCAACCTTTCCCAGCCTGGCAAAGATGATTCTGCCATACGAGAAGCCCTGGGCTCGGTCACAGTATGTTCAAGTCGGGGTACCTAAGCGCTATAGCGTGTTATAAAGCTTTGCCACCCCTCCTGTCAACCTACATCAGCTCTAATACTATATATGAAAGATGCTTAGCGACCTCCCAAATGAACTCTTGCTCTGGATCTTCAAGAGCCTTGACAAAAATGACATCGTTAATTTGATCGCTTGCTGCCAGAAAACTGCGACCATTGGCGCGACGGCTCTCTTTAATTGCCTCCAGCGCGATGAGATGCCACCCCTTCATCGAGCCATACTCAACAGACGACTAGACATTGCACGACAGTTGTTGGATCTTTATCAGGCAAATCCCAACTCCGAGTACCGTGGGATGAGCACGCTTCTGCTCGCCATTGAGATGAGCTACCCACAAGCAGTTAATCTCATGTTGGAACATCACCCACGGCTGTCCTATATTTGCGACTTTCAAGGTCGAGGGCCGTTGTCAATCGCTGTCGCAAAGGGCACTTTTGCCATCGTTGAAACCCTGTTGCAGTACCCAGCGCTGGACGTCAATGACCGATGCACCGATGGCATGTCCGCTTTGATGTACGCAGTGGAATACTCGGAGCACGCCATTCTAAGCCATCTTCTGACCGATCCCCGCGTGAATGTCAGCATCGAAGATCGCCTTGGGCAGAATGCGCTACATTCCGCAGTTCGAAAGGAAGACCATATCTCAGTGCAGATCCTGGCCCGAGACCCTCGCTTGGATGTCAATTGGTGCGGCACCCACCGAAATACGGCACTACTTCTCGCGGTCAAGACCCTCAAAGGGAGGTCGCCCCGACGGGTAGTGGAAGCCCTACTACTCAACCCAAGGCTTGACATCAAGCACCAGGATTCTAGAGGGCGCACGGCGCTGTGGCACGCGGTGGACCTGCAGAATGAGGAGCTAGTGCAACTGCTCTTGGACCAGAATGACCTTCATTTGAATGACGCGCATGATGGAGGTCTTACCCCTCTTGCGCGAGCAGCGGAGCGTCAAAGCCCTCGCTTGCTACAGATGCTTCTGAGACAACCCAAAATATGTATCAATGCCACGTCGAGCTTGGTTTCCCCGCTGTGGGCCGCGTGTCGGGCGGGTTCGCTCGGGGCAGTCCAGAACTTGTTGACCCAGAGGTCCATTCAGATCAACGCAAAAGCCCCCTCTGGAACTTCGCCCCTTCACGTAGCTGTCATCAACCAACACTTAGAAATTGTGTCTCTTCTTCTCTCACAAGGTGAAATCGCATTGAATGAGGTTGGGCCCTCGGGCCTCACGGCCCTCATGTTTGCTGCTGCAAGGGGGTACACTGCATGTGTTGAACGGCTCTTGCGCCACCCACAGATTGATCTCCAAGTTCAGGATCCTTACGGGTACTGCGCTTTCAGCTTGGCGATACTCAATAGATATGCTCGGGCAGTGGATCTCTTAAGCAGTGCATTTGTGCGGCAGAGAGCACAAAAATTAGGCTGCCCATCGAGCTAGCTTTGCCAAGACTGAGGGGAGGAGAAATAGAAAATTTGAGTAAAGTTACTTTGCCAGACTGCTATACCCCATCCTAGGTTCAGATGACTCAAAAAGTGCTAGGTAGCTCAGTTCAGCGAGCAGACGTTAGCTAACAGCCCACTGGAAAGTGCGGCCCGCTCAATCACCGACTTCCCCGCCCTAGGAATTGATACTAGAGTATATCACCCACAGGACTGCCTGTCATAAGACCCCATTGTTTCCTACCGTTTGCGCGTGATATAAGCGTGATCAGCCGCGAAACAAGATCCCAAAGCGCCGGATAGAAGCCTCTGTTCTAGCTTCAATGATGGCCCGCCCTCCGTCTAATGCATCGAGTGTATACAGTCGCTCGCCAGATACACCAAAACCACACTCCTCAAGGGCTACGCCTGTCCCCGCCTGGGATGATCTTCCCGAGATTACACCACTGGACCATCGGATCTTTGTGGCGGGGATAACGACCATGGCATTAGAGACGACAAAGACACACCTCAGTACAGCAAAGAGCGTGGCACAATCCCCACTAGACCCAATCACTGAGAAGCGGAGCCAGCGTGATCAGCAAGCTCACGAAAATGAGTTCTAGTTCTTCCGCACCTGTTGCGCGAATTTCTGCCATCTAGCGACAGCCGTGGTTGACATCACACAAAAGCTTGTATTGGAAGAGCATTTCCATTCCGACCAATTCATCCCTGTCAATGCACGCTTGTGCCGGGCTACATTGGCTCTCTGGGCAGCCTTGGACACATCAAGGGTGGAGGAGGACAGGGCGGAACGCATTTGGATGCAGGAATTGGATATGCCGACAGCTTCGGAGCCATCTTCCGAGTGGATCTAGGGAAATTCTGCGATTGAAGGTCGAGCTGGTCGAGTCTTGGATATTGGGGTCCTGAGATTTTTCTGTGAGTTGTGAAAGGCGAGGCAACAGCCCTGGATGAGCGTTCCGAATGCGTACATTCGTTTCAGGTGAAGATGTTAGGGCCAGTCGGACAGTCAGCTACCCTGATCTGACGGCCAGCCCTGGTGGCAGTTGGCGGGCCAGGCTTTGTTGACGTGGTTCAAGAAGGCGGTGGCAATCACTTCCGGATGGCAAACTGACCAATCATGGTGGCTTTGGGGGTTCAACTCGGCAACTTCAGTTGAACCCCCTGTCAGGTTTTCCAAATCCTGGACCTGGAAATGTATCATTCTTACTATTCTATGTGGTCTAATTACAACGAAATTCTAATTAGGAAGTACGAATATTCATCATCGTTCAATTCATCTGCCTGATCAACACAATCCTGGCGTATTTATTGGGTTGTAAAATTCCTCAACATTAAGCCATACGAAGTATATGTCTTAGACTTCAGACAGTCATTTTGGAATAATACGTCACGATCCCTAACAAATGGTAGAAGCTCCTAATTTGATCGCGACTGCAGATCTTCTAGAGCCTCCGAGGCACTTGGGTGTTGTTGAAAGTGTCGTGATGCGAAGCCTTATGTTCGGAATCAATTCCTAGCCTCCGCGGAATTATCATGGTTGATTACTAATATGACTTGGAGGCTGGAAGTTGTATATAAACCCAAATCTGTCTGTCCATATAGCGGAGGTAGACAATACTGAGCTGAGCAATAATTTACGCGTCTATTCAATTGATCTGCCTGATATTCCTTCCCCTGACCAATATTGGCAACAGGTTGAAACCTAGACCGAAAGTCTCTCGCGGAGCAGAATCTTGTACCTTTTTATTTAGGTAATTACCCATTAAACGCTGCATAAAAAAGGCAAACGTGATTTTGATGCGCGGTTGAACGTGTAAAGCATCTGTTCAGTTTGAAACCATCAGGCCGATTATCGCGCACCTTTTGACCGACATGACTTTTTACACTATAGATCCAAACGTAGCGTGCAGAGATATCGCAGCATTGAGGTTGTCGGTTGTCCCCGATAGCGTTATTAAGTGTTGTTCGATTGAGATGAAAAGCTCAAATTTGGCTTTTAACTCGGCCCTTGCGCCCCCCATCACTCGATTTTAGACGCTCAATCTACCCCAGCCATCTAAAAATTCGAAAGTAAATTCTCCGCTGATGTGAAAACAAACTGAAACTTGACTTTACACAGAGGCTTCATGCATGAACCAAATGCACATAACTCACAATAGACAATTCAGTTGCCATATTAAAATTGGATACTTTACACAAACTATGATATACATAACAGAACGTTCATTATTGAAGATGCCAAAGCCTGCTTGACGGTAAAACCACCTAAAGGGGTCCCGATCCCGCCTGCTCATAGTCCCCATATCATAAACTGAGACTAGCTATCATCTGGTCATCTTGGCTATTCGAGCTCATATCGTTGTATAGTGAGACTGAGAACGCTCTTTTTAGAATTTGGCTCTTCGTCATCTACCTCTTAACGTACAGAAATGATCTTTGACGCCATAACCGCATTGAAAAGTAAAATGAGATGCATGATGTATAAACTGGGATGCCAACCATTGAACAGACATATTCTCTCCCATGGCTGAGCTAAGTATTGCAAAGCCCCAATACCATTGTAGAAAGCGAGCCGGGCAATTTCCGTGGTAAGTTGGGTCGGTTTTCCAAATGAGCCCGTGAGAGCGTGGGCTAAAGGTATCATGGCAAGCGTGCCTAAGCACGTAAAGTGATATTGGAATTGCAGCCTTATCGTGAGGGCGCTCGAAGGACACAAGCACAACTCGGAGAGATGTGTTATAAAAAACAGCGAGACCGCGCAAGTGTACCCGAGCTGGACAATGGGGTAAGGGGAGAATTCAATCGCCACGTAGGAAAGGGTTGTGGTATAATACCCGTGTACATTCTAGCTAATTAGGTAACCTAATGGTCACTCCTAACACGAAGCAGACGACGAGGTTTTAACAAGTCCGTGGTTTTGAGACATTTTTCATATCCTCGGTTGAGGGGCAGGGGTGTACGGTCAAGCCAGATGTGTATTGTGTAGGACGAAAAGGGAGGCAGAAAGTCGGTTCGGGTAAACAATAGTCCTGAAGGACACCCCTGAAATTCATATTCAGGGCCCAACCCGCTGGTTGACTCCATTGCCGACTAATTTGACGCAACTTAAGTCAGCCTCGCCATAATTATGACTAATCATGCGCTAGGCGGTTTCAGTCAGACTCGATCGGAGCGGAGACGAGCCCCAGCGTCTCAACCCCGCCCGACCTCGAAGTAACACTCATCTAACTCACCTGCGCACCATAAACTCGGTTATTGAAACTTCATCATATACTGAAGAAGGTAGCTAATTATCCGTGATGAAAGGCCTTAAAATCGAAGTGCTACTCCGCTCAGCCTCGAAAGCTTCACGCAATGACCCGAGGCAAACACCGCCTCCTGAATACTATCTTCGCCGTATGAACGAGGATATATCGACCGACTCTAGTTCGGACAGTATGTCTTCTGCGAGCAATTTTTCCGAGGATGATCCTTTTCCCGAATTTGAGTGGCTGGAGCAGATTGATGGGGTTTTCATCAATCAAGATGACGAAAACCCGGAAGGGATGCAGGTTGGTTATTGTGATGGCAAACTGATTAGACGTGAAGACATCCGTGAAAAATTCTGGTTTGCTATGGAGCAGCCAACTGAAGGGACACGTGCTGCTGCATTTGATCTTTTCGACAGATACGGCCGTCTGAAGCCTGACTTCAAGGACCATCCAGTTAAGAAAGGTTCTGGTATCTGGGGCAGTGAGCTTGACGATGGAGACATATTTCTCATTGGGTCTTTGGAGATTGATGAGGCATATAGTCGCCTTGGGCAGCGACCCACACTTGTGGAAGCCATGCTAGACAAGGTTAGGGGGAAAACCTCGAGTTTTGTTGCTATTGTGCGCCCTGAAGACAATTTGCCGCTATGCAAGTCTAGTGGGTCATCAAAATCGACTCAGAGGAGTATATCGAAACTCTTCTGGCGATCTTTGGGGTTCCGACGGATCGGCTCATCCTCATGGTTTGGGCTTGCATCGGACCCAGAACACCCATGTCATAGTTTAGCAATTGAGAGCGACTACGAGGTTCCTAAAATGGACTCGATAACTCTTGATGCTGATATAGAACAGAAGATGAAAGCGATACTGGAAAGCGGCAGTGATGAAGACTTTGTGAATTTTCTTAGCCACGTCTGGGGTGATACTCTGGAGCAGGATCCGCAATGGACAGAAACAGACGCAAGTGGTAACTCTGTTATGCACCTTGCTGCAACAAACATAAAGCCTCATAGTGTCCAATGGATCCTGAGCAGAGCCGAATCGCTTCTTCATCGGCGCAACGCTCAAGGCGAGACTCCATTGGAAGCTTTGCTCGTATGTCTCGAAAATATCAGGACAATTCGTCACTCCAATGCGCTCACTGAGGATATCTCAGACCACTTTACAGGATTTGACGACACTGCAGTGAACTGTCTTATTTTGCTTAAAGGCTGTACGGGGACTGAAGTGGTCAATGCCACTCGGCAACGTCTAAAGTACGGATGCACATGTGGACAGTGCATGTCAGGGTTCATGAGTCCGCGAATGCGTCTTGCCTTGGAGTGCCAAGCAGATATCTGGTCGGATTTCCTCCGTGAAGAAATCGAGGATGGGGAGTATTGGGTTGCAGATAATGAATCTTTTCTTGACTGGCTTCCACATCGCGTGAAGGAAAATCTGAAGACTAACAGTTCTATGAGAACTGGAGTCATGAACCTCTGCAACCACATTGCTACGTGTCTAAGGGAACTTGAAATCCCCAACGGACCTAATGTGGAGAAGGTACTGCGCGATGCGAGCGAGTGGCCTCCTGCGTCGATGAATTTCTTGCAACGAGGTGGAAGCATCAGTGCAGTTGCAAGTATGCTGTTCCAGAGAGCCATGGAAAGTGACGAGTTGACTGGGGATTCTTTGCTTGGGGAGGAAGAAACACGGCATCTTGTGAAATGTAGGAATGATCATGAATTCGGTTTTGTGAGTGGAATGTGTGGATTTGAAAGAGTGTCAATTTTCTGACATGGTAAATTAATTGTACTTTGAGTAAATTAGTCTTCAGTGAAATTACCCTTAATGGCCCTTGATACTCCCAACCTTGACTATTCATGGCCAGGTGAAATCATAATTTCGCCCTGGATTACAAGAACTTAAGGGTTTTGCGATCCAGTAAAAATCAGTTGAAGCGGATTCAGACGCACACCACAGCTTCCAGAAGAATCGGTATGTATATGGCACAGCCCCTAATTGGATCTTCATTCACCATTTCTTTAACAGGCAGGAACATCCCGAATTGCACCAAACGCAGCGCCAGGCAGCAACGATAAGCATTTCGACATTATTCATGCCCACTGCAGAGTCTCACTCGAGAATGCTGAGACCAACCGACAGCTGACGAGACGCTTCAATCAGACGCGTCGCCAGGCCACTGCCAATGTCCAGCGCCTCACCAAGGAAAATACCGAGCTGGCTATGCAAATCCGACAGGGTCAATCAGACATAGAAACCAAGTCTAAAGAGATACAGCGGTTGAATGAGGAGGTGATTAGGCTGGAAAAACTCCTTGATGCGGCCACTTCGGATGCCCGGAACGTGGTGTCCCGAACCGAGCTACACCACACATTTCTGGATATCCATGCTGCCGCCAAGTCATTCATGGACTATCTCAGGACAAAAATGAACGAAAACGAAAACGCGCAGAACTTAAATGAACTGCCAGGGCTCGAAATGACAGATCATCCCTGGATAAACACCGCTGAGTTTGAAGACATGCTTAATGACCCCTCTCTCGAGGAAATGCCAAGTAACACATTCCCCGCAGAAGCTCTTTCAGATCTCAAGTGATTCACCCGGATCCAACCATGTGGTCAGCTTCCCCTTATTCCGGTCGGCTAAAATGACGGACTTGATTTACTCTGTTGTAATATAAGGGCTCGTGCGGCCAGACAACGTTTCTTTTCTCTCCTATTGACGGGCAACAATCAATTCTGCTTTTATTTAGCAGTGGTCCTAGACCTAGAGATGCCAACTATATCCATATTCAATCATATGTAACATCTCATAGGAGTAGAGCATTGACCAATCTTGCCCGTCGTCACCAGTCCGAAGACTATCACCAAGACGTTAGCATCCGCGTTGATCCAGCTCACTACGTGGGAAATACAAACAAATACTGAGAGTCCTATACATGTCGTCGTTCAAACTCTTCAACAGTCTCATATCAAAGAGACGCTAAGTAGAAATGGATCTATTTAAGTGAGTGCTAAGTTGGCTCCAGGAAGAATAGAGAAGTAATGGCTTCGTCGAATTTCTATTTAGTTCTTGAAATTGGGAAAATCGATCAGTCCGAGTTAAGCATACGAGTCAGCGGAGAAATTGAAATTTGGACACTTCTTTTTCTTTCTTTCCAGTTCTCCTCCAGGGGTTTAGGAAGCTTTTTTTCGTAATCATCCTGTGCGGACCCAATGCTATACGAGTGAAATTATAGTAGAATGCATCTGTGGAGATCAGGTTCAAGTCGCGATTGGTCATCTGTTTGAACATCAGATACCTGAGCCCTTCGGCAACTCCTGATTTGTGAATATAGAATGCCGATACTGTAGATGTTGATGGAGATACCAAAGTTGTGTATACATAGGCTGTACGAAACACCACGGTATGCATGTGGGGGGGAGGAAGAAATGGATGCAATTGTAGGCATTCTCGTGCGAGCCCAAGCTTATTCACAAGTATGAAATCTCCATGCGGGTCACACAGCTCGAAGACTGTATGTAGTTGATTAATGTGAGTTTCAATTGAATATTGAATGTGCTGAGAATTACTTACTATTTTTAAATTTTGTAATCAATTGCCGGGTTTTCAAATGTAATTCTAGCCCTAGAAATGCGCGATTAGTAATCATAATGGTTGTTCTCTTTCTTCCGGTGAGATGTAACATTTACTAGTAATAATCTGGTATTGTATGCCCTTAAGCGGTTCCTCAACATCCCCAGTGGCCTCAAAAACTGCTTCACTTTGTTCTGTTTGCATACCAACATTATTCGGAGTCTGGCTCTAGTCCAGCTCTTTGTTCTCCGAATATGGGGAACCTTCGAACGGCCTTTTCGAGCAACGAACGTCAGCTCATGGGGGCATTTTCTTGCCCGGTCAGGATTATACGCCTCTGACCTTCCAGGTTCCAATTTCGCCCAGGGCGGAAGATTCGCTGAGCGAGCATACAGTGGATCCGGCAATTCTGGAGGGGTGCCGTCTTCCACCTGCAGAAAAGAATACCATCGGAGCTGCATCTGGTTGCGCGACCTTCCGACCTCGATCTTCCAAAGTCAATAAACCCTCTGTCGTTATCGATACTCGTTCTCGAAAGAGGTCCGCGCGGTTACCTCGGGGGGCGAACGGCAAGAAGGCATCGTTCTCCACAATCCTGGCCCATTTTTCTGCTTTGACAGCAGAGGACCGGATGCAATTCCTGTCCTGGCTGTTCGAAGGCGCTCTCTCTCAATGTCTCATTTCGCCCCCGAGTCTAACCACAACTTCATCACGAGCCGCCTCGAGAGCGCGTGCTGTATCGTGCACTGACTCTTCATCCGACTCGGAAGATTCTCCCGTGTACTTACACTCCTCAAGGAAAGACCTCACATGGTCAGAGGAAGAAGATAGACTACTAGTGAAGCTCAAGGAGCAGGAGAAACTAACATGGCCGGAAGAAATTGGCCGGTTTGGTCAGGTCTTTCCCGGAAGAAGTTCGGGCTCCATTAAGGTACATTGGAGTACAAAGGTCAGCAAACGATATTGACCGTCTAGCGAATATGGCTCGTCTCGACAAATCTCCCAAGGGCCTTCAGTGTATCTTTATGTTGAATATCATCTACTTCGTGTTTGCCTTCACAATTCAGTACAATCTCGCCTTTCCACCATCCTTTCCCTCATACTTCATTGTTTCCGTAGGAGCTGCATCTGCGGCTACCATACTGCACGCATATCAAACGCAAGTAAGTCAAGAGTCTGGGTGAGTAGGAAGTCGGAGATCACCAATTTATCGCTATTTTAGGATGAAAGCTTTAACTCGAAGTGAACCAGTCCCCACTGCCTAACATAGATGAGGATCGTCGCGCACCTCCTGGATATGGAAGCGATTGAGAAATTGTGAATCATTATGAGATGTAAGCTTTACCCTTCGCTGCCAGAGTCGTTTTGAGACTGTTCCCAATTTATTTTTAACTTATAGTCGGTGCCCAGGCATATAAGAAGGGCACTCCCCATTCCAGCAATCATTCTATTCAAAAAGTTCATTTACAATCTGCCAGTGGCTCATCACTGAATATGGATAAATGCAAGAATGAAGAAACTCCCCGGGGTGACCTTCCTACTACTCAGCATCACGCTGGAAAAATGGCCCTTTCTAGGCCAGAGAAGGTAAGTCACATCACGGCAACGGCAACCGCTCAAATTCTCGCAGCTAAACATCTGGCTTCGAAATAGGACCATCCTCTTGACCTCGCTTCTCTTGGTTATGAGAAGAAGAGCCGACAAGGTCAGTGTCACTTCATTATTAATTTGGTTGACCTAATGGTATTGGGTCTGATGATGTATATCCCCCACGCAGGTAGCTCGTCCAGACGCTCGGCACACAGCTTTCTCGGCACGCAATTTGATGCAACGTCACTTGTTCTGAATGGTGACGCCACAGGCAGCAGACAACAACAACAACAGGGTGGAACTTAGATCTACATGATCAGTGGTGGCTCTGTGAGGAATGACAGCATCCTGTTCAATGGAGATTTGGGCCCGGATAGTTTCAAACGGATGTTCTGCAAGAACCTCGAGAATGAGTGAACCGACATAGTTGGCCTAGTATATCGGTCCCGGATTTCAAGGCGAATATGCAATGCCAAATAATTCTCGCTTTCAATTATAAGATGAATGTATACTTGAATTTTTCCGTGAAAGATGCTCTCCAAGACTCACCCTCGCGTTTGTAGTACATACTTCCTTTCTTCTGCAGTGCCATCAGACCTACGACATTCAATGATTTGACCATTTTCCTGGGCGGCGGTGAAATTAAAATGACGTGACAGGATTTTGCTTTAAAGGTAGGACCCTGGGAATTGACTGGTCTGGTTGCTCTTTGATCAGGGACATTCTTTGATCTTACTCCAGGAAGGTCAGAGATGATATATGGTTGAATCTGTCTGGGGGCAAAGCATTCTCGGGAACAATTGACTGCAACCCTAGAGTAAACATTCTGCATATTGATTTTATGCTATGACGAATTCTGCATGAATTGAGTGATTCTTCTACCTCAAGCAGTGACAGTGGCTGTGGAGGAAATTGATGAGAGGAATGTCGATGAACCTAGAAATGGAGAGCTGAAAAGACTTGTAGAATTTCAGCTACATTAGTACACAGACTGATACAACCATTAATTACAATGCGGGCGATATAAACGTTTGCCTGTTCTACTCAAGAACCAGAACCCTCTTGTACTGAAGTCATTTTTCCATGAGAGGCAACAGAAAATCAGTTATTACGAGCAAGAGTCGTTGTTGAGAGCCACTGCCATGAGATACGGAGCATTTTCTCTCTACTAAACCTCTCCGTCGTCCCCAGTGCCTCCCAAGGCACCAATTCTTTCGCTTGAAAAATCTTTATATGTAGCTTGAAGAGATCATGTATACAATCTGGCTCCCCGTGAAGCCACGAACCGCAACGAAGGACTCCAGGAGTTCCATCAGAATATTGCACAGAGAAAAGCAAGTCTGGGCTATCAACTGTATTGTGATTGTACATCACGCCCAGAAATTCTCTGAAACCTTTCACCGAGGCCAAGGTTTCGATGTCTAAGTATTTGGGCTGGGAAAACTGATATGAGCTCACACCTGGAAAGTTTTGCTTTAGAAAGAACTTACGGGAAACTCCGCCTCCTGATACTGTCGTGGCGCTTGTCCAAGATGCCACGACTTTTCAGAAGAAAAATTTCTCGTTGTGTGAGGATATGCTCCTCTCCTCCAAGTCAACGATCTCGCCACGAACATTGATGCGAATGTGTGCGGGTATCGGAGGGAGAACAAGAATCTCATTCTCTTTATCGTAATGGACAGCTGTTGCTTATATCTAATTAGTTTGATCACTTTGAGAGTAAAAGGTACCCTCTAGAAATAATGTGGTCTCACAAGAACGTGTTTCTGGAAGCTGATCTGCTGCCTTGGTGTTTGTGGCTGAAAAGGAAGACAAATAATCTGCAAATCCGCTTCTTATACTTGCAAAGAATCCTTCTTGGGTGGTAGGGCTTTGAGAATGTCGGCCAAGCTCGTTCGTTGGGGCGGCATCCTCACCTGCGTCCCAGAATGAATGATCATCAGTTGAAGCGCGTCCACCATGAGTAGCACGAGGTGGTTGGTGGGTTAGGTTAGAATGAAAGGGGGGATTTATGTTCGTCGGCGGGGTTAAGTGGCCTCGAGGCGGCCAGTCGCGATGGCGGACCTTATTGAGGCCCGTACTGCGTCTAAGTGCGGTGCCCATTTCTCATTATCGGAAGGCGACTTCCCTCCCAGGTAGAAAGATAGGTTCCCTCGGTGAGTGTCGGTATGTTGTAGCATATCCGTCCGGTGTGTGGTCCACTTCCGACATCGAAAGAGGAAGTGCTCCACCGTTTCTTTTGCTTGTCCACACGCACACTGATCCGTGTCGGCCGCGTTAATTCGATAGAGGTATCCATTCAGTCTCGCCATGCCAGTCCGGAGTTGGGCTAGCACTGTGGCTTCTTTCCACGACAAGCGATCATACAGAAGCCGCGTGTGTTTTCCTGGAAGTGCTGCATCTACTCGTTTGGCGTGCTTTCCGACGCCCGCCGGTAAGGTATCGCGGGGGGCTGCTTGGGACCGTGCGAGATTCAGTGTGGTCGATTTCATTCTCGGGGCGCGTTCTTGTAAGAGGGCATCTTCTTGCGTCGCGGCTCTAGCCTGTTCTTTAGCCAGACCGAGTAGCTTGTTGTCTTCACTGGTAGAAATCCAGCGGAATTGAACATGGTTTCCGTTTCTCTGCAACCTTTTGATCAATTTGTATATCCGACAGACGAACTCCTGGCCAGATTGTTGTCGAGGATTCCTGAGTGTGAGTACCGCCGCTTTGTTTCTTGTGAGCAGCGTGATCGTGTAGCCTTTGAGTCCTGTCACCGTGTTCAATACGTGCGCCATGGCTGCCAGTTCCGCAGAGAATGGATTCTGCTCTACTCTTGCAGCCAAGGTGGTGGATAGCGCTTTGTGTTTGAGCTTTCGATTTCGAGGTGGCCGCTTCTCAATGGCCACTCCAGACCCTACCAGCTCGTTCCGCGCCGAGCTGCTGACCGCGACCTGCATGTACCCACCCGCTTCGGTTTGGGCCTCGTGCTGTACGCCAACATCGGTCTGCACGCGTTCATCCCATGGGGCCAACGTGAACGGGTTAATTGTTTCCAGTGTCTCCATGTCGATGTGCCTAAGCGCATCTGCTACTTGGTACAGCGGCGAGCGATGATATCGTCTGAACTTTCTGATCCGGTCTGTACCTCTGCGGAGCGGGTTGGTTTCAGGAAGGGTATACATGTCCGTCCACATCTTCACGGCCCGTCTCCAGAATCGGCTCCGCGCGGTGGCAATATGGGCCTCCGCCTCCGCTACGCTGGTTGCGACTGTGAGGAATGTCCCCACACAAGCATATACAGTCGATAGTGAAAACAGCTTCTACCCTGAATATTGCTTTTCTTTTCTCAGGCTCCACCGCCAAGAAACTAGCCTGTGAATATGACTGCTAAATATTACCTTGAACTACAACAATAAAGGCCAAAACCCGCGCGGGTTACCCACGGGCGGTTCTGTCAAGGGCCCAAGGCAGAACCCAACCCGACCCGCGTTTTGGCGAGGTCTAGTGCCATGTCATGCACTTCATACCGTCAGGAATCTGAGTGCGTGCGGATATTGCCACGCGACTCTATACCTTACATAATGCGCCACAGGCTGATTAATTGTCCAGTTGACAACAAGCATTCAGAAGAACGACTTGAGTCCAACAATGTTTCCAAAGTTGTCTCTTTTGCCCCCTAACTATGAGCTGGCTGATGCTCTAGAATTTTTACACTCTGCAATGTCAGTATACTCAAATGTTATATTATCCCATGCGCATAGGGCTGATCATCGTTCTTATGGACAGTGATCATGCAATGCTTACCGGCCAAAGAATCACAAACAATTGAAGGGCTGCATCATGAGTCTGCGATCTGCATTCAATGTTTCCATCCGAATACATATTTATCGTATCAAATTTGAAGTGTCAAGTGCTGAAACACATGTGTTGCAAGATTCTAAGGGGAGACAACAATTCCCTCCATGTTGCCATCTGCTCGCCATCTTTCAATCACGCCAATCCAGTCCTCAATTCCTGAGCCCCAAAGCCCCGATCGTGCTAGAACCATCTGGTACTCCGACGGAATACGGTCCAGCTCACCTTCCAAATTGAAGTATCCTGGGGTACACCCAATTGCCACTGCCATGGGCGCAGAGCGCATGGTGACTTGCATGGCCCAATCCTCCGCCGCCTCTGCCGACGGTGCAACAACAAAGGGAGCGTCATTGGCCCTACGCTTCGATTCGGTCAATATGTATGCCATATGCTTTGCGTATTCGTCAAGGTTGAAACGGTAGTTGCCGCTGGTGGCCGCCTGCTGTGGACCAGCAAGGAACAGATTCGGGAACTTGGCATCGATCACGCCATGGAGGGTAGTAGGACCAACGCGAGGCCATTCCTCGGTCATGGAGACTCCGTTCTGGCCAATTACTGTCATGTTGGCTTTCTCGGCTGGGGTACCTGCGGGCGGGGCAAGGTAGCCTGTTGCAAAGATGACTACGTCGACTTTGTGGGCTTTGTCGCCAATCACAATCGAGTCTTCGGTCATACTTGTGATACCCTTGCCCTCGGTGTCCACGAGAGTGACGTTTTCTCGATTGAAGGTCTGGAGGTAGTCATCATGGAACAACGGTCGTTTACACCATATCGGGTACCAGGGCTTAAGCTTCTCAGCCACAACCGGATCTTTCACCTCTGTATCTATACGACTGTGAATCTGCTTCTGATACGGCATGTCTGCCTCAACCAGCTTTGCTAGGTATGCAGGGATCTCCTCGGGTGACTTTGGTCCTTCCACGTTGCCAGTCAGGCCAACCAAGCCAGGAGCTCGAGTCCACTCGTCGTCAACAAGATTCACAGCTGGCTTTTCTCCCAGAGTGAAATGCTGGTGGAAGTTCCGCATTCGCTCGCGTTGCCAGCCTATTACAAGTTAGCCAAAAGGAAATACATAAATGGCGATGTAAAGAATGATTTTAAACCTTTTGACCCTGCAACCTCCTTACGGAACCATTCTTCATCAGTCTCGCGCTGATTACGGAAGCCCACTGATGCTGGTGTTCGTTGAATGACGTAGAGGTTCTTACTCCACTTTGCGAGGTGTGGAACAATTTCCACTGATGTACCTCCTGTGCCAACAATCGCAACATTCTTGTCCTATACATTTGCTAAGCATGCGTTCTTGTTTGGATCCATTGGTCATGTCTTACCTTCAAATTAAGGAGGGATGAATCTGTTGGAGAGCCACCAGTCACATCGTAAGCCCAACGTGCTGCGTGAAAGATACCACCCTTGTAATCCAGGATACCCGGGATATTGGGCAACTTCGGCCAATTCAGCGGACCAGTAGAGATGGTCACAAACTTTGAGCGAATTTCCAGATTCTCAACAGATTCCGTCTCCTGGGGGTCCTTTTGACGCTGAATCAGTTGGACAACCCAATCTTTAGCATCATCATCCCAAACAATTTCCTTTGCCTGGGTTTTGAAGACAGCAGAATCCACCAATCCCCATTTCCGGGCAACAAGATTGGCATATTCGCGAATCTCTTGGCCGTACGAGTATCGATGCTTAGGCACATAGCCCGTCTCCTCTAAAAATGGAAGATAACTGTAGCTCTCGATATCGCACATCAGACCAGGAAAGCGGTTCCAGTACCAGGTCCCACCAAAGCCACCAGCTGGATCGATCATCCGGATATCCTGCGCTGGGATCCCAGCTTCAATCATGCGGACAGCGATCTGGATACCGCCCCACCCGGCACCGATGATGAGCATTTCGCTTCGCTTATCGGGAAACTTGGCTTCAAGGGGCTGAATGTCTGCCGGGTCCGCCCATGGATCATCGGCAAAGCGCTTACAATTTGCTGATTGCTCGACTTGGATGAACTGGGAGTTTCCGTCGTCGCGGAGACGCTTTTGTCGTTCTTCCTCGTAGCGGGCTCTCACATCATCCACTTTGAGCTTCTCGAAATCTCCGTTAAGCGTCGAAATGGCCCCATTATCCTCATTTTTGAGATCTGACATGGTGAACGGCGATTTAATTAAGGTGGGGAATAAGGCTCAATCTCAATTGCTTAGAAATTTAAATTGAAATGTGCACATGGGCAGGCAATAGACGCAAACCTCGGGAGGTAGAGGTGGAAAAAAACACTCAAGTGCTCTTGGAATTCAATATTCCCAAGGTACTCCACAAGGCCGTGCGTAGCAGCTACTTATAAGGGTTCTGTAGTGCTCATCAAATCTTATCGATGTTCATTTCTTTCAACCCCGCTACCAGAGATCCCTGCCAGTAGGTAACCCGAGGGGCTGACCGGGCACTGCGACATGAAGGTGGGGGCTAAATAGTACATAACAGGCCCATACAGGCACCGGAGACATATGCGTGGGGTATGCATGGAAACTAACAGTACCTTTAGGATTCTTTGTATGGGTAACGTACTTTTCAGCACTTGAGGGGCAGAGGCTTCACATTAACCCGTGCACTCAGCCACTTTTATTAGTGGGTCTGAACAGCTCCTCCCCACCTCAACCGTCGAGTGAACACCTTGACAAGGATTGTACTCGGCTTGTTACGATTTGCAATCAAAGAAATTTGGGGGCCAGAGGCGAGAGGATGGAGCCCCCATATTTTTGGGGTGGCATTGAATTTTGGGATATTCAGTTTAATTAAACCGTTTTATAGGGCTCTCGAAATCGATTAAAAGGAATATAAGCGTTTTACGAAATTCTGAGACACGGAGCACTTGAGCCAATGTAAGCATTGGAAAAAACGCTCAGTGCTGGATGTAAGCACTTGAGAGCCTTGAAAAGTCAACCAAGCATTTACATTTGAACTTAAACCATGTAGGCTTCAAATGTTCGATATTCAAATAGTTCATATTGACGAATACTAATAATAGAATTTTCCAACATTTGTTGACGGGAAAAATCTGGGGCTAGAAATAGCTCAATATTTCAAATGTCAATTTGTTTGCAACGGGATGATCTGGCTTCTAATGTTTGCAGCCCTCCTCTAGTGTAATGTACAAAATTAGTGGGAGTGGGGCACGTTTCGTGTAAGGCGATCAGCCCATCAGCCCACAAATTTACGGTCCCTCCGGCGCTACCAAAAAGGAAATTGAATGGTTGTGTGGAGGTTGCGCAGATTATGTACTTACACACTGGCGTGTGTTGTATATGTGACTAGGCACTGCATGTGTAAGGTTGAACTGGACACTTATGACAACTTGGAGACAGAATGTACATCCATCGGTGCAGGAGCCTCGTTTCCTGCCTAAGCACGAAGGCCCATAATTCCGATCAAAGCATAGTACACATCTATTCATCCGCTGGCTCTACAGCACACTGCCCAGGTGGCACACCTTCAGTATCCTTCGCGGTTCTTCCAATTTTCAGATTGAAGTTACGCATCATTATCATTTGAACTTGAACCTGACTCTGACTCTGAAACTGGTGTATGCTAGTGATCCTATGTAATATTTGCTACTGTGACTTAGGTACCTTTATCCATGAAGTCTATACTCAACTGGTTACATATATGTAAATAGTATCTAGGTATAGGTATATATTTGAACTTGGATCTTGTGAGAATCATTCACAGGCAGCGTCATCTCTCAAGTACCGAGTCCTCAAGTGTTGCATCTGAAGTTCAATACCTAGGCACACATGCCAGTGGATTCCATGTAGCTTCAATATACACCTACACGCATACTAGTATGCAGGTATGTATTCAAAGTGTTAGTAGGTGCATATCCTTTAGCACACATACACTAGTTGACAGCACGAGCTTCTGATTAATGACTGGTAAACTCATGAACATTTCAATATATATAGTGACATTTCTCATATTAATGTACATAAACTTTTCAAGTTCGGCGCACGTCCTTCCAAAATTCGCCATAAGTCTAGACGAATTCTGCTGGCCTTCTTTCTCTGCTAACCTGCCTTTCGCTGCTAACCTTAAACTCTTCTTTAAGCGTGATACGCCTGCTATTGCTCGTCAATTCTGTTCCTGCGGTCTCCGTCTCTTCTTTGTGGGAACCTGAAAGAGACGAAACATGTGTCTTGACAGCATTTCGAAACACCCGGAAGACTGGTGGAACGGCAGGGAGGCAGGCGGCACTGAGCACGAAGGCATTCTCAATGTTATTCCAAATTCCGATTTGGATAGCATCGACTGGAGTGAATTTTGCGTTAGTATTACTTATCTCTCGGGATATCGATACGGCGTTGAGGATACTCACAAAGAAGGGTAATGATGTCAGGGTTACCCAAAAGGGTTGTATTCGAGTAAAGCTTTCGGATGGCAAAAGCAAAGGAACTACAATGGGTTCATATGGTTTAGATTCGAGCCCAGGGTAAACCCAATAATTGACAGACTTGAAAACTTACATAAACCCAAGGCTCATCAGCGCCACTGCGTTGACCCTTTTCCATGTCGCCATATTCAAATTCCAAATCACAACTCCAGGGTAGATGGAGAAGGCAAGATCCGTGAGCGCAGACATCGCTAATGTTGCGAAATTAGTCAGTTCAAAAGTTTCCAAGGGTTGAGAAGACCTCGGGAACACTTACCGCTGACTGTGATCGCATATTCCAGCTGGATATTTCTACTCCAGCACTTGACTTCTGGGTATTTCCACGGGTTCCACTGTCCTGCGACCGGGTCGCATTGCGTGAAAGTGATAATAAATCCCACGATGGCTAAGATCACCAATACGATACAGTATGTGATCATGGTGATTTTAAGCCAGCGCTTTGGGCGAAGCATTCGAGAGAGCAATAGAGCAACACCCAGCTTGGGTATACAGATGCTGAGGAATGCCCATGCATCTGTGAAAAGTGCCCAGAAGACTGGTGTAGGGTAGGTTCCCGGTAGCTCGGACGCCGTCGATTTTCGTGCTGTGGAGAGGGCTATTTGATAGGATACCGCTAAAACAACCATCAAGGGCTATGATAGAAGAAAAAATCAGTATTTGAACACTGCAAGACATGATATCATGGCTGTCTGGGTTGAGAACCGCTGGAGATTAGACAGCTGGATGTACTCACCCATGAGAGTGAGATGATGAAGTCATCCCAGTTGATGGGATCTTTGGATAGGAAAAGCCTCGAGTAGGTTCTCATAAAGAAAATGACAGTCGTTATGGCGACAAATACCCATATGGCAGCCGAGGCCTGGTAGGTGAGATGTATCAAGCTTTCCTGAGTATGCATGGTTCCTTTGTTTGCTCGTGTTTTATTTTTTTTTCCTTTTCTGTCTTTCTTAGGTGTCTGCCTAAAGAATGGCAAATGAGAGACCTTGAAAAGAAAAATGAAAAGACCTATGTATGAACAATGCAAGAACCAAGATGGATTCAAATGGTGGCACTTAGCCGATTATCATTTGAATGCTCCCGCTACCCGTTCGTTAGTTAACCTTGCCAAAACCCCCACTTTGATCCAATCATAGCATTGCATCCTTAGCATCAGTAGCGGCCCTACTAAGCTACTAGTGGGGCGAAAAAAGCAAATCTTGGGGGCCGAAGGATCAAGTTGGGGGCCTGGTATGTAATTTTCCTACGGTCCTTCCGACTTTGGGAACCTTGCAAGAATACATGTGGGCTGCACAGTACATTAATAGGCTCACTGCATAATCTAACCCGCATATGCCCAGGTGGGAACGCGCAAACAGAAGAGCGGGTGGAGCTAATCATCTACGGTGCGTACAGTACATATGCCAAATAAAGTACACAGGGGACTGCCCAGATGGTGGGTACCCAAGTGTAGGAACCTATGCACCAGTGTTACTGATCAACAACCGACCCTGAAGAACCTCGGAGGGGAATTTGGTATAAAATTAGAAGAGATGCGGGGCTTCATATGGGTGGTTAGGGGGATTTCCGGCAGGATTCTGGAATAGAGCCAATCGCTGTTCGCATAGGAAGCTCGGTCTTCAGGGATAAGGCTGTGGCTGCGGCATATCTTCACAACAAAAAAAGCAAAACGCCATGACCCATATTAAATAGGAGTGCGTGCCAATTGAATCATTGATCCTTGGAAGTAAATTGGACAATCCTGCCGCTCCGTATGGAGTCTAGTACAGTAGCCTGAGATTAGTGGGTGACTAGACCCACACACCAAGACTCATCACATACTACATCCGGGTTAGCGCTTCAACTCTTCACAAGGAAAAACTTGAATTTTCGAGTCACACTGGATGACGTGACAAGGTTTGGCAGACGATGAGGTGGAGCAAGGCCGATTTTGCTTGATGGATGGTAGGAGCTTTGGCAGACCCAACCCCACGGCTCAAGGCATGATTCTCACCACATTGGAACAATTGCCAGCCCCGAGAACTGCGGCACTATTTGTGAAGACGGGCACATGTGTTGTAGGAAGATAGGCATAATTTGCATTTCTTTCCGCAGTTTGCGTCAGCCGATGAATCTGCCGGGGTATTTCTCCACCCCATGCTCGCCTGGGTGGCCTATTTTAGGGGCGATACGGAGTACTATTCAATGCGAGAAAGAAGAGCCTCGGTCAACCACCAGAGCTCAAGCGGAGCCACCAAATATAGTAGACAATAACTACCAACTCATCGTCAATTGTACCGTGAATGGGATAATGTGCGATCGGCCCCAAGAACTGGCATGGGCTTCTTAGGCTCAATGGCAATCTTGAGGTGCAAATGAGCTGAAAAACGGATAAAAACGTTGCATTATTTTCTGGCCCCCAAGTTTTCCCAAGGATCCATACACATGTGTGCATCTATCTAGTCACTAGAGGCTGATTTTCTACCCAAGTAATTCCACCTGTGTGTACACAGGCACATCTGTCAGTCAATCGAGCGATGTGGTTGGAGGGACCATATTCGTGGGATGTTGACTGTTGGTTCCTGCGCACTATAAAGCCAAGACATTCCCGTGCATCAAAGCTTCCCAATATCTAGCCATCAAGCTTCCATTTCTACTCTTTGCAAAGCTCATTCTCAATAATTTTTAAACTTCAGTTTCATTATACTCAGCTCATTTGACTTCAAGATACCAAACACTACACACAACATGGGATCCATCGAAGGAGAGCTTCATATTCTTTCTCTTTTTGACAACTGCTCCGATGGAGAGAGCGGTATGATGTGCTATCCAGCCGGAGACCAAGCAAAGCCGCTATGGCTGAGCTATAGAGATCTCCAAACTCTGGCTGGCCACAAGGCATCCATGCTTCGCCTCTGCAATATGTCTCCCCCTGGAAGCATCACCTTGATTCACTTCGATACCCAACTCAACAACATTATCTGGTTTTGGGCCTCTATAATGGCCTGCTATATTCCATGCTTGTCAACACCACTGGTCAACAGCAGAGAGGGCCGCATCTCGCATTTTAATCACCTCAAGGAGTTGCTTCTTGACCCACTCGTCATTACCGATGAGGAACTAGCCAAGAAAGATTTTATGGACAATGAATCACTTCGAATCGTTCCTGTCGAGACTATCGAGAGCCCCAACAACCAATCTTCATCATCCACAGACACTACATCCAACCCGCGCGTGTCTTTTGGGACAACGTCTCTCCATGGAATTGCGGCCCTCATGTTGACCTCTGGAAGTACTGGAAATGCCAAAGCAGTTACTTTGTCGCATGAGCAGATCTTTGCGTCTGTTCAAGGCAAGGCAGCTTGGGCCCCATCACCAAAACGTTCCACATTCCTCAACTGGGTTGCCATGGATCATGTTGCTAGCTTGACGGAAATTCACCTGTCTGCCATGTTCTGTGGATTTGACCAGGTCCATGTTCCAGCAGCGAACATCGTTCCAAAACCCCTATACTTCCTGCGACTTCTATCGAAATATCGCGTGGTCAAGACTTTTGCTCCGCAGTTCTTCCTGGCCAAGCTCCAGAAGGAGCTGGAAACTGCATCCCCCGCGGATCTTGAAGGCATTGATCTACAACACCTTCTTTACATAATCTCTGGTGGAGAAGCAAACCAAGTTCAAACATGCTTTCGCGTGGCGGAGCAACTTGCGAACCTTGGGGTCACGAACAAAAATGTGATTATGCCTGGGTTTGGAATGACTGAAACATGTGCTGGATCTATCTACAGCCGGTCTTGCCCTGAATGTGACGTTCAGGCGGGTGCAGAATTTGCCGGCCTTGGTGATTGCGTCCCTGGGATTCAAATGCGGGTTTTGCCAATTTCATCAGATGCGGATTATCTTATTGAAGAATCCGCTCCCACAAACACTGGATCTCTTGAGCTACGTGGTCCTATTGTCTTTCAAGGATACTTCAACAATGAAGAGGCGACACGTGAAGCATTTACCGACGACGGGTGGTTCAAAACCGGTGACCTGGCCTCCATCGATGACAATGGCCATCTCAGACTCATCGGAAGATCAAAGGATCTCATCAATATCAACGGTGTGAAGTACATTCCACATGAGATTGAGACCGCTATTGAGCAATCTCGGATTCCAGGCGTGGCACCACATTTCATTGCCTGTTTTGCCCACCGTTCCCAGGGCTCCCCCACAGAAGAAGTGTTCGTCGTTTACCAACATGAATATGAGCCCAATGATGTCGCATCGCGTTTGCAGACCCTCCACTCCGTCGTCCGGATCGTTCTCCTATTTACCGGAACTCGCCCCTGTGTCCTGCCACTCGCCCCTGGCCAATTGGAAAAGTCAACTCTTGGAAAGCTGTCACGTACCAAGATCCAGAAATCATTGTACCAGGGTCAATACCGTGATCAGGAAGAGCTAAACTCTCAGCTCATTGAAGCTCACCAAAAGGCCAATTTCCAAGCCCCACAAACCGAGATTGAGAAGACGCTGATGCGACTTTTGTTGACCACCCTGGGACTTGAAGATATTCAAATTAGCATCGACACCCCCACCCTTGACGCGGGTATGAGCTCTGTTGACCTTATCCGTCTCAAGGTGGCCTGTGAAAGGGAGTTCGGCATTCCGGAGATCCCCATGATCACAGTCATGACTAATATCACCATTCAGTCATTGGGTGTTGCTATCAAGAAGCTCTTGCAATCCGAGTCTGGTCCAGTTCAATATGACCCAGTCGTGACTCTCCAGTATGCCGGCGCTCAGGCTCCTCTCTGGTTGATCCATCCCGGTATCGGTGAAATCCTGGTCTTCCTTGGACTTGTTCAATATTTCCCTGATCGACCAATCCATACCCTGCGTGCTCGCGGGTTTAACGCCGGCGAAGAGCCTTTCCGAGACCTGGATGATGTTCTGCAGTGTTACTACGCCGCATTGAAGGAAAAGCAACCTCATGGCCCATACGCAATTGCCGGTTACTCATACGGCAGCATGGTTGCCTTTGAAATTGCCAAGCTTCTAGAGGCGAATGGCGATACAGTCCAGTTCGTTGGCTCATTCAATCTGCCACCTCACATCAAAACACGAATGCAGCAGCTAGATTGGACCGGAGGTCTGATGCACATCGCTCATTTCTGTGGTCTGATTACCGAAGAGCGATCCGAAGAACTCACCTTGGAAATCAAGGCTGACAACGTGGAAGGATCGGATCAGGTTGCTATGGTTCTATCAGAGAGTGATCCCGAGCGCCTTGTAGATCTTGCTTTGACGCAAGAGTCTCTCACCACTTGGGTCAATGTTTCATTTGCTCTTCAGAATATTGGCTGGGAATATGAGCCTTCAGGATCTGTATCTGGTATGGATATCTTCTATTGCCAGCCTTTGAAGGTCGTTGCCAAGACGCGTGAGGAATATCGCAACACAAAGTTGAATCACTGGGTGGATTTTGCTCGCAATGAAGTCAGATACCATGAGGTTGGCGGAGAGCACTATACGATGATTGGGCCTGACTATGTTCCAAAATTCCAGCAGACTCTCAAGAATGCCTTGGCAGCGCGTGGACTCTAAGAGTATTTAGGTCTCATTGTGTTCGTTGTCCTCCCCAGATACCTCCTGTTAGCTAGTTACGATTCCCAATACATTCTAAATTGCCATATCTCTCTCAGGTACTTCTTAAAACTTAGTAATCCGCGGAATCCCGCCTCTCAGGGTCCCTCCATATAATCGCTAGTTTGCTAACTACCATAATTCATTTGGCCTATCGTTGAATGAGCTTTAAAACACGAGTCTATATACATAGTGCCAGTGAAAGTTTCCCTCAAGTGCCCTTGGCCTTCACTATTTAGTTACATATAGCCTACAAGCGGAGTCAGATGGGAGTCCTGGGGATAAGGAAACCCTGGAACCCAGATCAGGAATCTGGGAGCCTTAAAATTCCATCAATCTACAGGCATGGTCTCGAGTTCCAAGGGCCACACTACACTAGCAATGAGGTGATTATCCATGCATATAGACCAATTGATACATTTTAAACATTCAAATGTGTGAACTTGATTAATGAAGTCTTGAAAACTCGCGCGCTTCCTAAATATCTCTCCGCTTTGGCTATATTCAGACTTTCAACGGCGAAAATCTCATGTTGATGCTGGATCTGACATGCTCGCCCAAATAGACATAATGTTCAAACAATTTTGTCGGCCAGCCACGCAATCAGCGTGTTTTGCTGGAAACTTCCCATTGTCTGGTTTGCGAGAGAAACACGAACATCCCATGGCGCTTTCTTTTTTGTTGCCAAGAGATCCCGTTTCACCTCCGGTAACACAGTCATAGCTCCATCAGCCACGCCAATATTGAGCTCAAAGTTATCAACGTGGCCCAAGCCAGGACCGAAATCCAGAGAATTGATTTTGAGATCCCGCCAGCTCGAGGCAATTAAGTTCCCGTAACGAAGGTTCGTAGCCTCGTAGTCTTCTTGCTTGGTCATAAATGCCATGAAGCTACGCAGGAATGCGTCATCATAGGATGAGATTCCAACACGGGATTGGAAGGCTTGGTTGGCAATTTCCAACAGATCCCGCACGTTTATTCCAGACTCCTGCAGGGGCTGCAGATCGAGCGAGTTCTCCAGCGTGTCAAGATCGACATCGCTATCTGTTGGGAGCTGGAAATAAATACGAGATGGAAAGACTGCATTGCCCAGATAACAATCTGGGATAGCCTGAAGGCGTTTGCGAAAGTTGACTGCAAAGGTCAAATGGCGAGACTTGGAAGACATGTCGATACCGTTTTCTTTGCGGGCCTTCTCTATACAGAATGCAAAAGCACCTGTAAGAACATCGTTCGATGAAAGAAATGTGGGCCATTCCTTTTGCTCCTTCGCTGATAGGCGAGTTAAAAGAGGCAGTAACTCGGAACAGGCTTTCCGGAGACGTTCCAACTTCTCCGGTGAGAGAATAAACGCCCGAGTTGCAAGTCCGGTCCCAAGGAGCTCCATCGATTCAGCTTGCCCAGCTTCACCATCTTCTTTACTTTCGTAGGCATAGCTTTGTCCAACTTCTCCCGAGTGGTCAATTTCCGGATGCTCTCCCTCGCCGGCTGTAGTCAAAACATGTCGCAGCAATTCTTCTTTCTTTTCGTCGGTTGGGAGATTTGGTGAAGTCTGCGTCGCTGCTGCGCGGCAACACTCTGCTAGCATCTCGTGGATACGACCGGTGCCCGTTCCGTCAAAGACTGAGTGACTGAATGCCATGGACAGGATCACTCCATCAGCCATGACATTTGCCTGTAAGCGCATAACAGGTCGTGGCTCCGATGGGGGCAAAATCAGCGGCAGAGGGAAATATTCGCCATCGAGAGCCGCAACAGCCTGGTCGGTTTGCGATGATCCGCCACCCTCGATAAGCACTGGCGGCAAGATGACATCTTTGAAGTGTTTGATTGTTAACATGGGGATTCCCGCAAAGGTGGTCCCCGGCTGAACACGCATTTCTCCCGGCTTGGCGCAACTATCAGTCCAGGGAACTACTTCTCCACTGAGGAATGGTAGATTATCTAGGAGAAGCTTGATGCCATCTTGAAGTTGTGAGAGGCATTGTTGATGGTTTGTTGTGCGAAAGCACAGATTCTGGGGAATGTATACAGCCAGAAGAGCATGGTCCAATGAGCTAAGAGAGAAGGGATTGAAGGTGACCATTGTGAACCTTGGAAGTATAGATTGTAGAAGGGTGGTTGATAATGAGGCAGGAAATCATTAGAAACGTGAGATGCCCCTCGATCTTACGTGTGACGGGTTGAGGGGAATTTCCATTTCGGGTAATCAAACTAGTAGTCCAAACTAATTGGACTAGCGGGGTGGGTCTGAAGGGGGCCAAAAGCAAAATATCGATCTGTATTGCCAGGTAAGCTACCTGTAGTGTTGCCTTCACGGTACCATATCTTATGTTTTAAACGTGCTTGGTGGTGGTCAAATATTCAAAATTCTCTGCAGTTGACTCCTCTTTCGAATCCACTCTGGAGCTTTATAAGTCTCTGGGGTTCTGTGGTGATGTCACTGTGACCCTTACACAAGCAGATCATTTCAATTAGCCGCATTTCGTGTACTTATGATCATCCGCGCTGAGAACCTCTTCACCCTGTAAATGTGTATTTATAATCAGACCATATATGGACATGAAATGCACGAGCAAGACCCTAACCAAAACAAGTTGATAAATCTAAATTTTGGACGCGTGAGGAAGGAGACGCGTGATTTTAGTGGTATCATTTACCAAGTTCGAGACTAGTGCCATAGCAGTGGGTTCTGAGAAAACTAGGGAGCTGTTTTCGTTATCGACTGGAGCTGGTTGTCTGCTAGCGAATCAATATGCGATTAATGCCCTGGTGCCTCTTGATGGGTGCATATGGAGGGAGAATGGATTCCAGGATTCCTTGTATGGGCCACGAATGACAAAACTTCACTAGGCAGTCAGATGGGCGATCTACATTATGCCAAAAAGTATCAACGAAAAACCACACTCAATTTGCACCCTCTCACAAGTGATTCCGACCATAAGCACTAGTCAAATGGACTTATCTAGGTTTTCAGTCTATGCACCTCATGTGCATGTCGTCGTAGGCCCTTCTCGTGATCCACCGATCTGTTGCAATAGTGACAGTGACGATCATCAAAGTGTGTATCTCTAAAATGGCGCAGAAGGTGTTTGTGTCGGGAATAATGTTTCATACGACATTCATCCGATTCACCCAGGTTTCCGTGGCATTGGAAGCATCCAAGAGGCTTCTTCGCCATCTGGATATGCCATTCTGCCTTCTTTAAAGCTTTCTCTCGTGTTCTGTCTGGCAATTCAGCCGGTGTGGTGGCTAGTTTATCAGCGTCATCCGATATGATTCTTTGGACTGCACCGGCCTCTTTCGGACGTCGTCCTCTTCGAGGGCCCCCTTCTCGTACTCTGCAGTACATGCGAACAGCTTCAACTGCCTCATTTCTTCGCTTCCACTCTGCTCCCAGAGAGCCAGAAGTCGGCCATGTCATCAACTTTTCTAAGGGAAAGATCTGCTGCGGGCAGCATATTCTCCCTAACCCGCAGCATCTCTTTGGTTTGATCATCATAAGCCACAGCGCCTTTGGCAAGTTGTCGCTCGATATCTTTGACTGCTTGACTGCTATCGAACCCTTCTCTCACACGCTTGCGAGGATCGTAAAGCAATCTGTTTCGCGTATTGATGACATTTCTCTTCAGTTTCTCAAGTTTAGCTTTGTCTTTGCGTCTCCTTTTATAAGTCTGCTGAAGTTTGCAAGAGAACATATCACGTTTGCGGATAGCATCCTGTAACTCCGCTATCTCTTCAACGCTTGCTTTCTGATGATCTGTAAGCTCGCGAGGCCGTCGAGTGTCTATCCATCTTCCCATACGGGTGACTGCTCGCATCATTGCTGAGTCTGGCTCGAGGCCTCTCATCAAAGCCTGAATGTCTGTGCCGATACGAAGAGGGAGGTAATGCTTTAAGAAGGTTCGGATGTTGGCATGTTTCATAATGAGATTCTGCTGGGCATCGCTCACGACGCCTGCGTATGGTCAGCTGGATCTTTTCGCTTTTTTTTTTTTTTGAGGTGTAGCCCAACAGTAAGCAAACTTACTGCTTTGGTTAAGGATTGTTCCGCCGCCATATCGGTTCGAATGTGTATAAAGATTCGGGAACCCTGTAATTTCCCCAAAGGTTTTGTATTGCTTGCTTAAGATCGCACTCGAGATCGGCTGGTCACGGATAATCCGACGACGTTCCGTACTGCCTGGACCTTGCAAAATACGTAATGGTTGGCCCTCTCTGCTTTAAGTGGTAATAGCAACTGCTGTCGGCCATTCTCTGGCCAGAGACGCCTCAGGTCCTCCATGGACTTTATTCCCGGAGCGTGAAAAGCGTCGTCATCGAACAAAATGCCGAGCAAGAATTCATGCGGCCTCAAGATAAGTGACGGATCGTAAAGAGTTTCTGGGATGATAAAGGTGTTCCTAATGGCGATCAGTGACAGTCCTCTCTAAATCGTGCATCTCTTTTCATACCCCTGCGTGACACCGAAGTACGATTTAGCAAACTCGTATGTAATTTCAAGTACAATTCGGGGCGGTCCCCCTTTTGGATCGCGTTGAAGCGAGCACTCCAGGTGCTGGTATTGGAGGTGTCGCATCGCACTGATCCGATTTACAGTAAGCCATCACATTGTAGAGACACTGCTGTATCCGTTGGAGGCCTATATAGAACGGTTTCTCCATTGTCCGAAGAACTGTTATTTGTAAGGTTACCACATCTTCGATATGCAGCGGTGGCTTTTCCTTTTCTTTCGTCCTCAACTTCTTGTCTCTCACGATTTTTCGTATACTCTGTTGCATATCCTTAGGTCAGCAATACGTTCAGCGCATGAAGTCTGCGGTCAAATCTTTCTCATTTTTCGTCCAAGCTCCCCGGACATTGGATTCCGATTCGTCTGCGCATAATATCGAAGAAACATCTTCCAGTTCGTATCATCCGAGTCGATATCTGGATCCGTTGTAGAGTCCTCTTTATCAGTATCACTAGAAATTTTATTGACACTTTGCTGCCATCCTGGGGATAATGTCCCATCCTCCGTCGGTTTCTCAGAGCCTTGGGTTAATTGCCGTCTTTTATGTCGAGGTCGCTCCTCGTCATCGGCTCATCCGCTACTGGAGCCACTGGATGACTTTCGGCTGTGCCTCCGTTTACACAAGGGGAAGCCCCGCGGGCAGTTTTTGCCCCATGGGGCGAGAGACTTTTCCGGGATTGAGACATCGGTATCCGAAGCGGATTGATCATAGTCCGACTCTGGTCGGAATGATTCAGAGCTAGGGCTGGAGTCGCCCCGATTTATTTGACGTATGTCCATTATTGGTATGGTACAAATATACAAAGAAAATGAGAAGACAGTAAATTCAGACAGTAAAGCTTCCCAAGCTATATTGGAGTAGGGGAAGGAAAAATTGATAAATTATAAATGTTAAGGAGAAACATAGTTACTGCAACAGAGCTACTTGGCCATTTTTATGATACCGCTGGCTTGGCGCAGGAAACCATTATATCTTTCATTTTTGTATTTGATAAATTTGCCTTTCTCTTTTTTAGAAAATCGATGACTAAAAGGGGGTAAAAGAAAAAAGAAGTGGACATGACCAAGGTCGCAAGGGCAGGAAGAAGGTGAGCCGAGGGTGAGTGAGAGGTGGCGTAAAATGAGGACCTGGGGTGAGAAAGGATGAGACCAGGAAAACTTGGATTTCTGGGTGGAGCGCGCCAGGTCGGGCTTGCATTAGTGGGTGCGTGGTTCCTCCGGCTGTGGTATTAAATAGAGGGGCTTGAGTTCTGCACAGACCTATGAAAAGTGTTAGCGCGATATTCTTGCTCCTGACGGTTACGACCTCACTCCAGTCGATGATCTAGACTTCACATAGTCAGTTAGAAATTCATGCAAGCTGCACTTTGTGCGAGATTCCAAAACTTACTCCGTAAGCGCAACCGCATCCCGGTCCTCGTGAGTATTATCCCCATCAGGTAGCTCCTATTTCACTTCAAGAGATGCTGTTACAATAGGGCTCCGAAAGGAATAAAGGAATGCGAATAAACGCCTTATTCATATTCACATTCATATTATTCATATCGTGAAATTTCTTCGCATTAAGACTTTGTCCGGTACAGCGGTTATCGTATTACCGAAATGCGCTGACAGGTCGATTTCACAATGCCATGGATTCATTAGCAACGCTGGACTGTGAATCTCCCGTTGCGAACGTATGTTAGAAGGTTAAACCTGTTAATACAGGTTTTGACCAGTATTATGTGCCATATTTGACCTTTTTGGAGATTTGATACTCATTCGTAGGTGCCTATCCATAGAAATCTGACTCCGACCACGAAGATCCATGAGCATTATATATATCTAAAAGCCCAATTGCGAATCAACTTGGGCAATGAATTGAATAGATCTGCTCACTCGCCTGATTCAAGCTCGATTCATTTCAAACTCCGTCCATATATTAGTCCTGAGAAATGGCACGTGAAAACGCGTTTGCCTCATGATCCAGAGCCTTCGATGACTCTGGCTGCATTTTGTTTACGTTCAAAATCATCAATATCGCGTTGCAGAGAAGACAAAAGAGACCTATCAACTTTCCACGTCAAGAAGAGCATATAAAGCCCGAACATGAATGGGCATGTTAACAATCTTCCTATCCTCAAGCCCCCTATCAGCTTCTTACCCCAGCCCAGATAGCTCAAGGTATGTTATACATCATCGTCTATACCGCTTTGATATACTGATACCAGGAAATAGTAGCATGGCATCTACACCCGAACTGTCCATGCGGAGGACGCGCGGTCTTCCACGTCGGGACTATAATGCTCTACATAATGGCCTGGTTTCTTCGCCTTCACAGCAATCTGAGGAATCTATCTGTGAAACAGGACGCCTTTACTCTCCCGAGCCCTCTCCGTCTAGGGACCTGGAAGACAGACCTCAATCGAAGCGGTCTTACTCTTTGCTTAACTCCTCGCCTTCCCCGCTTGATCCTGTCTTTTCAGAGAGCAGGAGCGATACGAGTAGTCCGCACCCGTATAAAAGACGAAAGCCCAAGTCATATTCTAGTTGGACTATTGAGCACTTTTGGACCACACATCTGGATAACACTTGGTGTCGGCAAGGTGGCCCACCCAAAAAAGATCGACTGCTGATTTGTAAACATTGCAGCTGGTCCTCCAGAGATTCAGCGCGCTATGGCTCCACTTCAAATTCGTTGGTGCACCTCCAGACCAAGCATCGTATCAAGTCTGGGGGCGAATCCATCTTCTTGCCCGCGGTTGAAGGAAGCCTCGATCGGTTCTTGGAGTCTCCGAGAAAGAAGGCTGGCGTTGAAGAAATGCTAGTTCGGTGGGTCATTCAAACAAAACAGCCTTTTACAGTGGTAGAGCATCCGGCTTTCAGGGCACTCATTGAAGCAACGGGGGTCACGTTGCCCATCAAGACGGCTGATACTCTCTTCAACCGAATCAAGGAGGAATTCCATTCAAGCAGGGCTTCCGTGGAAGAGGTGCTTGCGATGAGTAGCCGGACACTGGCTTTGTCCCTTGACGTTTGGACGTCGGAAAATCAGATTCCGATCATGGGTATCATTGGTCATTGGATCTCTCCCGAGTTTGACAAACGCGATGAACTTCTCGAGTTCACTGAGATCAATGGACCACATTCTGGAGAGAATCTAGCGGACGTTGTGTTGAAAATGCTTGACGAACTGGACATCGCGCCAAAGCTCCTGACCATTACAGGGGACAATGCAGGCAATAATGGGACGCTATGCGATAGCCTGCACGATCAGCTCCTCAATAAGTATGATAATGAGGATGACCGCTTTCGCATTAGGCCTCTAATGCGGTTCCGTGGACGACAGAGCTTCATTCCCTGCCTTGCCCATATCCTCAATCTGATTTGCAGAGATGTGTTAGCTTCTTTAAGGGCTGGTTCGGCTCGAGAAGCAAAGGCGATACTGGACGACATGGCCATCCATTCTAGAGCAGCATTCAACTCCCTTCACAGCACAAAAGGAGCTATCATGAAAGTCCGGCTCCTGACGCTATGGATTGCCCGTAGCCCACAGCGCCGCCAAGATTGGAAAGAAGTGTCACCCGGCAAACAAGTCAGTTATGATGTTGACACCCGATGGAATTCGACTTATATCATGATTCAGGATGCACTTCGGCTGCAAACTCAGCTCGGACAATTTGTTCGGATACATCCAGAAGTTCAGGCTCTTCAGCTTACCGCTGACGAATGGTCGACACTTCAGCAAGTAGCTAAGATTCTCAAGCCGTTCTGGGATCACACAAACTCCGTCTCAAAGACTTGCCCAACAATTGTGGAAAGTCTACCGATTTACTGGAGCTTGGACGACTTGTTGAATGACGTTCGAAATGCGGAGGGGGATTTAGAAGATGTGAGTATTGAAATTCGCGATGCGGTGGAAGGAGGGATTCGAAAGATGAACAAGTTTGCTAGAAAAATGGATGACAACCTTCTTTACTATGTGGCTTCTGTTCTGGATCCGCGCATCAAGTCGTCTTTGATTGTGTCTCAGATGAGCGAACAGGATTCAGGGTTTATCGTTTCTCAAGTGCGGGATTTCTTAAAAAAAGAGTATCCCCCAGAGCCATTGGTTTCCCGAGAAGTTGACCTACCACGTCCACCGGGGATGTCAGAAACAATGTGGAGGACTCTGCGCAAAGTCCAGCCATCCAAAGAGGCCTCTTTGTCGGATATTGATAAGTATTTGGATTCCCCGCCGGTCAACTGGTCCCACCATATGATCGGCGATGCAGACACAGAATGGGTCCTAAAATGGTGGAAGGCTAACGCGTTCAATTTTCCACTCATGGCAAAAGCTGCTCGCGACTATCTCCCCATCCCTTCGGCAGAGGTCGGGATTGAACGCGAGTTCAGCAGTGCTAGAGATGTCTTGGGTCTTCGAAGACACTGTCTGAACGCGGAGACTATGCGATGGTTGATGCTCTTGAGAGGGCAGTACCAGACAGAATGTGAGGGCGGTACATGCATGTAAATTCATTGATGAAGTGCTCAAGTTTCGTATGTAACTTGTATGGACCAGTGTATATGAGCTTGATAGATGTATTGGGAAGTAATGAAATGAATGGTTATGTATCGTATTTTATTATACGAATAAATATGAATTATTCATTTATTCATGAATAGTGTTGAGTATCACGGGGATCAAGGCCTTGTGGTGGGGATCATCAAGAAACATAAATAGATGAGGAGTCCCACCTCCGACCAGATAGATAGAATTCAATACAATCAATCCTATCTCAACAATTCAGGAATAAATGAATTATTCATATTTATTAAAATACAAAGATACCATACATTTCCATTCGCCTCGTTACATCCCAATACATCATCAATATTCATGCGTTCTATTTACACAGCATAATACATACGAGCCATTGAACTGTGAATCACAGGATATCTATGCTGAATACCGTTCTTTCAATAGCATCAACCATCGCATAGTCTCCGCATTCAGACAGTGTCTGCGGAGGCCCAACACATCTCTAGCATTACTAAACTCACGTTCAATACCGACCTCTGCAGAGGGGATCGCTAGGTAGTCGCGAGCGGCTTTTGCCATGAGCGGGAAATTAAATTTGTTAGCCCTCCACCATTTCAAGACCCATTCTTCGTCCGCATCGCCGATCATGTGGTGGGACCAGCTCACCGGTGGTGAGTCCAGATACTTATCAATGTCGGATGTTAGACTCCCTTGAGCCGGCTGGACTTTGCGCAGAGTTCTCCACATTGTTTCCGACATCCCCGGTGGACGTGAATGCTCAGATTCATGTGAGACAACTGCCTCTGGAGGATATTCTTTCTTAAGGAAGTTGCGCACTTGAGAAACAATGAGCCCCGAATCCTGCTCACTCATCTGCGACACAATCAAGGACGACTTGATTCGCGGATCCAAAACGGAAGCGACGTAGTAAAGAAGGTTGTCGTCCATTTTCCTCGCAAACTTATTCATCTTTCGAATCCCTCTTTCCACTGCATCTCGAATTTCAATGTTAACGTCTTCAAAATCTCCCTCTGCATTCCGGACATCGTTTAACAAGTCGTCCAAGCTCCAGTAAATCGGTAGACTTTCCACAATTGTCGGACGAGCCTTTGACACGGCGTTTGTGTGATCCCAGAATGGCTTGAGAATCTTCGCCACTTGCTGAAGCGTTGACCATTCGTCATCGGTGAGCTGAAGGGCCTGCACTTCTGGATGTATCCGAACAAATTGTCCGAGCTGAGTTTGCAGCCGAAGTGCATCCTGAATCATGATATAAGTCGAATTCCATCGGGTGTCAACATCATAACTGACTTGTTTGCCGGGTGACACTTCTTTCCAATCTTGGCGGCGCTGTGGGCTGCGGGCGATCCAAAGGGTCAGAAGTCGGATTTTCATAATTGCACCCTTTGTGCTGTGAAGGGAGTTGAATACTGGACTAGTATGGATGGCCATGTCGTCCAGCATCGCCTTCGCTTCTCGAGCCGAGCCAGCCTTTAAAGAAGCTAGCACGTCCTTGCAAATTAGATTGAGGATATGGGCAAGGCAAGGAATGAAGCTCTGCCGTCCACGGAACCGCATTAAAGGCCTAATGCGAAAGCGGTCATCATCATTGTCGTACTTTTTAAGGAGCTCCTCATGGAGGCTATCGCAGAGGGTCCCATTGTTGCTTGCATTATCCCCTGTGATGGTCAGGAGCTTGGGCGCGATGTCAAGTTCCTCTAGCAGCTTGAACACAATCTCCGCTAGATTTTCGCCAGAATGCGGTCCATTGATGTCGGTGAATTCAAGGAGCTCTTCTCTCTTTGCAAACTCGGGTGAGATCCAATGACCCATGATACCCATTATCGCAATCTGATTCTCTGACGTCCAAACGTCAAGAGAGAGTGCGAGCGTCCGACTACTCCTGGCAAGCTCGTCTTTCACACAAGCCCTAGTCAAATGAAATGCTTCCTTGATTCTGTTGCAAAGGGTATCAGCGGTCTTGATGGGCAATTTAGCCCCCGTCGCTTCAATAAGCGCCTTGAACGCGGGATGCTCCACGACTGTGAAAGGCTGTCTGGTTTGGATGACCCATTGGACTAGTGCATTTCCAACATCAACGTGTTTCCTCGGTAACTCGAAAAACTGATCAAGATTCCCTTCCGCAGTGGGCAAGAACATGGAGTGGGTCCCGGATTTGATGCGATGCTTAGTCTGGAGATGCACCGATAAATTCGATGTGGAACCATAGCGCGCCGAATCCCTAGAGGACCAGTTACAATGCTTGCAAACTAGCAGTCGGTCTTTCTTCGGTGGACCACCCTGCCGACACCAAGTGTTGTCCAGTTCCGTGGTCCAAAAGTGCTCAATGGTCCAGCTGGAATATGACTTGATTTTTCGGCTCTTATGCGGGTGCGGGCTACTCGCATTGCTCGTGCTATCCGACAATGCCAGATCAATCGGGTGGGGTGAAGAGCTGGGCATACAGTAAGACCGTTTAGATCGGGGTATTTCCTCGGTGTCTACAGACGAGGAGGGCTCTGGAGAGTACGGTCTTCCTATTTCACAAATAGATTCCTCGGATTGCTCGGAAGGTGATGAGACCAGGCCATTGTGTAAAGCATTATAGTCCCGGCGTGGAAGACCACGCGTCCTCCGCGAGAAGGGATTTGGTGTAGATGTCATGCTACAAGCCTTTTGGGATGAGCATATGAAACGGCCACGGCAATAAAGCAACGCGTACCTTGGGCTACTTGAACCAGCAGGCGATGCTGGAAGGAGGGCTTGGGAATGGGATTACTGTGAGCAATCGCGATTTTGTTCGCGCTTTATATACCCTTTCTGGCGTGAAAAATTGATAGATCTCTTCTTGATTTCTGCAGCGCGCCATTCATAACATAAAGCGTAAACAAGATGTAGTTAGGGTTATCGGAAGCTTAAGACTATGAGCCAAACGCGTTTCTACGTGTCATTCGCTGTACCTATTGCGTGGACGAAGTTTGAATTGAATCGCGATGGAATCAGAGAAGCTAGCGAACATTTTAAAATAGACCTGCCAAGATGATGTAAAGGTAGGTCATCAATATATATAATATCAAGTGCTCTTTTTGACTCAAACATCAAGATTCCACATTGAGATATTTTGTGTGTGTGAATAGCATACCTCTAATTGATGCACAATAGGATATCAAGTCTGCAAAAACTAATATAATCGGGTCTTAGATTCTAACGTATATCTGCAAATGAAATGCTCCTGTCCAACATCGCCGATGAGGTGGGCATTCTGAAATTGACCCCCTAAGCGTATTTCGGTAATACGAAAACTGTTGTAACGGATAAAGTGTTAATGCGGATAAATAACAGAATATGAATAATATGAATGCGAATATGAATAATACGTTTATTCGCGCGAATAAAAATTCATTTATTCATATTCACGGAGTGCGAATATGAATATGCCGTATATTCGCATTCCTTTATTCCTTTAGGAGCCCTAAATGGGTGCGGGTATAGCCGCGGCATACCCATGGGCACAGCTTTTTGGTTTATACCTATCTTGGTATAGGTATGGGCACAGACCCTGTGCCTCGGCAAGGGCACAAAACCCGTGGCGGGCACGGCTATGCCTATGCTAACCTATAATAGTATTAATTCCTAGGGCGGGGAAGTCGGTGATTGAGCGGACCGCACTTTCAGTGGGCTGTTGGCTAACGTCCGTGCTCGCTGAGCTGAGCTACCTAGCAATTTTTGAGTCATCTGAACCTAGGCTGGGGAATATAGCAGTCTCGCAAAATATTATTTTTACTCAAATTTTCCATTTCTCCCCCACTCAGTCTTGGCAAAGCTAGCCCGATGGCCAGCCTAACTTTTGTGCTCTCTGCAGCACAAATGCACTGCTTAAAAGATCCACTGCCCGAGCATGTCTATTGAGTATCGCCAAGCCGAAAGCGCAGTATCCGTAAGGATCTTGAACTTGGAGATCAATCTGTGGGTGGCGCAACAGCCGCTCAACACATGCAGTATACCTGCTTGCAGCAGCAAACATGAGGGCCGTGAAGCCCGAGGGCCCAACCTCATTCAATGCGATTTCACCTTGCGAGAGAAGAAGAGACACGATATCTAAGTGTTGGTTGATGACAGCCACGTGAAGGGGCGAAGTTCCAGAGGGGGCTTTTACGTTGATCTGAATGAACCTCTGGGTCAACAAGTTCTGGACTGCCCCGAGCGAACCCGCCCGACATGCGGCCCACAGCAGGGAAAAGCTCGACGTGGCATTGATACATATTTTCGGCTGTCTCAAGAAGGATCTGCAGTAAACGAGAGCGTTGATGCTCGTCGCAAAATACGGGCATTTCATCTGCATAAATGCCACTTATCTGGTATCAAATCACTTTTCCGAACTGCGGCCTCGCCCGGATTTGATTCATTGCTCAAGCGCCCTCGAGCCGGGGGGCGGGGTCCCCCAGAGACTCCCTTCAGGGGGGTCGGCGAGGCAATTTCCAATTGCCGGGGGTGCCCCCCAAGGCGACGGGCAAGACCAATTCACTATCTTCGTCTTGGGACTTTCTCCAATCCTCAAACTTCGACAAGAGTGAATTATTCCGATCTCAGCTCCACATGGAAAGGCCTTCTCCAATGGTAATTTCAAGAAGTGAAAATTCAGTGTTAAGACGTATCACAGCGACGTCCAATCTTTCCGTCCGAGCCGCGCTGCTTATTGTAATGAAAGGTCGCACACTAAGCGTACGGGATCTATCATTCTAAGGCTCTGTTTGGAATCAAACTCGTTCTGTGGTGCCGAGTATCCACTTTGAAGGATGTGGAACGATCTTGTGAGGAGAGATTCATTTGATCAGGACCTGGAGGTTGATCCTTGAAAGGCCCATTCCGAAATCCCCCGTGGGAATATCTGGCCCTAACTGGATAGAACGTGTCCATAGTTGTCCGCTCCCTTCGGTCGCTCCCAATGTGCCCGTGGGACCATTCTAGACTTTCCCTCCGGGGGTTGTGGCGTTTGGTTCGGGCGGGCCTTCGGTATACGGGGCCACCCTACGGGTGTCGGCCCTCTCCGGCCCTAGGCGGGAGTTAAATGTGGAAGCCGGGTCAAGCTGTTGTGATTCCAGGTTGGTGCAGAACAGGAACGGAGCCACACCATCAGAGTTAATCCCGATGTATCTATAAGAAGAGCTAAGTTGATTGGAAAATGTTCCATTTTAACCTTAGGAAAGGGCAGGTAATTTCCCCAATCATCACTTGTTGAGACATATTATGCACTGAAAGCCGCCTGGTCACATACGGACATCTCGCAAGCACCCAAGAATGGAGTTTGAATGTCTAGCAATGGGTCTCTCAGTAGGCCTGCCTGGGAAATCGCGCATCACACATAGTAGAATCACCAGCCATGAGTAGTAGAGCGACTTCCTTGCCTGGTCTCCTCCGACCGAAATTTGCCGCAGTGAAACCACTACCGAGGTTATTTTGGAGCATAGTAAACAAAGTAATATCCGACTGATACAGGCACACAGCATGGCCAGACAGCATCCGTTAGAGAAGTCTCTAGTGTCAAACCCATGACTTCAAGCTATGAGGTCGCGGTCACTACCATTCATGGAAGCAACCTCAGAATATCCCACTAGAGCCTACTCGGCAGTGTTCGTGCCAACGATTATGATTCGCAATAGTAGATGTGTATCTGGTAGAGCCCAATCCCTCTTGTCCCTCGACGATGAGTAAGTAGCTTCATTCAGATACCACACCACCAAAGCCCTATTAGGGCGAGCTGTGATTGGGAGCTCCTCCGATTCAAGTTGGACTAGTTGGCCTTTAGCTTCGGGGACGCGGTGAGTGCCCACAAGGCGATGCTGCCGTAATATGCCCCTGTCATGTATGGAAGCTCTTTCCTGAAGTCAAGTTTTTGGTTGACCTTGCTGCTGATCACACTGTTGAACGTCGCATCCCTGCCAACGCGCCCTCAAGATTGGTTACGAGTCTGATTGCACAATTAGCTTGAATTAGGCAAAGACCCAAGTTGCCCTCTTAAGAGCACTGCTCGGACCATTCGAGCTCCCTGCTGGCCTCTTTTCTATTTGTCTGATACGGTTTCCCGCTCACAAACGCTGAGATAGTTAAGAGCGTGAGCAGGTGTAGCCCCAGCGAGAAGAGAATATAAAAAAAAATCAGCCGTTGGAGAAATCTCAAAGGAGAGAGATTCATACTTCATGGAAATTGCACGCTCGTACATCGAGGCTCGCTTGTGAGATGAACTCATCGCGAAGAAGCCTAGGGAGACGCGTTTGGGAAATGACGTCACGCGAAGTTAGCTGCGGCAAGTAGTCAGCGACGCGTCGGACCATTTAAGAACAGCGACCCAAGTCTGCTTCCGTCGGCGTATGCCGTCTTGAACATTCACAAAGCACTGTAAAGGTTGGCACTTTCTTTGTGTTTGAAGTTGCTTCATAATTCGGCCCATCAGAAAGCCCGCACAGCCACGTGCACAAGATGTCGCGATTTGATCGCATCATTGGAATTGGCTCCTCAGATCTCCATGTGTAGAGTCAAGTTTCAATCAACTTGATCTTCTCGGGGTGTGTATTATTGGGTATCACCCCTTCAAACCGACAATCAATCGTACCGCAGACGCGTCATAAGTGGCCATGCCGACAGCGAGATGGCCACCACAGGCCTATAAGTAGTACTCTTGAATAGCTCTGCCTCTAGATAAATGTGAGGCCCGCATGGAACAGGCTTAGCTCACAGCGTGACAAGAGCACGTCCCTTCAGCACATTTACAGATGACCAAGGCGGAAGGCGCTGATGCAAAGTAGCCTTGTCTAATGACAATGGAGATCCGCCATCGGAATGCATAATGCGGATCCAACAGTAGGACTTGTCATAAACTGTCCATTTTGTGTGGGTGCTGACTTGGGTGAGGTGAGACAGGGAGCCAGGCTAGCCGTCCACTGTTAACCTCCAGAGCCTGACTGCAGCAGGCTTCGCGTCTAATGCCGCTTAAAACCAAGCTCTTGACAAGAGACGACGGCATTACCAATGAGCGGGGGTCAGGTAATAAATCTTTCGATCGACGTGAGAGGTTTGCTGGAACGATAGTCAGCCATACGAATGTAAATGCGGGGGCGGCCGCGATATAAAGCCACCTGTTGGTTAATGTGGGCAATGCGCTTCTTGTAGTAGATTCGTAGTGCGATTGGGCTTAGTGCTCGGAGCAGGCGTCGAAGGGTATGTTCAGCTGATACGCGCATGGAGTGGGTAGGTGAGGAGCGCGTCGGTAACCAGTCGCACTATAGGCAGTGTTAGCATCCAGTGAAGAGGAATAAGGATAGGTCAGCATGAAAGGGGATACTCTTGTCAATGCCGAAAGTAGCTGATGCATGTGAAAATAGACGTAAGCGCAACCCTTGCCAGCCAAGAAGTGGTTCAACATGGCTGCATAACTAGCCGTAGTCCTCATCGCTCCGAAATGACCGATAATCCATAGCTTGAGATATGAAGGTTAGTTCTCGTGACTGCGGGCGCTATGCCCATTGAGTGTGCGAAGCTCGCTCTTGTTAGTTGAACGCTTCCCCAGTGTACATAAAAAAGATCGATGATTTAGAGCTGACACTGAATTTGCTTGGCGAAACTGGCCAACCCATTGCCTGCTGAAGCCAATAAAGTTGACGAGGGGCTATTTTCATCATTCAATCACATGGAGCTCGATGGTATCGGCAAGGGCTGATTGCAGGCAGATGAATGTTTATTCATCCTGGGAGAGCCGGATCAGATGGAGTGTGGGCGGATGATGTTGAAACCATCGATATAGCCTTGCAGTGCCCCTGGGCTTGTGTTTCATTTTAGTGGCACGCGCCATGTATGGCATACACACTGGCTCGCTGCCGGTGTATCGACAGGCTCTGTGAAGGGTCAATGATCTGTCATGAGCGAATTGATTGAAAAGTGCCATCACTCACCCACGTTCTATACCGTGAAGGTTTGAAGCATCGAGGCGTGGATTAATTTGGACAATGTAGCGCAAAGAGCCCCATGGAAAAGAGCGAGATCAGCCGATATGAGATACGTACCTAATGGCATCACATCCTCATCGCTGATTTGATTGACGAGCTGTTCCTTCTTGACAGTATCTGTCGGCGTGGCGACCGAAGGCACAAGGCTAGAGACGCTTCGATTCAGGGAGCGTCTCTTGTATTCGAGGTGGAATCCCCCTTGCCTTGAGTACATGATGGGTGCTCTGTCCGACAACTTGTCCCTTGCTACCGAGTCAAAGATCGAGAGGGTAGAAAGCTTCATAAGCCATTCAGCATCCGGGATAGCCCACGCCAGGACTTGGGCAGGGGGCCGTGAATATGTCTGCCATAGAAAGGAAGTTAGCTCTATGTACATAGACTCAATCAAAGATCAGGGGATACGGATCACACTCAGCGTTCCCCGGTATTCGTGATATATTAATCCATTCACCTTTCTGTAGAAGGTTCCTGTGATAGAAGTTCGTTTGGTCAGCGACTGACCTCATGGAGTTGTTATTGGGCTTACCGTATAAAAAGGCTCTACCGTAATATATGGGGTAGAGAGGCTGTCATGATTGTCATCGAATGTGTTCAGATCTGACTGTACACAGACCTTTCGAGAAGCTCTACTATGAGATCGTTAGATAGGACATAGTACAGATTCCATGGATCAAACCAATTTGACACCTCACCTTTGTACATGTCTTGCTGCCCCGGTGGACAGATTGGAAGCCTAGTGGAATCCGAGGAATAAACGGCGTTAGTGTAAGCTTTAATTAAGGAAGGGTGGTACTCACGTATTGAACTTCTCGTATATCAGTCCTAGAGAAAGCGTGTTATCAGTGATAGATAGATAGTCTTGAGCTGATGACTGGGTACACTCACAAGTAGTAGACAAAAGGAGATGATCAAAGTCAATCTTCGCAAATGAGATGTGCGAGGAGACATGCAAGAGGAAAGTCAAGCAAGACGGATGGGGGCATATTTATACCTCCCAGGGCGGAGTTCCTCGTCTTTCGCTTAGTTCTGCAGCGCTCCAGTCAGGACTCAAGAGTGGCAGATTGTGAGGCTTGCTAGTTCTTTCTATCCAAGAGCGAACATAGCATTCCAGCGAGCAGTTTTCTGCGCTCAATCAACATGGCTACTCACCATTGGTGAGCAAACAGGAGCAGCAAAGACCGAATGACAAGTAGTTGGCAAGGATTCAAGATACAGATAGAATGCGGCCAGGAAATGCCACCAAGAAAGTGGAGGAGTGGCTAATTGAGAAACCGGAGTTTATTCACCAGCTGATTCAGTTGAATCAACAGTGATGAGCAAACATGAAGCGCCCCAAGAATATGCGGAATGACAAACAGTTGTTCTGAGGAAACGTTGAGGTAGAGTTCTAGTCCGGGTAAGGCTGATTGGGGATGTAGAAAACGAGGTCGTAAACTTTATTAACTCGCGAATCAGTTGACTCAACGGGGATGAGAAAACAGGAGCTTGATCAACAATATTTGGAATGGCAGATGCCTGTTGAAAAGTGAAAGTTGAGGCGAGCGCTGAAAAGGCCTCCTTTTGATTACTGACTTGACTACTGTCCTGGCTTTCTCTGACCCATTAACTAGCGGAAAAATAAATACCTGCAAACAAAATGCATTTGCTCGCCCCGCTTCTACCACCTTTGTATGAGCGGACGAGGTGTGAACACAACACAGGATACACGCCCAGGAGGAAATGTAGAAGTTGCCATCCCCCCTCAAGCAGAATGCGAACCTTGGGCAGCCCAAATTGGCAAGACCATAACAGTGCATGGTCGTCAAGTTGAGCCAACACCGGGTACCTTGGATCCACACCGGTGCGGCCCGTGGGTCGAGGTGGGGTCACCATATCCACTCTGGTGCCTCAACGTTGAGTGAACGACAGTGAATGATCAGCGAGGAAGCTGGAAGCCCTCAGAGAATGATGGTGAATGAGAGATTGCTCAATTTTGTGCGACCCCCGAAAAATCTCTACGGCGTCCAAGGAATCGCTTTCCATTACATTTCGGCCGTTCCAGCAAAAAGGACCGCTCCTCAAGTAGCGGGTGCCGGGCATACACTACTCTACGAAAACCACAAAAGTGCGTCCTTCAAAAATATGAGAATTGGAGACACTTATTCACTAAGTTGATATGCCATGGCTTTATGATAGTAATGCCATAATCAGAGTATATTGACAATCACCAAGAACTCAGAGCTCTCTGCAGCCTCTCCGCTGCCAATCTTGGTCACATAATATCAGCCCTTAAATAGAATACGTAGACACATGGAACTCTGCACAAGTCCAGTAATGGATGTATGGAGGAATACCCCTGAATAGCAATCATGTAGACATGCCTTCTCTCAATGTGCAGCAAAGACAAAACCTGTCAAGCCGTGTACCTCAGTACTTCACAATAAGCCGCCAGAACTTGGGCATAGTCAAGCGGAGGTGGCATGGAAGCCGCACGCAATTCGACGGGCCTTTTCAAAATAGACCGATGGCCCGCCCACCGTCCTCCACCATGGCAGTTTCACACGCGCAGCATAATGCTGAGGACCTTCATTCTGACTCACTTCTCTGAGGTCACCGTAACACTATTGTGAACCATGGGCGAGCCAGCTCTTTGCCCTTCGATTGCAACTGCGCCAATTTTCTGATTCGACCCGCACTTTCTGTGAGTCAGGAATACTACACACCCAGGTGGAATGAACGGTCGTGGTGCTGTCTGGCGCAACATGATTGGCGATCCAGTCGCCAGCAGCGTCCAACTCATGGGTCAAGGCCGGTGAAGACATTGCATCGACGTCCCCGGTGAGAGATTTGCACTGCTGGTATCTGCGAGAAAGCGTAGCTGAAGTCTATAAAAGCAGGCTCCTCCCCCCGATCTATTTCTCTTTCTTCACACATCGCGGCCGCGGTGTGTCGCCTCGGACCTTCGGGCCTGAGGCTTCCGTGACGACGGCTGTTGCTGATCCAAGCCCAGTGACATAAGAACAGTGCTTCGCAGGGGGGCGCTGCGTTACCAAGTGAACTCCGCAGGGGGACGCTGTGATGACAATTGAGACCCGCAGGAGACCGCTGCGTCAACAAGTTCTCTGCAGGAGACCGCTGCATTACCAAGTTCTCCGCAGGAGACCGCTGCGTCAAATAAGTTCTCCGCAAGGAAAAATGCGTTACCAAGAGGATCCGCAGGAGACAGCTGCGAAACCAAGCGACTCCGCAGGAGACAGCTGCGAAATCAAGCGACTCCGCAGGAGACAGCTGCGAAATCAAGCGCCTCCGCAGGAGACAGCTGCGAAATCAAGCGCCTCCGCAGGAGACAGCTGCGAAACCAAGCGACTCCGCAGGAGACAGCTGCGAAATCAAGCGACTCCGCAGGAGACAGCTGCGAAACCAAGCGACTCCGCAGGAGACAGCTGCGAAATCAAGCGACTCCGCAGGAGACAGCTGCGAAATCAAGCGACTCCGCAGGAGACAGCTGCGAAATCAAGCGCCTCCGCAGGAGACAGCTGCGAAATCAAGCGCCTCCGCAGGAGACAGCTGCGAAACCAAGCGACTCCGCAGGAGACAGCTGCGAAATCAAGCGACTCCGCAGGAGACAGCTGCGAAACCAAGCGACTCCGCAGGAGACAGCTGCGAAATCAAGCGACTCCGCAGGAGACAGCTGCGAAATCAAGCGACTCCGCAGGAGACAGCTGCGAAATCAAGCGCCTCCGCAGGAGACAGCTGCGAAATCAAGCGCCTCCGCAGGAGACAGCTGCGAAATCAAGCGCCTCCGCAGGAGACAGCTGCGAAATCAAGCGCCTCCGCAGGAGACAGCTGCGAAATCAAGCGACTCCGCAGGGACATCTGCGAAATCAAGGCCCCCTGGCAATGTGCAAGCACCTCTGCGTGGTGCTAGGGACCAGTATTCATCTCACCTGGGGACTGCAACTCCCATGGGGACTGAAGAAGCCAAGACTTGCACAGTAGATAGACTAAATCATGAGCCATGGCAGCCCACTGGGAAATGCAATCATCACATTATCAGTTCAGTCGATTCAAAGCTCTCTCGTAGGCCATACCTAGAGTCGTATTTAGTAAAACCGCTTTACGCAATAGGTACCTCGACATGCCCACTGATGAGCCAATTCAAAGCGACCATCTCGAACTGCACGAGACATATGTTAAAAGTAGGCAGTTTGTCTGAATGATCCCTCATTCGCGAACCCAATGCCAGGACCCCGTCCAGGCAGGATTTTCGTGACGCTGACCAATAAGGTGACCTGAGCCGTCAAAGATCGTTCGGCCTGGAAAGTGGGATATGGTGCTGAGAGCGACTTTGAGGTGATGCGATCCTTGATGGGAGTGATTCTTGATGGGAGTGATTCTTGATGGGAGTGATTCTTGATGGGTGCGTGCTCACGTTGACTCGTCGGGCTACAAACATCAGGTGAAGCGGTGAAGGGCAGGCAGTATTTGGCTTCACACTGGCTGGTCTGCCCTCGACCCAACTTCACGCGTCCATTCACCATTGTCTGGGCTGCCCCAAGTATACTGTACGTCCTTGCCTAGAATTTTCGTAGATCTAAGTTTCCTTTTTCCTGACTCCTTCATATCAAGTAAAATCTACACCTCCTAATCTCTTGAGACCAACGATCCCTACCTCATAATGGCACAATTGTGTTTTCTTCCGCGAGGTTGGGAAGCGGAGCATGTATGTTTGGGTACGTCGAATTGATACCATTTGTTGAACCTATGTTGCCCTTTTCACGGTCTCCCTCCAACGCAAATCGGATCAAGTGCACCTATCAAAAACTATTCTTTAATGCCCCCGGCGGATATGGTGGTTGAAACCGAGGCCTTTTTATAGTTTTATTACCGATGAGATTGACTAAATAGTAAAAAAACAACGAAAAACCTCTAAACCCACATTGAACTTGTAGGCAGAGCCCATCATGATACTGCCATCATTTTTTGCATAGGGGAAACAAAGTCTGAAATCTTCATTGTTCACGAAGACTACTGGAAAGAGGTGAAGCAGGATCAGGCTCATTTCTAACATGCTTGTGTTAGATACGTAAGTGCATCAAAAAAATTGTTGCTACACGTCACTGCAGAATTCTCGTCGCAAGAAATTCTTTTTTCACTGTTAGTCTTACCATTGATATACGCTGATGGTCACAGCGTTAGTTAGTTGTAAGGGTCAATGTGGCAAGTTCGCTACTGTACAACGCCCAGAAGAAATTCTCAAAAACGCAACACGATTCTCATTTTGAGAGTTTTTTCGCCACCTCAGTTGAAATATCAAAGCAAGGTAAAGTCGCGTGTACATGTACTTGAGACTGCCCAAAATGCAACAAAAAAGAGAACGAAAATTTCGGTTGAGCCTTACATAGTTTAGCTACATTTCTGATGTTCTTTTTTTCTCTCTTAGTTCTTTCTTTCGAAATGAGCTGACTTTTTCTTGAAGCTGAGGTGGAACACTCAAGTATGTGGTGGAATTGTACTCAATAATTGCAAGCGCACCAGATGACGTGGCTAGCTGCATCTAGCATTTGCAGACCGTATGGTTTTGCATGAATCATAATAGCATGATAGGTAGCCTTACCCTGAGATTGGCGCAGCCTGATGCATACAAATACTGTGCCGGTTCCTTTGGCCAACGGGTGAGAGCACACGGCCTTTTGATCGTCATCTCCGCTGCAGTATCCCCAAAGGCCAACGCGATAATAGTCTGGCAGATGTAACTTGATCTCGCTAGCAATGTTCTCTGCCGCACCCGCGACTTCCTGGGGCGTGTTTTCCACCGTGCTTGCTATGCCCGAGGTGGCTGATCCAATCTCTGTTGGTATTTCCTTGGGACTAACGCCGATTGGGAGGGCGCGAGGAAGAAGCTGCGAGAATCCCTGACCAATGGAGCTCCCCCGTATTTCTGGAAAGCCCTTCAGGTTGACCTACGCGATATTAGCTGAGTATGCGAATTATTCCTAGGCACGCTTACTTCCATCAGGTAGAGGTGTTCGGATGTAGATGACGAAGTGCACCCGGCAAAGAAAATGCTCCAGCAGATCACAGCCACAACGGAAGCCAATATGGTAAACCAAGCAGCAGATCTGTCGGTACTGATTCTCCTTGGGACCTTCATTTCATAGGTCTTTGATTCTTTGCACAAATTGAGAGGGGATGGGCGACACAACCCGAGCCTATCATTCTACTTCGACCTATCCGCGATTCTACGATCAGCCTCCCCACTCGTCGACCATATACTACGCGATAAAGGGGATCACGGTATTAGTGGCTATGCAAGGCTTTCTCATGGCATCACCTGCATGTGCATCCTGGGGCTCATAGTGACCGTTTTAGCAATAGTGCTTGGCGTATGGAGGGAGTTTTACGGTGGACACAAGAAGCTACTCACAGCGTTCCATATGGTGAGTTATGAAACTCTAATTCATTTGAAACCTACTGACTTCTCAGTGCTCGTTGGCTCTAGTCACGGCGGCTACCATCGGCGTGACCACAATGTATGGCATTCTCAGTCATACTATCAACAATTTTCTCGGTGACCTCGGTGGCCAAGCGCGGGTGGGGGGATCCATGCTCGCCCTTCTTTGGATGGCGACGTTTTTCTCTCTGGGAGCCTTTTCGGTTTGTTTCGTCCGGTTCTTTCGGCGCGACTTTTAAATAATGCAAGATGCGGACTAAGGGGGAAGGGAAGTGATTCTGCGCTCCTAGCGAGACCTTGATGGATTTGAAAGCCCTCTTTCACTGTATAGCGTCTTGCTACAGTTCATCGACGCCCATTCCGCCGAAGTAACAGGGGAGTGTATGGGAATGAGACCTAAAAGCTTTTTGGATTTCATACGTTTATTATTTCATTTGGAGGATATACTGCTTGGTCAGATTTATCACTGTAGTAGCGTGTTAGGGTTGGTAAGCTGCTGAAATTTGATCGTTGTTGGCCAAGAGTCAGGATTATACCAGCATCTTAAAACATACGCGACTGTCCAGTGGTCACTTCTAATTCAAATTATTTCCTTGTGCTGTTCTCTTTGAATGTGATGTAAATTGCTAATTTAGACGAAGGGAACACCAGTCTGTTGGGCTATGACTGCATTCTCGGTATCGCAAGACTGTCGTTCCTCGTAGCAGCCCGACCATGACAGCGTAGCCATTGATGGCGGAGAGAAATCACTCAACACAATTGCCGCAGCAAAATCGATAGACGGAGCAGCTGATCTTGTCTTTCGAGCAAACTGCCGCGCGTCGATAGCAATTGCAGGTTTTGACGATTTGACACGGTTTCCAACTATATTCAAAGACCTCCAAAGGCCGCTTCATTCTTGCTGGCTAGCTCATGAAACAGAGGTGGTGTCCTGCTTCCTTGAAGCCGGAACGATCTCTTTCAGGGTCTGCCGGAACTCAAGAACGAACTTATCTTCTATGGCTTGGAATACACCTCCAAGAGCTCTGCGCAGGGAAGCTTGCTGTAATATTTCAGCTTGAAGGGTTTTGCGATTGGGGGCTCGCCGGCTTCCTTTCGTCTGCAACACCGGGGTTGGCGAGTGGTCTATTTGCGCTCGGTGCGTCTGCGGCAGGATATAGTCTAGGAGAATCCAGAATTCATAGAGTTTTTTGGCCTCGCAACTCCCACTCAATAACCACACCAGTCCAATCGCGTTATTTACCATTTTTAAAAGAGAGTTGTGGTTCTGAGAGATACGGTGCACCGCAGCATGGCGAATGGCACAAATTGGCTCGTGCCAGTTCGGCGGAGGCTTTTGTTTCTGTGGAAATGCAGACAGCGGAAGCTTTCGAAAATGTCTCTTCAAAAATGGAAATAGCTTGTGCAATTCCAGCTCCTCTGCACAGGACCATCCATTCGCCTCAGCCTCCTTTGGTAGCCACTGCTGTACGAAGCGAAAAGCTTCGGCTTCCAAATACCGCTGGAGGGCGAGGAGAACAAGATGTTGAACACGAAACGGGACGTATGCGATGGGTAAGTCGACCAGAGCGTATATATCATGCATGACCTCTGGGCAAGAAGTGCTGTTAGCATGAGAAGTAGAATAATATGTAGGAGTAGAATGATGTCGCACCAAAGGTCTTCTTTGTGCGTAGGCAATCGAGGGACTTTTGCATCTGGCAGGAGCTTGAAGCTCGAGTGGTCAGTCTCGACCTTCTATCGGATAGAATCACTTACCTGCTCTCGGTTTGGCATGGAATGAAACCGATGAGAGGCGATTTCTCTTCTGCCTGGTCATTTTTTGGAGTTGCATGGTTGTCATGCCGCTGGTATCGTCTGATCCGCTTCCGGCTTTTGCCCATATTGGACAACGCGATGGCTTGTCATACAAAGTAAGCAATTTGGGATATTGATCAAGCGTTGGTTGCTGCGCTCAGTCTGAGTGAAAAGCGCACATTTTCAGCGGAGACAATGCCACACTTGACAAGAGCTAGGATATTCTTTGACTAGACTTTATGTGCTGAAAGCGAGTTTGAAAATTCGCACGACTGCAGCTGGCGGCGTGACCTCGCGTTACACCTGAATGCAAGCTTTGGGACACTAATTTCCAATTTGGTCTGTCCAGACTTTGTGGTACACAAAAGGTGAAAGAACAGTTGAGCATGTTGACCGAACGGTCGACAAACAAGGTCGACGGCCATCTTGACTGGTAAGGTGACTGTTGAATCAACACGTTGATAATGGATGGTTTTCATCAAAACGCATGAGGATATCTTCCGTTACAGTACTGCAACAGCAATCTGGAGTCTCTTTATGATGCCGAGTTTGAGTACATACTTGTTTGAAGTCTCATTGAATGACTACAAAATCGCTGATTCAAGTTGACCTCCAACTTGTAAATCTTCTTGCGGTGAGATATCTTGAGGTCGGTATTTTATTTCATAATTGAGAATATGTCTCATTGCAAAGTCCCTGACTGGGGTTTATTGAAGACGCAACACAATCTCGAGCTCCAAAAGAAAACGCAGCACTCTAATTCGCAAGGGGAAAGCGAGATGTCTCTTTAACGATAGTTTGTGATCGAGTTGTGCACAAAAAAGGCAGGATCTAAAAGCATCCGACCACTCGCGTGATCAGTACACGGGCTGCATACCTGGTTGTGAAACGGGAGAGCCCTCGCGAGCGGTCGCACCAGCATTCGGATTGATGGCAAGCGGATTCCCACTGCAGTCAGGCGAAGTATGTCGAATATCTGTGCCTGCAAGCGGTGAAGATTCTCCAGGAAAGTCTCGACTCGCGGTAAGAGAAAGATATCCTGCGCAATCATCTCTCCGGTGCACGGATCCAGTCGTAGAAGACGAAACTCGAGGACATGTGCCATCTGAAGGTCGCTCATGGGTAGCATCAAATGAAACATCTCATCAATGGATGCTGCAATCGAGAGGGGATTGGGGCCCGGCCACCCAAAAAGAAAGAAGCCGAGGAGTCAGAATAAAGCAAACAATCGGTCGTGGAGGAGTGGCAATTTGTCGCCTCTGAGGGTTCCTCGGTAAGCAGCTCGCCATCAGACTCAACGTCAGGTGGGCCAGCTGACACGGTGCATATTCCCCTCGAGATCTCGTCGAGGTCCAAGTCCAGATCAATTTCATCACGGCAAGGCTGACTGACGTTGAATGTCAGGCGACGCAAGTTGATCATGTCTGAACAACTCATTCTTGTAAAATCCTTACAGGAAAAGGGATAGCGACCGAAATATATGAATGAATTTCTCAAGGATAGGAATGAGTTGGTAAATTTGGATATCTTTCTGTCAGGACACCCTCTCCTTTAAATAATTCGCTTGGCAGGCGGACGAACCCCATGGCTTGGTATGGCATGGCCCTTTCTTGGCTCATCAAAATTTACAGATCTTGCCAGGTGCCCTCGGGCTCTTATTCAAAGACATCTACAGATTGAAAAGTACGGCAGGTATCCTAGCAGAGATTCTGTTTTCTTATTTGGGAAGGGCTACTTGGATAACCCGCGCGAATATATCACATACAAAAAGGTACGGACAAGCAATAAGGCTTTCTCAGCAAGGTAATCCTGCCTTGAACAGACCAGTCTTCCAAACCATTTATTCCGCCTCCATTATCACATCGTCCAGATCTCCGCACTCACATTGACGCCATATATCCATGATGCCCATGATTTGCTGTCGCGAGGACTCGAACGCACGATCGAAAGCCTCCAACTTGATCTTCAGCTCTTCCGCACGTATGCTGAGATCGTGCTTCTCTGTCTGAGTATGATCTATAGCCTCACGCAAACTATGGTTCTCCCGCACAAGCTGGACCTCCCGCATTTGCTTAGAAACACAGGATTCCCACAAGCGTCGGTATAGACCGACGAGTCGAGCCGCTTGAAAGGCTAGTTTGGGGTCACTGATCTCGAGATCAGCCAAAGTTTCTTGTATGTCTTCGAATGGCTGTTTAAGGATCGTGCGGGAGCTACCCGGAATGCTGTTGTCTGGCACCGTCTGAGACACATTAGAATCTAACGAAGAAACGATGGGGCTCAAATAGTTTTTGATGTAGAACGTACCTGCTGGTCGGGAATTTCTTTTGCAGGTTGTTCCTGCATCATAGTAGAAGACGGGCTCTCGTTGGGGTCGGTGGCATGACGAGGAGAGGCGATATTGGGAAGAGGGTCCATGGTGCGAGTTAACTTAACGAAATACTGAGTTGCAAAGGTAGATGAAATGAGAATTAAGGCGATAGATGTTCATCTTATATTTGCTTGTGCAGTGTGTTCGAACTCATACCATGGTTCAAACACAGGCTACTGCACACGAAAAATTTGAATTTAGTTGACGCAACTGTTGGTCAACTCTTCTCCCATTTGTTTACTCACCGACAACTCACCAGACCTTTCTTTTCGACAGTCATCTGAGTCAATTAGTTTAGACCGGACGTGCTGATGCAACAGACAATATGCGACACTGTCTTGGAAACTAATTTTATTGTACTCAAGTGCACATAACGAATCGTCGTGGACAATGTGAGGGGTGTTCACAGAAAAAACCTTCGACCTACGATTGAGCTACTGACTATGCGATCATTTGAATATCACAGTAAGAAACACTTTTGATTTTCTCGGTCGTTCGACCCTACGTTGGCGTGCACTCGAACATAAATGCCCCCTTTCCGCCATGATTGTTTCTCCCCACGCTCGTGAAAATGGTCAATATAAAGCTCTGGCTGATGGGAGTATCGCTGCTTCTTTCCATCGCGGTATGTTAGCCACATTCCTTCATTGTCCGAGTATTGATCCGTGACAGGCCTCTAGCCCAATCTTCTCGCCCACGGTCTCTTATTACGCAGTCAGTTTTGGGTATCTCTTCATCCACCTCATGAAACTAACTCTCTTCCTAGAATGGGATTGTGAGAGCCACGCCACTTCCAGAAAGGATCCACAAAGGGCAAAGTGAGACACCCGCACATGCACACAGTACTATGCATCGGAAAGCACGTGGACACCGGCATTGGCATTTGCGATAGGCGGTCACTTTGATATTTACTAAAAAAATGGGCTCGTCGCTAGAATGGACCTCAATTGAGCTTGTGAGTGCTTTCGACTGGCTTATTCAATGTTGTTAAGTAGACTGTCAGCAAAGTTGACGGAGGTTTGATGATTGAGGCCTCATGACAGGGTTATTGGATTAGAAAACTATGCTGTGTGAACTAGTCACACATATACTCGTCGAGGAATAGAGACTTTCCACCAAAGTAGACGATTGCTATCGTCATGATCTATCGAGAGCAGAGTAGTTGCCTAACAAGACTAGCGAGCTCTTTCCCATCATTAGCATTGCTGGCGATAAAATCGTTCTGCCTTTTGTTAGAAGACTGTCACACAGAGGAAGCTTTAATGGGAGTGCAACTACCTTCTGAAGTGCCGGAATTGACTTTGCTGACTTGGCAACAGCCAGGAATCGGCTTGCAGCACACCTGATCGGCCAATGTGCGATGCGAGTTTCTTCGCTCTCCTGATCTTTGTGCATGAGCTGCAAGGCTAGTGATGGAATCATTGACAGGTACGCCTGCTCAGCCTGATCTGGCGTGCAGTCTACACAGAGCTCTAAGCGTGCTGGAGAATGTCAGTCTGAATCACTACCAAGGGTGGTTGACGCACCGATCTTGACAGCCCCGTCCAGTCCAAGTAGAAAGTCCCCGCAACCAAGCGATTGATGAGTCCAAATGAGCGCAAATATTGCATCCCACTGATGACCTACAGGACATGGGTCAGGATACGCCGCGTAAAAAATGTTGCCTGACATACCTGAGACAATATAGCGCTCAGCTCCTTTTCATTCAGATGAACCCGGGGACTTTCTGAAATAATTCCTAGAGTGAAGGGCAGGTCATCAAGCAGGAAGAACCTAGAATCCCCGTAGAGATAGCATTCATGGAGTCTCAGTACATTGGTATGCTCTAGGTGACCGAATCGGTCGATCAAACGGCGAGCGTCCTGCCTCTGATACTTTCGAATGGCCACAATGCGGGATCGGTGTGTGCGTCGGCTAGCAAAGATGACTTCGCCGGCAAGATCCGCGTGAAAGATTTCTTGATAGGTGTCCCATGGACGTTCGTGCCGTACAAGAAATGCGGAGTTCAGATCAGCGATGGCTAGGAGACGGGGAAGGCAAAGAGTCTTCGGCGCGCCTGTAACGACTTTTGATGTATAGTGACGACCATTACTGCCTTCCATGTCGGATACCAGGAATACTCTCTTGAACCCTAATCACATGACACGCTAACCCAAATATGATCATCCCTGTATTTAAAACCGTGAATGGGAATTGTATGATGGAGGCTAAGAAGTACCAAACAGTTACATTACGGCGTATGCTATTTGATCACACTTCCATGACTTCGGTAAATTGGTTCATAGAAAGAGATAACCCAACCACTGTCCACTAGTAAAGGGATCAAGTCTCGACACTCCTACTATGATTCATAGCAGGAACGGAATATTGTAAGGCAGAGTCCCAAAACAAGGTATTCGGGATTCGCTGTATTTGCGTTGGCTAGCCACTACACTCATTAGCTTGCCTGGTATTAAACAACGGAGGAAGAAGCGAGGCCTCAAGGACATTTTGGGATATTCATAATTACCTTCCGTATAAACCGCACAAAGGGGTTTCCTAGGCTATTTGCCGAGTCACTCCATACTTTGACAGTAAATTCTTCATTTGCTGGTCGTCTCCGACAGCTGACCAAATGGATGTGGGGCCAGTCAAAGGGATGTTAATTCTCGGTTGATGGGAAAGAAGTAGTACTACAACTTCTTTATGTCTGTTCATGACAGCTTCATAGATTGGCGAAAGTTGATTTGGTTTCCAGACGTCGGGGTTGGCCTTATATTCGAGAAGAATCCTAACAGCTTCCGTATGTCCTCCTACTGCCGCCCGGAATAGGGCAGTCCGCCCAAAACGATCTTGCCGATCAATAACCACTCCAGCAGCACATAATTCCCGCACGCAGTCGGCATATCCGTAGTTTGCAACATGCCAAAGTGGAGTTTTCCCAGTGGAGTCTGGCACATCATGTTGTTTATTGAGTATCAGGCCACCGATAGCATCGTTCCAAGATTTTAAATCGTTGTGGGTCCATGTTGATGACATGTTTGTCTAAGAAACAAAGATTTAAAGAAATTTTTTTTTTTCTTCGCTTGGATATAGGTTGGTAGAGCTTAGGAGTTGAAGAGATTGAGCCAGAAAAGAGGGGTAACTGGTTTATCTAAGGGGAAGATCTGTGACCCCAGAAAAACCTGGCTCAGTCAGCGATTAGTAGATTACGGTCCTTTTAAATTTTCAATACCTTGAATTATTAAAACGGGTAACTTACGTAATATTAAAAGTCAGGCTAGTGTAACTATCATGTGATTAGGGTTTGTAAGGGCATCTCTTTGTTTCCGACATGGAAGGCGATAGCGGTCGCCACTGTACGAGTAAAAAGGCTTGGCGAGTGAGAAGATTTTTGTGCGCGGCCGGGACGCACTATCTTTGAAAAGACTGGCGCAATTCCAAGTTCTTTCCCTTGAATGGCACGAAAATTGAAAACGAGATGCTTATCAAAAGTATCCATGTTTGAACACCGACCAACCGAACGCTTCGCAGTCAATAGTCGCCGGGGGAAAAGGGTATATAAGCGTGGCCAACATTGTCACAAAGAAGAGAGCCAGCAATTCTGACATAGTTCACAGATTCATGTCCCTAGCACGCTGTTGCTTTCATATTTTGTATACGCTATAAAAACGAGGCGAAAAGAATATGGTGCCTAGACGTGAGGATGCTCCGAGCGTCAAGGAACATCTTTGAGGTAGTAATAGAGTATGATTATGAGCCTTTGACAAAGCTTTCACTTTGATATTTCTTTACATGGCCAGAAATCGGCTGAAAAGAGGGGCAAGTTTCAAGCTTGTGGCGAGAGACCTTTGACGCCGCGTAGCTGAATCTCCCCTGCAGCTCTTGTTCGATGCGGTATCTGAGTCTTGATTCCTCCATTGTTAGAATGACTTGCTTGGAAAGATGAGTATAACTATTTGAAGGAAAGTAAGATAGCATACACAGGAAGGGTCTCATTTTGAAGAGAAGAAAGAACAGCTCCTCGGCGCACATCATCACCCTTCGAGTTTCGAGAAAAACGTGGCTAAGACAAGCTTATGCCTTCCAAGAACCCTATCGTCATACCTGCCCAATAAGCTTCTTTTCACTGACGTGGCTGCGCACTCTGCCGGGTAGAGCGACGACCACCCGTCGCTTCCCTTCCCGCCCTTCCCGTGTCCCTGACGTTTTGAAATACCGTTTCCACAGCTGCCAATCGCTTGCTGAAATCCTCCAACAAATGGTTTGTCGATTCATTCCATATACTTTGCTCATGCAGAGCACGTTCGAGGCCACTAAGAAGTTGTCAGCAGTGTTTGGGACAGTCCAGCTTCCTCACTTACTTCATCCGATTATCTAGACTTCAGTCAGGTTAGCTGTTGGTCTCAAGAAAGGAAGACGGGGACATACTCAGCTAGACACTGGATGGCAATTACACTGTCTGTTGCATCAATCGCCTCGGCATTCTGAGGTAAAGGGAAGGCTCTTGCCAACCCTTTGGTGGGGGCGGAATGTTCATTGCCCGGCGATTGCTCTCCCTCATCACTTCCGAGGTGGGACTCGCGCTCGTCTTCCTCAACTTGGAAGGAAGGATCATCTACTGTGGTGTCATCACTCAAGGCACTTCCAGAGCCATCGGAATCACAAGATGAGAGCGAGAGAGCACGCTGCAATCTCTGGCGGAGACGCTGTCGCCGGTCGGCAGTCGAGTCGTTAGAATACGCATTCATTTTTGTAGGCAGTCAAGAAACGAACCCTCCTTACTAGTTAGAAAATGCAGCCGGTAAATGATTGCTCTTTATACCAAAGAAGTGGCAACCGCATTTTGTTAAGTGAGTCACGCATGCACATAATGCCTTTGAGGGATTCTATGGGACCGTGTTCGCTCCTGCAATGGGCCGTCAGGAGATGAACTAAACTCAAACATCCAGAAAGTGTGGTCCCTGGATAATTTCTTTTGATTTGATGCTGGTGAGTCAACGAGATTGCTGAGTGCCCATGTGTGGACTCAACAGCGGCCAACTGTGGAGCCATTGCAAATCACATTGGGAACCGACATGGATGATAGACACGTCCTAATTCAGTCAACATCACTTTTAACCCGACTCATCGTCTAATTTGTTTTTGGAGGGTAAATGAGTGACTCGCTTGAGGCATGGTTCGACAAAGCTACCAATGTTGCGCCATCCCGAGTAATCCACGGGCTGTCTATGTATTGGTCTACAGTGAATCCACAATATTTATTATAAGCCTACAGGAAAATAGAAAATAGGCCGCAAAAATATTATTATTGATTTGAGCTGCGTGGTGAAGGCTAGCGAGAACAACCGCACAAGTACCAAAGTCTCAGCAAGAAAGGTGATGCCCTTTTTTAGATAGCGTGGGATAAAATAGTCGTCAACTTAACGTCAACTTTTTGGTATACCCAAGGGGCCCATTCAGGCACAGGCTTCTGAGTCGGTCTCGGAGCCCCACTTTCCTAATTTCTCAGAGCAATAAAGAATGTGAGGTTGAGCTGATTTCTGAGCCAAAGTGCAGACCAATCGAAGTCTACCCATATCGCCCCTTTGGCAGCAGTCTAGTGTCCGGTGAGTTTCAAAACTTATTTTCAGTATTTGAATCATGGATTTCTTGGCTTGGCAGGCTCCAGGGCGTGTGTTAAATATCAATCTCTCTTTACCGCTGTGGTGTTTGACGACCCATCTTCCTACCCCAAATTCCCTTCTCTCACCAGGCATTTATAATTCTCATTGTTCCTTTCACCATGACGCGAGGAAATAGCTGCAAGCAGGATCGAAATGGCCATCACTCGCAGCGAGTAAGGCCGGTGATTACTAAAGCTCGATCAGTTTCAAATGTCTCAATCCGGTCGGCGTCTCCAGTTTCGACCGTCCGGGGCGCGAAGTCTGGCATTTTGAAACGCCATCACAGTGTGAGTCGTTTTTCGGACCTGCAAGACCTGATTCATTCAATCTTGTGGCGCTCTATCACACTCTAGCCTTTTATTGACAGCACATAGGGTTTTTCCGCGAAAGACTCCCGCAAATATGGCAAAATCGACCGTCAGAAATGCTCTGATCTCCTTTCTGAGGTCCAGACTGAGATGGAGAGAGAAGCGGATGAGCAGCTAGCTAGGGCCACGGCACGTTTTCAGGCAGAAAAGGCACAGGATGTGAAAACAATGGAACAGATTATCGCCGAAAAAGACAGTGTCTCAGCTAAGAATTTACAGGCCGAGGGTGAGGTTTCTCGCCTGAAGCAAGAGCTGGAGGCACAGGCCCTGGCCACGCAAGGCCAAGTGAGCTGGAGCGAGATACAGTCAGCCTTGTACCAAGCTCATAGTCAGTTGGTATCGGCAGCTACTGGGCTTTGGAGCTCGATCGAAGCCATCCAGAATCGCCAGCTAGCAACATTCCTGCCTGGGTCAAGTGCCATGGATTGCAATTGGCTCAATCCGGGTGGAACATCCAACCTTACTGGGTCCGATACTTTCGCGTCACTCTACAACTCACAGGCTGCTCAACAAGACGAGCAGGCAATCAACTGAGACAGCCACACTCATTGATGGTGATTCCTTTGCAAGCGAGTATGCTTCTGATGCGGTCTACACTGGATTGAATTGAGATAATAATGATGAAACAGGTACTTTGAGCCTCGCCGAGCACATTACCACCATGAATTCATCCAACTCTTGACAAGGAAGATTTTATGGAGTACATATCATGGAAAGAGAATGTCATTCCTGCCTATTCGAATGTTGTTACAAATGACTTGTTCTGTCCGTATGTGCCATTCATCTTGCATGTAGTACAGTCACAAAATCAAAACCCCCAATCGCTGGGCTCCGCCAAAGTGGTAAACACACTCCCAGGTCCGGTCATTTCCTCCTATGATCAAGCCGTGTGTAGTCTGCTGGCATCAGTGTCGGATCTGTGATATGGATCAGCTTGGTAAAAATTCAAAGCAATCTCAACAGGCATCTTACTAGTGAATGATCTTTTCGACTTTGTAGTCACTGCGGTCTGATTGATGTGTGGCGGATTCCTGAGCCATTGGTTGGTTGAACGCCTCAGTCGCTTTCTCTTCTTCGAAACTTTGCAGTTTGCACACTTTGACGCCTCGGATTCATTGACAATTAGCGTTTTGCCAGCGTCGCGGCGTTTTCGAAGGATGTGGTGCTTTTTCCCTCGTAGAGACTCGACGCTTCGTCTTACATGATACTGCTGCCAATAGGCAATCGACAAAGCTTTCCAGGTCAAGTCTCGGTTAGATTCGAGCCAGGGAAGGAGGTTTTCCTCCTCCCAGGCTGACCAGCCGACTGCATTATGGGGCGTCATCATGCAACTAAGGAGTAGCGTTTATGACCGTTTGGCGGTAAGCAAGTGATTGAAATGGGGATGAAAATGTTCTTACCCAGGGGTGTTCTCATGGGTGAGCAGTTGCGGCTTTATGGAGAATCGCAATTGACAAGCAATTCATTCTTTGGTCGCACAAAAAGTACTCCTGGTGGGCGCGATGTTGCATCAAGGTCCATGGTTGACCTTTTGCAGCCTCTTGGCAGAGCTGAACAGAATCGGACGCGACCTGTTGAACAAACGAAGTGGCAATCACTCAATAGCGCCCTAAAGCGGGATCAACATTTGATCTACGCATTAGAGTTGTTACACTGAATTCTACGGAAAGAAAGGGTTGTCGATCTGTTGTTAAAAAAAACTATTGTCTATCGAGGCTGGCTTGAATTTGAAACAACAAGCATCAAAATATCCCGCGAATTAGACGGGGACCTCGCCTAAGTGGCTTTCACTAGTACGGGATCAGAGATCTGGATAGCTTAACCATTCTCCAACTTCCAGTCTAGAAGCCTTGACCGGTACATTGTGTGAAGAAAATTAACTCATTGAATGGGAAGATCCTTTGATCGGAAATACCCCCCGTAGTAGACACCTGGGAGGCAGGAATTTTGAAGACAGTTCGTGGAAAGCTATGTGGTACAAACAAACAAACAAACAATTCATTAACGCCCGGCGGCTGAGCCGAAAGGGCAACTATCACTAATCTACTGTACATGTCCATCTATCTGTGCTGCGTCTCCTGAGAGCCCATACATGAAACTTCATAAAGTATGACATTTCCAGAAAGCAGTGTCGCAGCGAGTTTCTCGTGGGTTAGTAAGTGGGTTAGTAGGCTGGCTTGAAGGCGCTTCTCCAAGTGTTCAACATCCTATCTTCGGCAGTTGAAGCGCGTCTACCATCTGTGGCACGAGGTGGTGGGTGAGTAGGGTCGGAAGAAGGGGGTGGGGGTTATGTTGGTCGATATGTTCAAGTGGCCTCGAGTCGGCCCGTCGCAATGGCGAAACGTATGGAGGCCCGTACTGCCTCTAGGTTTGGCGTCCACTTCTGATCATCAGAAGCCTGTTTTCCGCCCAGGAAGAAGGATATGTTTCCTCGGTGAGTCTGCGTGCATTGTAACATTTCCGTCCGGTGCGCCGTCCACTTCCGACATCGGAAGAGGAAGTGCTCCACGGTCTCTCTTGCTTGTCCGCAATCGCATCGGTCCGTCTCTGCTACATTAATTTGATTGAGATATCCATTAAGTCTAGCCATGCCGGTTCGGAGTTGGGCCAGTACCGTCGCTTCTTTCCACGACAAACGGTCATACAACTGCCGAGTGTGTTTGCCTGGGAGTGCGGCATCCACTCGTTTTGCGTGTCTCCCTACGTTCTCTGGCAGCTTGTTTCTGGGCACTGCTTGGGACCGTGCAATATTCAATGTTGTCGACTTCATCCTCGGGGCGCGTTCTTGTGGGAGAGAATCTTCTTGTGTCGCAGCTCTGGCCTGTTCTTTAGCCAGACCTAACAGCTTATTGTCTTCGCTAGTAGGGATCCAGTGGGAACTGATCCGATTTCCATTTCTCCGCAACCTTCTCATCAACTTGTACATCTGACAAACCAGCTCCTGGCCAGACTGTCGTCGCGGGTTCCTTAGCGTGAGCGCCGCCGCCTTGTTGCTTGTGAGCAACGTAATTGTGTAGTCTTTGATTTCCGCTACCATTTTCAACACATGTGCCATGGCTGCCAGCTCCGCAGAGAACGGGTTTTGCTCTGCTCTCGCGCCCAATGTGATGGATAAGGTTTTGAACTTCAATTTTCGATTTCGAGGAGGCTGTTTCTCGATTGCGACTCCAAACCCCACCAGCTCGTTCCGTGCCGAGCTGCTGACCGCGATCTGCATCAATCCGCCCGCTTCAGGCCGGGGCTCATATTGTCCGTCAATATTGGCCTGTAAGCGTTCGTCCCATGGGGCCAACGTGAACGGGTTAATTGTTTCCAGTGCCTCCATGTCGATATGCCTAAGCGCATCTGCTACTTGGTACAGCGGCGAGCGATGATATCGTCTGAACTTTCTGATCCGGTCTGTACCTCTGCGGAGCGGGTTTGTTTCAGGAAGGGTATGCATGTCTGTCCACATCTTCACGGCCCGTCTCCAGAATCGGCTCCGCGCGGTGGCAATATGGGCCTCCGCCTCCGCTACGCTGGTCGCGACGGTGAGGAATGTCCCCACAATGGCTTGTGCTCCAACTCTTTGGACTCGATTGATCGGCCCCATGGCCTTGTCCTTACACGCGTGCATCCAAACATTGGAGGCGTAGTCCACAACTGGCGCCACCGTTGATGTAAATAACTGCCGCGCAGTTGCTGGGGAAAGGCCGCGAAGTCGCCGAAGCTCCATCGCTGCCTCCAGGCCCTTGGACGCGGCTCTCGCTATATGTTCCTTGTATTTCAGTCTCGAGTCCATCAGCAGACCCAGGATCTTGACGTGATCCTTGGGTGTAACCGTCTGTCCCTTGATGGTAAACGGTTCATAATCCAACTTACGCGTCTTGGGCGCAAAGTGTATGATAGCTGTCTTTTCGGCTTCAAAGGTCGCTCCGCTTCTCCTTTCCCAGTCGAGCGCTTCATTGATAATTGCTTCAATTCTTTCCCGGTTACTCTGCGCGGTTGGTCCGGTCACCCACGCGGTAAAATCATCCACAAAAGCGACTGCTCCCCCCTGGCTGTCGATCTGTCTTTGTACAAGATCTGCGTTGAAAAAGAGGAACAGTATCGGAGAGAGGGGCGAGCCCTGGGGGAGGCCAGCTTGCGGCAATCTTCGGGCCTCAGAAAGTTGCCCGTTGATTTGGATGGTGGCCGTTCGTTCCGAGCAGAACGCTTGGACCCACCGGAGCAAGTCATCGGGTATGCCTCGCGCTTTCATCCTCTGGAGCAGTCGTTCTTTACACACACCGTTGTAGGCACCTTTCACATCGAAGCTGATTAAGCTCAACACTCGTCGGCCACGCCATGCTGCGTAAATCTGCTCCTGAAGAAGCACGAGCGCTTGCTCTGCGGATCGCTGCTTTCGAGCCCCGAAGTGGCTGGTCGGGAGCAACCCGTGCGTCTCCACCGCGTGTGAGATCCTTTCTGCAACCACTGATTCGAGTATCTTTCCCAGTGTTGCTAGAAGTGAAATTGGTCTCCACGCCTTTGCAATGGTGTAGTCATCTTTGTTCGGCTTCTTGAGCGGTATGATCTTCGCATGTCTCCATTGTGTCGGTAACGCGCCTTCTCTCAGTGACGCCTGGAATAAGTCGAGAACCCTGTGCTTGACAGTCGGCCACGTCATCTTCCAGACTATCGCCGGTAGACCGTCTTCGCCCGGTGCCTTCCATGATTTTGCAGCAAAAAGCTGCCTTTCGATCTCTTCCATGCCAACCGTAGGCATCCTCACTGGCACTCTCTGTGGTCTCGTCCCCTCGTCTTCAATCACGTCCGGCAGAGGGGGAAAGAATTTGGACAACAGTTCTTCTGCTTGCTCCTTATGGTCAGCGGTGGTAGTCCCATCTGCTCTGACGAGTTGTGGTAACTTCCCGAATGCCGCGTCTTCTCCCGATTCCAGGTACTTCGCGGCTTTCCAGATATTGTCGTTGTCTGCGAGAAATTCATTCCAGTGCTTCTTCTTTTGCTTGCGGATGGCATCATGGTATTGTTTTGCCGCATACTGGGCCATCGTTTCGAGCTGAGGTATTTTTCGCCCCGCCCGTCGCTCCGAGCGAGCGCGATTGCGCCAGTACGTGTATACATAACGGAGCTGTGTCAGGTCGGTTGTCCACCACCGCTTCGCGTGTGGCGATGGCTTCGCTCTTGGAGTTAAACTATGCACTGCGTCTGAGACTGCGGACGTCAGTCGGTCGGTCTTCTGCTGCACTGTGCCTTCCGACGGAGTGGTGGCCAGGGTGCTCGCAATTCTAGCATTAATCTCTTTCCATGGCGCATTCTTCAGAAGAAGTCGTTCCTGATGCTTCGGGGCTGACCACGGTGCATCGAATACCGTCTCAATCGTCCGGTGATCCGAGCCGTGCTCAGTCCCGTGTATTACACATTTGGCCATCAGGTCTGCCAAATTGTCGGAGGCCAGGACGAGGTCAATTGTGGACTCGCAGTCCCCATACTGTCCTTCGCCATGCCATGTTTTCGTGCCTCGTTTGAGCAAGCTACTGAGCGCAAATTCACTCATGAGGTCAATGATTGGATCCGCTTCGCCCTGTCTTCCCAAGGACACCTCGTCTCCGCCCCAGAGTTGATCGTGGCGGTTGAAGTCTCCCATAATCATGATGTCCACCACAGCGCCCGTGTCTCGCCGCACCATTGTAATCGCCTTTCTCAGGTGATCGCAAGCGCAGTCCAGCGCTGAGGCATCTCCCCCTTCGACGTAGACCGACGCCATAAAGATCAGCCGTCCGGGTAGCCGAATGACCGCCGCCGTCAGATCCGGGGACTCTACAGCTACCTGCTCCGCTTCTATATCTTTATTAACCCACAGCATGCTTCGGATAGCCCATCTGCCTTCCCTCCAGGTGGAGGGAACCATCTTCGTCCATTTGTGGTGTCCCATCGGGGTGGTCAAGAGTCGTCCCTCAATCCTCCTCGCCTGGGGTTCCTGAATCGCTAACGCCACTGCGTCCTTAGTTTGTTCGTCGTTCATTAAGCTTTCATGCACGGCACCCTGCTTCCTCACATTCAATTGGATTATTCGAAGTGTTTTATTCATGACGTGGTGGGTAGAGCTTCCGGCAATTCTTGCTAAACGATTCATGTGGCCCACCGCATGGAACACACTTTGGAACCTCTTGATCGCAGCGACCGTGGTGATGACCCTCCGTGGCGCACTTTGCGCACTCCTGGGTCTTCCTGCATTGGAATGCCTTGTGACCAATCTCCTGGCAGTTGTAACATTGCATCGGTCGTGGTCGATATTCAAAGACGCTGGTTGTCCCCGATTCCCCTCCAACGTGGAAGTAT